GATGGCGGAGGAGTCTAACGCCGACGAAAGCCAAGAACCCATCCCTCTCCCTTGAAGAAGAGGACAAGGGTGTCTCATCCCCCTCTAGATTTCTTATTCAGAGCCCGCTAGAGAAGCAAAGAATGGGGCCAAGCAAGGTGGCAATTCCCGGGTCGACAACTCCGTTACCAGAAGAAAAGCGGCTCGAAACTCCTCAGGAGTCGGAAGAAATCTCAGGCACTGTCTTCCCGCTTGAACTCGATGGCTCCGAAAATAGAACGAGGACCGTCGACGGTAAAATCAGGCCAATCGGCCCTTCATTTGCTACTTCATATAAAGAACGAATGAACGCTCTTCGATCTACGAGTTCATCGCCGAGCCCGGGGAGCCTTGCCGCGTTAGACGATGGAGAAAGAAAAGCCAAGGCCGATGCGTTAAAAAGCCTACTCCTAAACCCTACCCAGCACCGTGTGACCTCAGGTTCACCTGGACATCTCAATGTCTCCAGCACGTTTAGCTCGCGGTCCAATTCTGCAACACCGAGCAAAGGCTCCACTATACGACCCCCGAGCTTACCGACCCCTGCGTCTTCTGAGAGAAGCGCGTTTAACATTAATCCCGCCAAGGATAACCGAAGCAATAGTATCCCTTATCAGTACTTGACATCGCTCTGCAATGGAGCCAGTTTCCCGAGTCCCTCTCCTAGCACCCGGAAAGATATTTCTCCTGCTACTCGTTCCAACCAGTATCCGCAAACTACGCATATCAACTCCGCCCGTGCTTGCTCAGCGCAATCCGCCTTTCACGGAAACTACGTCTCACCCACCCCGAACCGAACTGCATCACCATTGTCTACAGGGATAAAACCTGCCCCGGGGGTTTCTTCGAAGCTGGATTCGTCTGAAACAAAACGGATGGAGGATGAATTGCGACGAATTTTGAAGCTTACTCCTAGCGCCAATACTCACGGTGTTAATGGTGTTGAACAGACCATAGCGTAAGAAGTGGTATGGTTTGAATCTTTTTATAATTATATGATGCATTTGTTGTTGATGTCTACTGTTATGTCAGTGTTTATTGAATCTCAGCATGATGTAAAGCCATTGTTCTGTCTCTTTTTCGAGTGGTAATATCCCTCTGGACCGGTGTCCTGGATGGGATTTATGATGCATTGAATCAGTTTCTAGACGGGAACCCGATTGGTTTCTTGGCACTTGCCAGCACCAATATTTATTCAGCTGCTGGCATTCCATTTTTCACTGAGTGTTGTTTCGATGGTCGGATCGTGGCGTTGGACGAATGAATGCTTTGGGTTTGCGCACATCAGCATATCTCGACACCATAAGCCTCCGCTTCTCCTCTTCTTTTTTTTCAGCATGGCGCCCGGTGGAGAGATCTGTTAATTTCCTGAAAAGGAATTGTGAAATGGGAGAGCGGTGTATATGATTGTGGATATTCCAATGGGACTCGTTGAGCGCTCTTTGGAGGGTGTGACGAGTCTCTCCCTGGATTTCAAGCTCGACAACACTGCCATTTGATCCAATTCACTTACACCTGCTGGGTGGGTTGTTGTGATGTATGACAATAATTCTGCCCGCTGTCTATTTTCTCTCGTCAGCTCTTGTCCCGCAGTCTTCATTTCACTCGCTTGCATTACCTTTTTCTTTTGTCTTCCTCTACATGTTCCCCGTCATTCCTTTGGTTTTCTTGATCTCTTGGCTCTCAGCCTTCTCTCCCTTTTTCCTTGTGATTCTATCCATCTATGTCTATCCTTTACTGTTTCATATCTATTCTGTGCTTAGCTTGCTAGTACATACAATCCTTCACATTCCTTTATAGCCAAGACACTCGTTTATAATTGCAACGTTAATACAAGCCACACTCTTTTAACTGAACTGAATTTTCCTCCGCAGCCGGCATAACCCTGAGAAATTAGCCTGAGTTCCGCCATGGGTTTAATTCACATCCTCATTGCCGGGACGTTTCTGGACAGCCACCCAGTCAATGGCATGGCTGTTGAATGGCTCTACTTTGTAATGAAAAAGGCTTTCCCGCTTCACACCACCAAAAGCACAGTCACTCTCAAACAGAGTAGATGGGTTTCCCCCTTTCTGTGATAGACTGCGCCACAGATACCACTTGATTACCTAATTTCTGTGGCGCAGCACACGCCTAATGAAACTCAACCCCCCGATCAAGCCACAGTGCCATGGATCCTCGTTCCTGTTCCTCTTGGTTGCTTCGCTGGACTTCTTTTTCTCTTGCTTGTCACATCTTGTTGCTTTTGCCAACCCGCCCTCTTCTATCTCTCTCTGGAACCGAATTGATCTCATGATTCCGCTGTGGTTTTGTTGTGCCTGTTTATGATCGCGTTGCACTGCATTTCTCGAGCTTCTCACACTTTCTCATCGCCCTTTGTCTCAAGCACAATTCGGTGCAGCTGGCCCCTGAACTTCTCAGCAGTAGTGTTGGCACCCTTGACTTGTTCAACCCTGGAATAGAAACCCTTTCACGCTCGTTTTGTGTTGCCCATTTTGCGACGGCTTCCCTCCATGATCACGCTGATTACTCTTCTCCCTTGAATTCTCTCTTTGCCTTCTGTCTAGCATTGCAACCGACGAGCCATGACGTCGTAAGTACACGCTAGTCGATTCTGTTCCGTATTCCTCGTTCTCGATGCAAAGACTGACAAACGAAGCTTCGGGTCGGCATGGCGTTCCTTCTGGCATACCATGACCTCGAACGATAGGCACGCCTCCCATGACTCTCCCTACCGTACTGGAGAGCACGTTCCTCTCAGCCAGAGCCGCCACGCACCCCTCACCTCCGTAGCTACCAGCGCCTTCGAATCCCGTCCAGATCTTTCCTCATCTTTTGAGGAAGATTCATCGAAGCGATCGCAGCGTTGGTCGGAGTCTCAAGACCATGTCATTTCTCCACCCCGACCATACTCGCCAGGTATGAGATCCAAGCAAAGAACGTCAAACGAGCAGGACGAAGGCGTGCAGATGCAGAGTTTCCACGATGGTGCCCCGCCGCCTCCTCCGGTTTCCCATTCCTGGAAAAAAATTGACAAATGGACGGAGAGAAATTACGAGGAACTTTTCGACCAACTGTGTGAGGGTTGCACCCAGAACGATGTCAATGAGTTAGAGCATGAACTAGATTGTAGCCTACCATTGGAAGTCCGGGAGTCTTTGATGGTTCATGACGGCCAGGAGCGAGGTGGTATGCCGACCGGTGTCCTATTTGGTTGCATGCTTCTTGACTGCGAGGAGATTGTACAGGAATGGAGGAACTGGAGGAAAGTCAACGAAGAATTCCTAAGCACATCTACTCTATCTGGGCCTCAACCCCCTCTAAAAGCATACGGAGGTGCCTCGAGTTCATCTTCAAGTCCCGCCCCAACCCAATCTAACCCTCTCTGGCGCCAGGAGCTGCTTGACCGACAGGATTCCCAGCCGCCTCGAGCTATTCAAAAAGCTTATGCTCACCCAAGCTGGATCCCTCTTGCGCGTGACTGGGGGGGTAACAATATTGCCATCGATTTGGCACCCGGACCTGCAGGGAAATGGGGCCAAGTCATTCTCTTCGGGCGCGACTACGATTGCAAATATGTTATAGCCAGATCATGGGCAGCTTTTCTGGCTATGGTGGCTGATGACTTCCATTCAGGCAAAGTTATTGTGGACGAAGACTCCAATGAGTTGAGATTGAAGCCATTCAGAAACGCTGACCCTCCGTATTTGGAGATTCTTCGTTGGCGTACTGATCAAAAACACGGTCGCAAGCCTCCCAGGAAACGTCCGGGTCCTGGTGGTCTTGGTGTTAACACCGCTGTTAACGGCAAAACGACTAGGGATTCTCCATATGGCAGTCCAACTCCGAGCACTGAAGAGAGGGGCCGCTCCCCGCATCGATTTCCTTCTCGAGGCCCTAATGGTAGCCCCAAGGGAGGTTTAGCATTATCAAGTCCACTAGCTCGAGTTGCAGAGGAAGCGTCATCCCCGATAAAGGATAACGAATCGAACGATGCGGACAAGGGAAAATCGAAAGATGCTGATCTCGTCGACCTTACCTCTCCTGCTGTGTCAGTTAAAGCGGAGCCAACTGCTGTTACCGACACGAAACGGGATAGCGACATTGACCAAACCACTAGCAAGCGTACTTCCAAAGCTGACAAGCCGAAGAGCGGCATATCAACTCCGCGCTCATCAATAGGTCTAGGGGTGAAAGAGCTCGAAGGAATGAAAAATGTCACGATCTAAATGTGAACAGTCCGAAAGAGGCATCCACAACGCTGGGTATTCTCGATCGCTTTACATTACCGCCATAGACCTTCTCTGTTGCAATGATTGCCTCCTGTGCTTCTCTTTTGACGCAGTGTGTTTATTTGCTTGGGCTAAGAACTTTCAAGAAAAGGATTGAGTTTCTTCCTGATGCAAGGACAATATTTTCCTGAAGATTCCTTTCAGCGGCCCTGGCAGCTGCCATTACATTTGTTCAGAGTGATTCCCCTGACTTTATTACTTTCTCCATGCCCGTATCAATTGTACCTTCTTGCTAACCTCTTTCCATCTACAGTTCTTTTCTATCTTGTACAATTCAGCCTTGCTTCTTTGCCTCTCAAAATCGTTTAATTGCCACTGGCTAGTTTTCTTTTACTCCTCTTTCTTTTGCTTTTGAACAACTACCCCCCATACATCAGATCGTACCAAATTTGCGGTGCTCATTACTTTCTCAATTTTGCGAGCTTGAATTTGGTTGTGAGCTCGGGATGCTCCTTCCACCATCCAATTCTTCTTGATGGCAGGGCCTGATCCATTGTCTCGTGTATCCTATTTTATCAAGCTTCGAGGACCTAGTTGATTTCGATGGTTAATGGCCACACGCCCCTACTTAGATTTGGAGGGAAGGATCCTGATATAAATTCGGGACATGCGCAGGAGTTGTTTATATTGTATGATAGTATTGCTTTACCGGTGTAGGATTACCGCAATAGAAGAAATTCGGCGTTGTCTCCCTGATATTTGACAGCTCGCAAACCGAGAGCTCCGGTACTGAAGAGATCGTCCGCATTTCCTCGATTCCTCCTCTGGAGATGAACCCGTACGTAAATATACAGATCATCATCGTGGGTATTTGACGAATTCCAGTGGTGGCGGTGTTCTGAAAGGGCCTCTTAAAAGTAGTTTGCACCAACTAAAACTCCCCGCTGGCCCTCTGAATCAAACGTCCTACGGCCCCGATCAATCCCAATCCGAATCTTCATCGTCACCTCTCCGCTTCGCGCTTCTAATCGTTTTCTTCTTATCATGTCTCGCGTCCTCCCGATCCTCATCCTCATCGCTCTCATCACCCTCGACCTCCCCGCCTTGGACCAATCTTCACCCCACTCAACACTCCCTTTCTGACTAACCTCTCCTCCAGCACTCCAGTCTCAAAGTCATCTCCCAGCGCATCCAACCCCCCCGGGCCCAAACCTTCAAACCCCACCACTTTCTCCCGCACCTCCCCATCCACGAACCCAATGACACACGGCAACACCCTGATTTTCAATTTCTCCACTATGAACGGGACACTGCGCACGTCGGCGCGGGCGAAACGCGCTCCGCTGCTGGCAGAGTGCGCGGTGGAGAGGAGAGTTAGGTGTTTGTCCATGGTGCCGCAGCGGGAGAAGTCGGGATGGAAGAAGTGCACGACGCAATGGGTGAGCTGGGTGGTGAAATCGAGCACGGCTTGATCGGTGGGGAGGGTGGGGAGAGGGGAGTTGTTGAGGAGGGTGGTGACGACGTTGGTAGAGGGGGATTGGGTGGTGTTTGGGGAGGAGAGTTCGGCTTTTAGTTGTGCGATGCGCTGGCTTGTGTAGGTTGGGTTGGGGTCTTCGTTCTCGAGGGCGTCAAGGAGGGCGTCGGTGTCGTCGTCGTTGGTGGGGTGGGATTGCGACATGGTTGGGCCTCTGTTGCTTTTCTTTTCTCGCTGTAATTGAGCTTGGTAACCAGTTAGTTAGCTGTGAAGCCAAGTGCAAGCTAGGATGAAGCTCGGGATATCAACCTCAAAAATGCACTCCGTCTGGCGATAACGTAAGCTCCCTCTCCGCTCTTGGCACCGGTTCCCCCTCCTCCGCCCCGCCCCGACTGTCCGCCTTCACCCCGTCCATCAGCTTGGATGTTGTCGTTATATTATCAGCCTTGATCGCAAGACCGGGCCTTTGATTGCTATACGACCGGGTATTTAGCACGCCGTTACAGTCTACTGACGCGCAGGCCAGCTCAACAGTTCCGTAGGGCAACAAACAGCTTTGAGGGACGAAAAGAGAGTCCTTCACTATCCTTTGAGACTACACGATAACAATGACGGATTCATTGACAGGCTGGGACCATTTATCAACACGTTCGACAATGGCAGCTCATGACACAGCCAATGGTCGCTCCTTAGCCAAATTTAGTCACTGCGAAATTCTGCTGCCTGGTCTCAATCTATTTATAAACGCAAGTATTCCAAGGGGCAAACAGATGAGCTCTCGGGTCGAAAACAGGCCTTTCTCATCCTCAAAAGATTTTTGCCATGGTGCCCACGGAAATAAGCAGCAGAGACAGCACTTCAAGCTCGAGCCCGGAAGAGTGCCGCAGTGACTGGGAAGTCGGGGGAGCTGAACTTCCAGTCCAAAGGCCGCGAACGCGAAGGCCGCATAACAAGACCCGGTCTGGTTGTGTGGTCTGTAAGCGGCGAAGAATAAAGGTACCTATAGACACATTCCAGTATTCTCAAAGTACGGTGCAACCCAGCTCATACTAATGTCTATTTAGTGCGATGAAAAGAAACCCGAATGCCAACGGTGTCAGCTTCACGGCGTCGCATGCTTGTATAACTCCGCTGAAGAGCTATTTGGCGAAGATCGGTCCCTGAAGCGCCTGCTCCAGGGGCAGAGGCCTACAAAGCACAATTTTTCTCTATCGCTTACGTCTAATGAATCGAGCATAGACCATGTGCTCCAGTCCGCCGGCGATGTCTCTTCGGTAAGCCGCGAGAACTTGGAGGCAGTCAGGCGCTTTGAAGTGTTTACATCACATACGGTTGGCGCACCTATCGCTCGATACGTTGCGCGCACATATTGTATCCCACTCGCGTACAAGGTATGCTTGGAATATGACGACACTTCGATCCTAACCTATTAACCTGTCTAGACGCCGCACCTCATGCATGCAATGATCGCATGCTCAATAACCCATCTCCAGCATGTAGTCCCATCTTATCGCCCCAGAGCCCCTGCAGAATACCACTGGAACCGCGCCATTTCCCTTTTCACGGAACAACTCAACGGCCCTATCGATTCATCAAACATCGATGCAATCATCTCCACCTGCATGCTCCTCGCCATCCACTCATTCACGAGCAGTAACGATACTAGCAGCGGCGCAACCTGGGTCTTTTCACCACCGGATACTGCCGCTAACTGGCTCTATGTCGCTGGAGGGCTGCACGCCGTCCTTGGAAAATCCGGAGCACACGGCCAACGAACCATCTGGGACCCGGTCTTCGAGCACAGCGAAAACTATTTCAACAACTCTACATTCGACATCCAGGATATCCCGCCGGCATTCCGTGAGCTGTGCGATATTGACAAAAGTACAGACTCGTCCAACAATCCGTATTACACCCCTTTGCGCACGTTATTTATCTTGATGCGGCTGGAACCGTCAGGCGCCAATTTTGCGAAATTAGTTATTTTTGTCGGGCAGATGCTGAGCGGATATCGGGACTTGGTGCAGGGAAGGGACCATAGGGCGCTGCTAATTCTGGCATACTGGTTCGGGCTTATGTGCGGCGTCGATCAGTGGTGGATTCAGGATCGAGTTCGCTCGGAGTGCAGGGCGATATGTAAGTATCTAGAACGGTCTGCTGCAGACCCTCGTATTATCCAATTGCTGGACTTCCCGGCTTTAGCATGTGGGTATGTTTTAAATACGCCGTTTACTTAACACTTATGAGCTGATAAGGAATCTCTGAGGGTTACGGGGTACCTGCTATGGATAATGAAGGGGGAGAATGGGCTCTCTATAGAATGCTTTCAGATGTTTTATCAAACTTCTTAATAAAAGTTGCACTCATAATAATAACCATAATACATACTCATAGCACGTTTCATCGCAAGTGAGATCATAGGATTCGACGAAAAGGGAAATAATATACTTTGTGAGTGAGCAAAAGTGAAGTGCCATGTGAGAGCTCCCAATGCTGCTATTTCACATCTAGGTCATTGGATATTGATATCGTTTCATCACAAAATCTGATGGAACATGAGCAGAGTGATAAAGAAGTGAAGTGAAAGTGAGATTGTTAACCTCATTTCTCAGGTGATATACAGACAGAGATAGATAGATAGGTATATACCCTTGGAGCAGCCCGCCATTACAGCATCCGGATAATGCCAGACATGTAAAGGGGCCCTCTTTTTATTCTATAATGTATCCCCATCCTCTTCTTTTGGCATTTTGCTCTAACGATGAGCTCCAACGAAATTTTCGAATCAAGCCTGCACTGCTCGTACAGTTCCTTAAGGCAAATTCTTATTCAGTAGGCGTGCTGGTAGTTGGCGGCTGAGGTAGCTAAGTAGCGTGGCCAGGGCAAGCTTGGTGTACACATGCTTTTGAACTTCTTGGAGTTGTTGAGCTTGTATCCCCGTAGCCGTCCAGTTATTTCACGTTTTGAGCTTTACTTTCCCTTCGAAGAAGAACGGTGGACTCCAGGGCGAACCGGCGACCTTAGGCTCTCAACCGTGATAGATAGTTTGATACGTCAATTCCAAGTTGAGAATGGTAGAGGACGAACGGACAGTGGAAAGAAACCCTTGTGAGGTTGCCCGAATGCGGGAACCGTGAGTTTTCCACCCTTGGTCAAGTGAAAGGTGGACGCCCGACAGTGGAAAGAAACCACCTTGAGGTTGTTGTAGCTGCAGCCTTATGAATTGCCCGCCACTATGTCAACTAGAGGAATTGTACCGACAGGTTGAGGGAAATTATTTAGGCGGGCGTCGAACCCGCGTCTTCATCGAGTCGGAACTGTTGCGGAAAAGGGGTAAAATAGACCAGTTTGTTTATGAATCCAACTGAGCTGTTAGGGGAATAAGATCTTTAGCGATCGAAAAGGTCCGATAAGGTGGGAAAGGACGCTCTCGGACGCATATAGTTAGATATTCACGACAAAATCTATCATCTTGACATCTCTCTTGACTTTTTGAGGAACTATAGGCCAACGCAAGTAGTACTGATCTTTTCACTCATGACCCAGTTGAAACAGGACAGACTCTGGGCAAAATCGATCGGAGAGCTTTTCGAGGAGCAGAGCGCGAAGAAGGCTATTAGCGGGGGATGGTGTAACTGTTCTTCAAACCGGCAAGTGATGTTGCTCTTGTTTTCCGGTAAATTGATATCGTGAAAGGACGGGCTTGGACCTCCGCGGCTTTTTTTCCTTTTTTATTATCGAAAGGCCGATTAAAGTATTAAGTTGTTGATAAAGATCTTCTCGAAGGCAAAATTATTTTATGGTAGGCGATTTGAAGCTGGTTAGGAAAGAGAATGAAAGGAAAGAAATGAAAAAGGGGCCTTTTATACCCGTATTCTGCGGAGAGGGTGAATGCAATTCCTCTCAAGCGATCAAGGGATCCATTCACGGCGCGGCCTGATAGTTACCTGCTGGTGATGTGATTTGACCATTATATGAATTTCAAGTCACTTTCAAGGTCTTTGAACAGGATAGTAATACTTTACTATGTGCGCTCCGGCACGTCACAGCTCGAGATAGTTGTGAAATGCCTCGAGTTCTCGCGATGCACTTGTCCGACTACAAGTGTCACCGACGCTGTGCTCTCGAAGGCTGATTTGAGGATTATATCACTCATCACCCGATGGCGAATCATGCCCATAGTCGGATAAAGAGCGTCCTGTTAAAGAAACCCGATATGCAAGGTGATATGCATGAGTGTCCCTGAATGGTGATTTGAGGCAAGGTAGCACTGCATAGACCGCAAAAATCAAGCATGGAGACTCAAAGTATTGAGAATTAGACTGGCATGAGAGTGACTGCGCCGCCAGGGTTCCATTGTCTGTTCGCGCGAAAGACGTGAAGGAATATAAACCATCCGCCATTCACCCAGCAGAGAGAGAGAGAGAGAGAATCACCGTCTGACGTTAGAGTCTGAATTTTGACACCCGAAGCTGTCCACCATTCTTCATCATTTTAACGAATTCTCCCTCAAAGATGCACGTCAAGGGTGTTTTATTCGCGGCCCTCGCAATTATCTCAGGATTTGCTGTCGCAAGCCCCGCTGGACAGCACTGTAACCATGCTGGCTGCAAGCGGTGCTTTGATACTTGTGCGAATAACTGTGAGAAGCCTCCCATTGGGGCCTGTCCAAGCCAGTAAGTAGAACCCGAGGTATCCTTTGCTCGTGGGATTGCAATTCAACAGGCTAATAATTGCTGTCAGGTGCCGTAAGTGTCGAGTCCAAAGGATCGAGCTTCGTTGTGCAGACTCTAACAGAAACGGGATCATTTAGAATATCGCTGCAGCAGAATATACCATTGCTCTGGACCATGTCAAGATCCCTAGCTCCCCTTGGTCTGATGAGATGGGGGCAACTAGTGCCGGGGGGTAGTTGTTGAACGGCGCAAGCGATGAGAGAAAACAACAACTTCAGGTCTGGATGCGTGAACTTGGGATGTCTAGATATCAACACCAGGCAACATATCAGAGCGTTTAGCGTCAGTGCAACGAGCCAGTGGCTTTATGACCGATGAACCTCTTTATTGGTGAATTCTATCAAACGCCAGCTGTATACTGCTTCCAGAACATGTTTAGCGGCCCAACCTCCAAATGCCCAACCTGTTGGATGTATATCTGGCATCTTTGTGATACAAACTCAATCGTAAATTCCGCTCGAATAGCTATCGTTAAAGAATAACCTACGTGCCCCTCCCAGGCCCAAAAAGAAACATGGCTGATCCTACTCTCCATCTTCCTCGACTTCTCTGCCTCCATGGCGCTGGCTCCAATGCCGCCGTCTTCCGCAGCCAGTGTCGCTCCCTTATCCCCCTGCTCCAATCGCACTTTAGGCTCTGCTTTGCGGACGGGCCGTTTATTTGCGAGCCCGGCCCAGGAATTGCCCTGGTCTACGGAGAACTGGCTCCCTTCCGGCGCTGGCTACGCTGGCGGCCGGGATTCCCCCCGCTGACAAAGCTGGACGATGGCTCGCAGCTTTCAGACGAGGACTCGTACGAGGCCGTTGAAAAGAGCATACTCGGTGCCATGCAGGCGGACGATGACAAGGGTGCGACGGGCGAGTGGGTGGGACTGCTGGGTTTCAGCCAGGGCGCAAAATTATCTGCGAGCCTGCTGTTCAGACAACAAGTGCGCGCGGAGAGATTGGGCAGAGACCATGCTGGATCGAACTATCGGTTTGCGGTCCTGATGAACGGCCCGGCACCGGTCGTGGGATTCGAGAAGCTGGAAACCGAGGATCAGAAATTGGTTTTGCGCATTCCAACCTTGCATGTTCATGCGCTCAGAGATCCTGATTTGCCTTATCATCAAATGTTAAAAACGCAATACTGTGATGAAGGAACAGCGACGGTGGTCGAGTGGAATGGTGACCATAGGGTCCCCCTTGCGGCAAAGGATATTGCGCCTGTTGCGGACCGGATCCTTGGATTGGCAAAGCAAACTGGAGCATTGCAGAATTAAACGACTTTTCGCGACAAGGTCGCTTGATCTGCACGAGGAGATTGACAAGCTCTGTAGAAAATCAAAGTTTGCGCGGATGCGACATGCTTATGTAGGAATAGAAAGCTGGAGACGTCATCGTCGCCGTACTATTAAATATTGATAGGTCAAAATAAAATCCAACGCTCAAGCCGCCCATAAACACACCAATAACCAGCACTGTGATGGATTGATATCGCAGCACCTTACGGCCAATACCAAAGTCCCAAGAACGTGATGAAAGGCAACACTCTTAGTCGCCGTCTGAGCCATCTGCCCAACGCCGTTTTCTTGGATTATAATTGGGTTTATACGATTCCCCTCCCGGGAAGTAGGAATCGGTTTGAGATCGGAGAGGAAATGAAACTCGACGCTGCAAATTGCCGCTACCCTGGGGCGCACTTGATCTCATATTTAGAGGTGCAGTAGGAGGACTGCGGTTGGACCTGATTTGATATCCCTCTCTGCTATCACTACGAGGTGAGATAGTTCGAGGCAAAACCGCTCGACTGGCCAAGGATGGTGGTGGACTCGGGCCTGACCGGATACGAAGCTCTTCTTCGGCTTGGGGAGTACTGGTTCGGGTATTTAACGGAGGCCTTGATTGAGGTCTTGATAACGGTTGTGGAGTGGACCGCGAAGGCCCGTTCGTCGCAACCTTGATCTTACTGGTTGGTGGTGTGCAAGGGCGGTTGTCAGGGATTTTTGGGGTATCTGATGAAGGGCTAGCATGAGTGGCCTTTAATTGTTGCTCGATGGTTTCGAATTTCCTCGCCAATCGCTCCGATTCGAACACCACCTCTGCTAATCTGCTAGACATTACTTTCTCAACATCCACTACCCTCGCAACTGAATCCTTGATCGAATCATCCATTCGGTTCCTTTCCACGTGCATATCCTTGATTAACGTAAGCCTTTCTGATCTCTCTGCGTCCTGGTCTTTCTTAAGAAGATCTTGGGTAGCATTCACTTTGGTTATGTCGCTCGAGATAGTTGCTACGGCATCCTTGTGAGATTTAAAATCCTGTTTCAATTGCTCAATCTCTTTCTGTGCAGTGCTTGCATACGGGTACATCCCTTGCATGGACGCAACCATCTGTCGCACGATTGGTTCACTGGATAGCCGGTTGTATCGATTTTCGAGAGAGGTAATCGCGACATCATGGCCGTGTAAGCGCTCGGATTGATACTTGAGGATGTCCATAATCTTTTCATTATCAGAAACAACTTCCGCATTGTTCCTTCCCTCAATAGCCGCCAGTCTTGTCTCATGCGCTGCAAAAATCATATCCTGCCGGTTGGACTGTTCTCCAGTATGTTTCTTGGCAGTAGCGTGCTCGTCATTAAGCCGTTCAATAGTTTTATTGAGCTTCAAACTTAATTTTTGAAATTCCATGTCAATTTCTTTGTCCCGTTGCTCTTGGAGCTCTCGAAGCTTTTCAAGCTGGCTGAAAAGGCTTTCCATATCAGATTGAATGCTGCTGAGCTTTGGTCCTTTCCGACTCTCCACCTCAGCAACTCGGCTTTCGAGTAGTTGATATTGCGCAGTTGATGATTCCTCGATCTCTTCAAGTCGTTTTGACAAGCTGTTGACACTTGATTGCGCGGATTGCAGACCGGTGGTAGATGTTAATGCCACCTCATCTTTTAGGCTATTGACCTGGCTTTTGAGCGCGGCCAAGTCAGCGGATAACTGCTTCCAGGATTGAGCGCCGGTATAGCTGTTTTTATCATGTAGACTCTGTAACTGTGAGCGCATCTTCTTCAGTTGCGGGAGTTCCTTCTTCATAGCCAGGATGTCATCGGGAGAGACGTGTGAGAATTTCTGCTCGATATCATTGAACCGTTGCTTTACGCTTTCGAGCCGTTTCAGTTCCTTCACAGCTATGTCCATCGAAGCCACGAGAGAATCTATATCAACGTTGTTGAGCTTTTCTCCTAATTTGCCTGCCTGGTGCAACGCAACATTCGCGTTGGCTTTGGAGAGTTCAACGTCCCGCTTTAGCTGCTGATAGCTGTCGTCCTTGGCCATCATACGATGGAACATCTCAGAGAATTCGGCTTGTTTCTTTTTGTGGAGATCAAGTTGTTGGTCAATCTTCGACAGCTGCTCCACCTGCTCTGCTTGTACCGCCCTTCCTCGTGAGAGATATGAAGGGTACGGGAACTGGCGGTCGGTCGCTCGACTAAGCAGCGCGTCCTTTCGCTTCATGCTTCGCACTAGCCGCTCCCTCTTCCCGGTCTGTTCCACGAAATCTGCTAAATCTGTCGCGTAGTTGTGGAAGAACTGAGCGGGGTCCTGGGATGGCTGGCTAGGTATTTCACGAAAACGAAGGCGCGGGTCTTTAGCCTGCGATGAGTGACGGACTCCATTTTCAGCCAGATTTATCGAGCGCTGGGGTTCCATGACTGCAGAGAGGTCGTGGTCTCCGTGCCATTCATCGACGCGTTTCGAGGAGAACGGCCGAGTTCGCGTAGACACATGTACAGGGGAGTGGAAGTGAGGAGTTGGGAGTCAAGAGTCCTCCAGCACCCTGATTTAAAATAATAATAGAATCAATTGATAAACGATCGGACCTGATCCAGGGTCACCGACTCAGTGCATGAAACTCATGGTGATTTCAGGGTGAGTTCTGGTGGAAAGATTTCTTTCAAATGTAGGTAACTGGTTTAGTCAGGGATTAGGTAACTGGCGAGCTAGTGAGCTAACTAGCTAGTTAACTAGTTAGGCGCCAAGCTGAGCTCCAGCCTGCCGGTGCTGGAGTTTGTTAATTCTGCGATTCTGCTCTCAAGCTCCCACGACTAGCACAATCAAAGCCAGCGATCTGTTCACTTCTGACAAAACGGCCCTCGTTATTGCTTAGTCTTCTAAGGGACTCCAGTCTCCCCGGCACGCAATTGAACCGAGTTTTGGACATGGCTGCCGTATGTTGCTCCGCTCTGATCTGGTTGACTTGCGCTGACAGCCAAACTAGCCAATCTCAACCATCGCGGAGAGCCGGGAGCTCAGAGGGCTTAATCTTGTCGCCGCGCATTCGCATATCAGAGGGCTTGGGGTTGACCCCGATACGCTTCAACCTCGCTCTTCTTCGCAAGGCTTAGTCGGCCAAGAGAAAGCCCGAAAAGCAGCTGCGGTTATTCTCCAGATGGTCAGGGATGGGAAAATCGCCGGACGCGCCGTTTTGATCGCTGGCCCGCCCAAGCACTGGAAAGACCGCGATTGCAATGGGAATGGCACAGTCTCTGGGGCCCGACGTACCTTTTACGATGGTTGCGTCGTCGGAATTATTTTCACTTGAGATGTCGAAGACAGAGGCCCTAACCCAAGCGTTCCGCAAGTCTATTGGTGTACGGATAAAGGAAGAGAGCGAAATAATTGAAGGGGAGGTTGTGGAAATACAAATCGACCGCAGCGTTACCGGGGTACGTCGTGGAGGATCAGTCTGCCCCGTCGCGCCACAAAGCAGCTAATCAATACCGTGTTATAGGGTAATAAACAAGGCAAACTAACCATCAAAACAACGGACATGGAAACCATATATGATATGGGAACCAAGATGATTGATTCAATGACAAAGGAGCGCGTCATGGCAGGTGACGTTATTTCCATCGATAAATCTTCAGGCAAAATCACGAAACTCGGGCGCTCTTTTGCCAGGTCGCGAGATTACGACGCCATGGGTGCCGACACGAAGTTTGTCCAATGCCCAGAGGGGGAACTTCAGGTTCGAAAGGAAATATTGCATACTGTTAGCCTGCACGAAATCGACGTGATAAATTCGAGGACTCAGGGCTTCCTGGCGCTATTTTCTGGTGATACCGGTGAAATCCGGAGCGAAGTCCGCGACCAAATTAATACAAAGGTTGCCGAGTGGAAAGAAGAAGGAAAAGCTGAAATAATCCCTGGAGTTCTTTTTATCGATGAGGTTCATATGCTGGATATTGAATGTTTTTCATACATCAATCGCGCATTAGAAGCGGAACTCGCTCCAATCGTGATCATGGCTAGTAACCGGGGTAATACCAGGATTCGAGGAACGACCTACCGATCTCCTCATGGCCTCCCGCTAGACTTCCTCGATAGAGTTGTCATCGTGAGCACGCAACCTTATACTCGGGAAGAGATCCAACAGATTTTAGCCATTCGAGCCCAGGAGGAAGAGATTGATCTCACACCCGATGCACTCGCACTTTTAACCAAGATCGGCCAGGAATCGGGTTTACGTTATGCCAGCAACATCATCACCACATCGACCCTATTGAGCCAGAAGCGAAAATCCAAAGAAGTTGGTATGGAAGATGTGCAACGCAGCTATCGCCTCTTCTATGACCCGATTAGGAGTGTGGGCTTTGTCAATGACTTTGAAAAGCGGTTCATTGGGAACGAGGGTCAGGTCAACTTTGCCCATACGAATGGCGACATTATGGATACCTCGTAGTTGATGTTCACGGTTCTTTTTCTGGGTACGGCGCAATGGAAGTGAAGATACTTTAAATATCACGAACATGTATCATACGAGGGGCGCACAACACAAAGGATTTTAATTGAGGCAATAGAGCAGTTGTTAAAGAACCTCATAACCGCAAAGTGCTTTAATATTCCTAGATCGCTACACTATCACAAAAAGGGAGCCACGCCGCTCCAATCGCTTGTAGAGCCTACTCTCCGAAATTCTGCGCCGGTTCCTCCAAAATACCCGGCACTGCTCCAGGACTCCATCATTGCTTTCTCATACGGCCCATGTATTACTCCCCCGTCGCGGGCGTCCGACCAGCGGAATTCCCACATTGTATTGTTGTCAAGGTCGGGTTCCGCTGATCCAAGATGCGCTGGATCAACCCAAGCTTCACCCGTTTCGCGCTGGTATTGCCTTGTGAGCAGCTCTCGTTCTGCATCGTATATATCCGTCTGTCCTCGACTGAGCAGGATATCTGCGGCCCCAGTGATCTTTTCGATAGTTTGCTTGCGGGTCACTTCAGCTGGATCTTCTTCCGTCATTTCGACGTCCTCTGTGGAGCCATTTGTTTTCTTGTGCCTGTTTTTGTTCTTGTTCTGCCATCTCGGCTTATGTTTTTGACCCTTGCCCAGGCGTGCCAGAGCTTCTAAAATTGTTTCCCCCCGCTGTAGATTCGTGATCAGTACTTCCAAGACATCGCTCGTTAGTACACTGGCGTCGGCGATGGATTTTTGCCTTCGCTCTTCCTCTCGTCTTTCAGCAGCGGCTCTGGCTCTCTTCATGTCCTTCTTCGACACCCCTTCTAACCAGGAATCGTGAACTGCATCTGGGTCGACGGCCTTTCGAATATAATTTCCGGATTCATCAAAGCGTCCCTCTTCTTGCTCTGATCTCATATTGAACGCATCGAGGCGTGGCGCATGGGTCTTTTTCCCACCGGCGCCGAGCTCCTTGTCGACTCCACTAATGTCCGCGCGACCTTCATCGTCAGTATCGCTATCACTCTCTTCCGCTTCCGTTTCCTTTTGCTTGCCCTTCTTATTCGAAGACATGTCATCCAGTATGACTTTGCCTCCACTTCGCGACTCGTTTACCTGTCCTTCTATCTCGTTATCATCCAAGAATCTGACTTGCTTCCTTGTCTTTCCGATATCGTCATCTGGAAGACCAGTCTCTTCCTCGACTTCCGCAAACATGTCATCTTCGTCGAGATCGTTTGGCGCCTTACTAGATCCGCCCCTCGCCTCGGCGCGGGCGTTGAAATTCTCATTTTCGCTGTCCGAGTCGTAGCCATCGATGTTGACCGCGTTGCGTTTTATTCTTTGTCCACGCCGGCCAATTTCATCAGCATCAAGCACAACATCTTCTTCATTGGTATCAGGAGCTAATGTGGAAGGGTTCCGGAGATCGAAGCGGAGCTTTTTGGAAGACGAAGGTCCGTCTGGGTCTTGTTCGGCATGGTGGTGTCGCGCGTAGTCCTCGGCCGCACGTTTAGGCCGGGCAAGGGTGTTCGAAATCATCCCGACATTCCTTAGTTTTCAATCTAGCAGAATGTTGAAAACAGTACAGAGTAGGCTAAAAGGAGAGGTAAATTGCAAAGAGATCCTCGACAGCTACGGAGTATATTCCTTCAAAAGGCGATTTGCCAAGGCGGCGAGGAAGGTCGATTTGCCAAGACTTGCGTCACTCCTCATAACGACCTGACGATTTGGCTCACAGTAATACTCTCAGTGCTGAGAAGAGAGCTTTCACCAAGTCAAACAGCGCGTGTCCAAAGCACTAGAAAGGCCGCCTTGTCTACCGGAAGTAAAGCACCCCAGCATTGAAGCGGGACGATCCCGTCAGTTGGTCTTCTTCTGAATTGCGGCCTTGCCGCCCATTCTTTGAGCTTCCATTAGGCCACTCCGCAGCCTCGACTGTCTACCACGCGTCTTTCAATACCCCCCGCGTGGTTGTCTTTTAGCACTAGCGGATTAAAGCAGCTACAATTTGACCTACGTGAGCGATGGTGAGACCCTCTCTTCGTACAACGCCGGCTTAACAGTTTATACTCACACTCCTCCGTGCTTCCGCAGTTTCAAGGCGGCTATTACGACGAAGGCGACCCTATGGACGGGGTGTTTCACCCGGGACTCATGCGTCGAGCAGGACACACCCCTCGTCGGTTCGATGAATACTATCGATGCTATCCCGTAGCGATGCTGCCTGGTCCTGAACGAGAACACGCAAATCATGGGGGAAAAGTGTTCATGCCCCCGAGTGCACTGGATAAACTCACACGGCTGCACATTACATACCCTATGCTTTTCGAAATACATAATGGAGCGAAGCAGAGGATGACACATGCCGGAGTCCTGGGAGTTTATTGCGGAAGAAGGAAAAATATATTTGCCATTTTTGGGTATGGGGAAATGCTTTTACTTTTTCCTTTCGAATATTTTTGGGTGCTGATATATTGAGCGAATCCAGATGATGCAAACGCTTCTGTTAGAACCAGGAGACTTGATACAGATAAAATCCACAGATCTTCCTCTGGGACGTCTTATCAAATTACAGGCCCAATCTACTTCATTCCTAGATATCAGTGACCCCAAGGCCGTTCTCGAAAATGCCTTCCGTAACTTCTCTTGTCTCACAAAGGGCGACGTCTTCACATTTTCCTACAATGACCAGACATACGAGATGGCAGTGTTGGAGACCAAACCAGAGAATCCAGAGAAAGCTATCTCTGTTCTTGAAACCGATCTTGAAGTGGACTTTGCACCCCCGGTTGGGTATGAAGAACCTAAGCGGCCCAGTGGCACTTCTACCCCATCTAGTTTGGCCAGTGCAGGCCTGCCCCATGGCGGCATGCTGCATCCACATGGCACAATGGCCCAATCGATTAATTATACCGCTATTGCCCCAGAGTCCACGGATCCAGCACGGGGAGCAAAAGCTGTATCCTCCAACTTCCTCCACGGCGGGCAGCGGCTGAACGCGAAGAAAGGCAGCAAACAGCCTACCCCCAAGGCATCGACCCCAGTATCAGGAGCGTCTACAAACCTGCCAACACCTGGCCCTACTCGTCGGGCAAATGGTCCACAGCCACTCCGATTGCCTCCAGGAAAGCTCTTTTTCGGCTACGCCATTAAACCTGTTAAGAAAAGCGACGTAGGGGGGAAGGAAGACGGCAAAGAGCAGACTAAATTCTTGGGTGCTGGGCAATCATTGCGAGGGACGAAGAAAAAATAAATTCCAATTTTCTTATCGAGTAACTATCTGAGCTGGACAAAGACGGGAGGCTCGCGCAATATTAGGGATAAAGCAGTCTATTGGATTTGCCGACAAGGCATTATCACAATTACAGTAGTTACGTTTTGTCTGACCCGGAAGAATATTCATCCACATTATTCGGATTCGGCGTCTATGTTCCTCCGCATCCGGAGCGCTTGACTTATTTTAAACTAGCGGATGTTAGAATGCCGAGGCTCAAACGAGTTGCACCTTCTGCTCAGGGGTTTCCCAACACCAACGACAAGAAGACGGATTCTTGGGGGATTTGACCGGGGATGATGCGTATATTTACGTTCGTGGCCGCTGTTTGCTTCAGTTTTCCGTTGGGTCTGCCCGGATCTTTCCCATTTTGACATACTCCGAGGCCCAAACTCATTCAATTCAATCCTGATACGCCGTACGTATTTATACACTCGAAGATATGTCTTCAGATATCCAAAATAGCATACCGCCCATCTTAAGCTCGATGGTCCAATTGGGCCCGGCCATATTCCTCAAAGACTTCCCTCAGGCTCCGCAAAAGCACGACAAGCCCCTGACAATCGTGCTCCTCTTTTGGATGAACGCGCCGCTTCGCCCTGCTGCAAAATATATATCCGAATATGGACAGTTGGCCCCAGATGCGAGAATCATTGCAATCTTCACATCTGCCTCGGACTTCTTTATTCGAAACTCAGATGGCGCGCAGAGACGCCGGATTACTCCCGTCTTGGATGCGCTCTTGTCCACAGCCAAGGATGGCGATGGAGGCTCTCTGTACGTGCATGCCTTTTCCAACGGTGGATGCACGACGCTGAGATACTTGGCCGTGGCATATCGAGATGCTACAGGAAAGCCCTTGCCCGCGAACGCAATGCTCATCGACAGCGCGCCTGGCATCACCTCCATGTCCAGGGCGGTCAAGGCGCTATCTTATAGCTTCCCGAGGTTTTTCTTGTGGAGAGTTCTGCTGTCTACGGCTGTTTGGGGGTGGTTGCTTGTTCTGGCCACGCTAGGATGGTTGTCGAGGAGGAAGCACCCGTCATATTTTTTGCGGGAGGGACTAAATGATCAGAGCCTGATAAGAGGAAAGGTGGAAAGATGCTATGTGTACTCAAAGGAGGACGATTTGATTTACTGGAAAGATGTAGAAGAGCATGCTGGGCAGGCGCGTGCTAGAGGATGGAATGTTTCAAGAGAAGTGTTTGAGGATTCGCCTCATGTTGGGCATATGCGGACCGATCCGCAGCGGTATTGGAAGATTGTTGCAAGGTTGCTGAAGATTGCGATGGCATGAGCGAAAGGGACATGCGTGGTATGATGTGAGGACCTGCGCATTTCCCGGCGCGGCCTATTTGTCGAGGAACAACGCGTGTCGGCCTCCTCGAAAGGTGATGAAGAAAGTTCCTCATTCGACACAAGTTCAGTAAATAGAGGGGAGGTATGTAGCCCGTTGGTACAACGAGCTATCAGTAGCTCAGCTCTAAATCTGAGCACTGATAAAACAGAGTAAAATTATCCTCTGCAATTCTGAAAAGTGTGGCAGCCAGATACATATCAAGACTGCACTTACCCGTGGCAGTATATCTCGATTACTCTCACACCTAGTCTGGTTATAGAGCGAAATCCATTCTTTTATCATATACATGTTAACATATTTGGCTGGGCGCCTTTATTCTTATTGATGGTACTCGACGCTCTCAAGTTGGCGATTTAAAATTGGGATGGGCTCCTTGCAGGTTGAAGGCCACGTCGTTTAACTAACTAGTTACCCAAAGCAGCATGGTCTTTATAACCCAGACACTTGCGACAATGCCCGGGGTATGAAGCCAAAAGCCACGAACGTCCGATGGCGCTTGCGCCATTCCTCACATTCTAATTGTGATCTTAATAGAATGTGTCGTGCAGAGCGGACATGAAAGATTTATAGTATTTAAAATTTCGCCTTGGATAGCGTGCTCCGGGCCCAGCTCATCGATTCCCATTGCCATGACTTTGTGGATGATTAGCCCATTGCTACAGGACCTCGCCATTCTACTGTACATGCATAAGTTTGGCACGACAATGCTTTACCGCTTGTATCATGCGGCAGTCCTGTTTAACTTGTCCGAGAAGCAAAGGCACAAAACCAAATAACGCGACACCCAAAGGCGGTCTCCCAACTGATAGCATCCTCCAACCAAGTACCACCCGAAATTGCCAATTAGACAACCTCCTCAAAATCTTCAAAAAGGTCGTCGATATTAGTGCTGCCATGTTGACTGTCCACAACTGTTTCCGCACGGGCCTGTCTGCTCTCCTGCGCACGGGCGATAGTAGTAGTAGTCTCGGTAGATTCGCCCTCTTGTTTGATGCTAAAAATCCCAAAACCGTGCTGGGAGCCTTGTTCAATCTTTAGACCCGGATTGCGCGAAAGTGTGCTAGGTTCGGCTTTCACGAAAAGATCATCGTCATCGTCCAGGATGATACTGTCCCCGGCCGACGCGCCGCCTCTCATTTTGGACGGAGTGGCATGTTTGCTCGGGGTCTTCGGGGTTGCTTTAGCAGCTGGCTTCGCGACACCTCCACGGGTGTTGGTGCGAGGAGTAGTAGTAGTAGTACTGGTAGTTGTTCTTGGAGTACGGGGTGTATTTGGACCGCGACGGCTGCTTGTTGGAGATCCTTCGGTCATGGCCTCAGCCATCTTACGGTACTCTCGAAAGCGGTACTGAATAGAATCATAAGTTGCTCCTTGACCAAAATAAACAGCCATGGCTCTGTAGTCGGGCTGGTCACAACCAGGATCAGTTAAGTGTCTCACCAGAAAGGAGGAAATTTCTGAGATCCGCTCAAAGGGGCATGTAACAGGGTAAAGTCACGCAAGGAAAAGCTCTATGCTTACTGTGAAACCAGGATGCGATGCTAGCAATGCAGCGATAATGCGCTCGATTGCTGCTTTGTCCCAGGTAATGCCCATGGTCAGTTTTCTTCACACTATGGATAAGATCCTTCAACAAGTAAATAGTGTCAACTAGTGAAAGAGTGACTTGTTGGTTCCGACGAAAACCAAGGATGGTAGCAAAAGATGAATGAGAAGCGCTGAAGAGAAAGATGGCATGTAGAGGAACACAAACAAGAGCTTGAAAACTAGCTGATGCCCTAAGCGGAATTTGTGCAGCTAGAGGGTTGCGGCTTGTCTGCGGCTGGTCTAGTAAGATGCCGTCCTGGTGCTCGGCGTCACAGAGACGTGAGTCAGCGAGTTGCGGCTGTGCTCAGGCAATGCGCACTGTGGAGGTGACGGTATTTTATATATCTTGGATATGTGATGCTTAGGGCTGGAAAAAAGAGTACCAGAGGCAAATCGTTCCTGGCTGGATAAAGGGGTATCAGAGCATGGGCAAGTGGGATATGATATCTAGAGACCATATACCGTTGAGAGCAGGTTGGATATGAAGCGCCTCAAAGGCACAGCATGGAATTTGGGAGCGGATCTAGGAACTGGCTCAAAAAGAGAGCTTGGACCCGGGTCCTACCCGCCTTGAGATCGGGTGCCATTCCTTAGCACTGGGAGGTTTGGTCGACTACTGCCAGTAGAGCGACCGACCGGTGGAGAGCGGTAGAACTTCCAAGTTAATCTGGCAGGCAGGGAAACTGCCGAAGAAATGGAAATCATCATCATCACATACCAACGCCATAACGGATAGCCCAATGCTAATATACATATCAACGCCGTTTTCCAAAAAAAAAAAGTGCCCAACGTCCCAGCCAGAAACCATACCGAGCAGTTCGCTAGGTTAGAAGCAGGGACTTCTTATCGGCTGTATTAATCAAAGTGAGCTGGTAAAACCGTCAGTAATGGGTACACAGGATGGCAAGTCGGGGATGCTCACCTCAGCAAACACTGGACTTCCGTACGCAGTATTCCCCAGCAGGTTGGGCTCAACCGAGACTTCTCTGAGACCGCGAGCCTCCAGCGACTCCCAGAATTCAACCCACTCTGCTAAAGATTTTGGAAGTCCGAATGTAGTCGTGGGCTTGGTTTCCATCATATGCGCTTCGACCAGGAGCTGGCCGACTGGTAGGTCCCCATCCTGGAAATCAGACAAAAATGCGCCAAGGGCGTCGAATTCCGATCCCTCAATGTCCATTTTCATGATGTCGATGTAATCATGGCCATTCAGCTTCATCAAGTCCTTGACGGAATAAAACGGCGGCGAACGATCGGTGTTTGTGATATTGGAGATGCCGGCCTTGGTGAAGTGCGCGCGCGGGAGGAACGAGTGGTCCAGGCTTACGGCCCAGGAGTTCACCGAGTAGTCATATCCCCAGATCTCGCAGTTCGTCCGGGAGAGCACGGAGTTTTCAAAGGCAGAATCGTCGTTTACCCCAAAGGAGTAGATGACGCAGGGTCTTTTCTTATTTGCTTCGTATCTGGTCATGCCGCAAACCCATTTTCCGCCGTCGCCGTCCTTGCCAACACGCTCGAGCTCAAAGGGGCAATTGAAGGCTGGATATACAAAGTCATAGACGTTAAAGGGCGCAGCGTAATCCTTGGGAAATCTAGGATTGTAGGAGCATGAGTTAGCGGACCCGATGATCGTCTGCTTTACTCCAAGAGGGTTTGATACCTGCGAGTTTTCTTGCTCTTATCATACCATGCTTGCATCCTTTTTCGGCCCTTGATGTTGTCTTGCCATAGCCGCTCGTACATCTTGAGCTCCGTCGCTAGATCGCCATTCTTGGTCTTGAATGAACTGGCGGCTTTCTTGAGGGTTTCCCCATGGTCGGAATTGAACGCAGCGAGCAGAATGACGCACGCGATAGCGAATGTGATAAAAAGCGGGCTACAAAACCGAGTCATAGCAACGGACAGAGAAGAGAAAAAAAGAATAAAAATAAAAGTAGATAAAACCAGCCTCGAAGCTTCCAAACGGAGATGAACGAAAGACAATATTGTAAAGCAGCAAGAAGAAGAAGGTATCCCTTCAGGTCCAGAGGAAAAGGGGGATGCAAAGAGGCTCCTCCGAGGATAAATCCAGATCATCATTCGACCCAGGTTCGAAGCGGCAATCCGGGTTGAAGTACTCCATTGATCTGAAGCCCTCTGCCCGTCGGCCGTCTGGCTGCAGCCATTGGCCTGGAGCCTCGCTGGGCCAGGAGGCAATACATGGCGTTGGATCCAGCTGCACCACACGATGTGTCTCAGCCTGAGCCTGTTGTCTGAAAGTTTCTTGAATGCTCCGCGGATGGAAACCGAGTTCGCCAAAGGCCTTGTTCATGTTGGCATTTGGCATCAAGTGCAGCCGTCACAGATTGTCTCTTCGATCAGCGTGCCCGCAAACAGGCATGACGACGACCTCCAGGGAATCATCCCCGCCGGGCCCCAGACTCTAGTTAGCCTCCAGGGCGCGCATCCTCATTGAACCAGGGGCCAAGTGTGAAGGGCGGAACCTCCACGAGCTAAACGGGCCTTTGGCTTTGGTGGCTTGCTGCGCCGACGAGACCGGCGATACCAGGCTTGAAACCGGTCTTGCGCTTGGAGAAAGGATCCAGCCAGAGTTCGCAACAATGCCGAAACCGATCGATGATTCGAAGCATGTGCAGCCAGCTGTCAATGCACGAGTTTGAAACTTCTCGAGTGAGCAAACAGAAAACGCGATGGAAAAAGGTTGGCGGCGTAGAAGCTATTTTTGATGCTCTCTCTCTCTCTCATCCTGTTGGATTTTTCGTTTCATTTTTTTTATCCAGCGGTCTCCTCGTGGCTCTGCATGGATGGCGTTCATCGTGGGAGCACAACATCCGGTTGTCCTGAACACGAGCGCCGCCTCCCAGGCCAACCGTGGAGCAGCAGGTGGAGATTGGCGGCATGCATCAACTTGAGACATGCAAGGCTTTAGTTAAACTCCGAGAAGCGCATCCAAAGCTCGAATTTGGGCTGTCAAAGACGTCAGAGCTCGTAGCCGGGGATTCTGTTTTGAAGACGCTCTTCCGCAGCTCAAGTCGCTCGTTGAAAACCTCCGTCTCATTATCTTTTAGTGAAATGTAAAGCTCAATGGCCGTTGACATTTATCTCGCCAGTTTGGCCGCCTGGGTGGTGGCCAACGCCGGGATCGCATACAAGCGCTGGGATCGCACGGATTCGCCGCACGACGCTTCAAGCAAAGCGGGCACAAATCTCAAGTACACCTATTTCATCGTCTACGTCCTTGTTGTCGCTTCGGACTGGCTGCAGGTCTGAAGCATCCGTCGCCGAAACTGCATTGCTCTGTGACTGACGGGATATACGGCCAGGGCCCATATCTCTATCCGCTCTACAAGCAGACTCTCCAGCTCCCCGAGAATATCGTTGCCGCCCTCTTCTCCACCGGCTTCGTGTCGGGAGCAATCAGTGCTACCTTTGTGGGCAGCCTTGCTGATCGCTATGGGCGACGAAGAGCCTGCCTTGCCTTTTGTGTGATTTATGGCCTCTCCTGTCTCCTGACCGTTACCTCCAGCTCCATCTATCTTCTATTTCTAGGCAGATTGCTTGGAGGTATCGGGACCACTCTGCTTTTCACAGTGTTTGAGACATGGCTTGTCGCCGAGTTCCATCGGTTGGAGCTTGGAAAAGATGGCGTAGAATTGAATGACCTTTTGGGCACCATGACCATACTGAACAGCATCGTTGCCGTTGCCTCTGGGCTGTTGAGTGAGTTTCTGGTAGGCTGGACAGGCAGCAAGCGGTCGCCCTTTTTGGCCAGCATCGTCTGCTTGAGTCTAGCATTTGCGGCTATCATAAGGATATGGGTTTGTTGTCAGTTCATTCCCTTTGCACTCCTATTGTCTAATCTCGCAATAGAGCGAGAACTATGGCGATGAAAAGGCCGTCAAACGCGACTCTGCAATAGCCCACTTGCTGGACGGGCTGTCGGCGTTGGTAAAAGGTTAGCCCTGATCTGGTGAATATCTATTTGTGAGCTCTGTATTGACCGTCGACGCAATCACTGCAGATAGCCGTGTTTTGACGCTCGGCATTGCTTCCAGCGTCTTCGAAGGAACAATGTATCTTTTTGTCGTATTTTGGTCTCCGGCAATGATATCAGCACATGCTGAAGCGAACAAATCGGACTCACAAAATCCCCCTTTTGGGTTGATATTCGCCAGTTTTATGGCAGCTATGATGTTTGGCTCTCAGACCTTTGCACACATCATGCGGCCGTCGTCCTCTCCTCCGCCACTGGAGTTGGAGGATTCTGCCCCTATTCCATTGCTAAGGTCGACTTTCCTACTGAAGATTCTTTTGCCCGTCGCGAGCATCTGTCTATCTTGGAGCGTTCTTCGTCCCACGGTGCTATCAACCCTGTGGGCCTTTTGCTTATATGAAATGGCAGTTGGGGCTTATTTCCCCAGCATGGGCGTTTTGAAAAGTTTCCTCATCGATGACTCGAATAGGGCGAGCGTATATGCACTCTTCAGAGTGCCTCTAAATTGCTTTGTGGTCATTGGATTAGCATTGACAAGAGAAGGTAAGCCGTTATATCTGGACTGATGAGCAGCACGAGCTAATGTGAAGCCAGGCGAAGGATACCGTAACAATGTGTTTATGAGCTGCAGTGCCTTTTTACTGGTGGCTATGGGATTTGCGAATTTCTTTCTCAAGCACTAAATCTTAGACGCCAATCTATTTTTCTTCTAATAATTCTATATTAGGTTATTTCGGGTTTACTCCTTTTCAGTAAAGACCACTTAGATCACAACCACTAACTTTCCATCCCCTCGAGTTTTTACTATTCACAGTGTAGGACTAATAACTATAAGCCGGCAGGCGCACTTTTCTCGCCCACACCAAGTTTGATACCCGTTCTGCTATAAGGGGACATCGGCTTTGAGCTGATAGACGACGCAGTTGTCTTTAGATCTTCAATTTCACTTGAAGGCATGCTATCATCTCTAGCAGCCCACGACTGCTACATGTGTGCACCTCGACGTAAAGAAATTGCGTCTGATAAAAGCTTCGAGAGCAAACATCAGTAGCTTTTCTTTACGGCAGTTTCGGTAGCAACGGTTGGTCCTACACGGTTGATAGGTTGACTCCAAATTTCAAATATTGCTTATGGATTCACATCTTTCTATCCTCACTGTCTCCACGAGGAGTTATCATAATTTACTCTCAAGAACTCGATCTCAAAATATATATGATTTGGTCTTGCCAAATCTTGTGCTTCTTATTCATTTATTTCTTCTTCTAGAGAGCTATACTTGCCCAGCTTCTTCATTATCAACAGTCATCACTTTGCAATATTCTTCTAGGGGAACTAGTCAGGAGGCACGGTCTCGGTAATCAGCGTTTGATTCTCTTTGCTCTGTTGCCCTGATCACCTTTCTTTGTTTATTTTGCAGTATCAACATACAACAACCATTTGCAACGCTTTTCCTCAACACATGCGCACTGATTCCAGCCCTTTCTTCACTTTTATATGCAACCCATCTCCCCCTAGCAACACATATCAAGAGAAACACCAGTCAGTTACCAGCCTTCATCTTTCTTCTCACTTTCACTTCGTTTAGTGTTGTCTCACTGTACCTTTTTGCCAGAAGTTTCCTTGCATACTCACAATATCTATCTTCTGCTACAGCTTGTCTCAAAGTGTCCAGCGGCCTCGAACCCCTCAGCTTGTCCCCAAGTACATGTCACTGTTACTTGACTTCCTGTGACCTTATCGATCCATTTTTCAGTTTATCAACACCAGGTTCGGCCTCTGCTCCCTCGTTGCATTCACAGTGTTGCCCTGCTTTTACTCTCCTATACTTGCATCTGTCTCATCTTTTACTCCTTCGTTTGTCAATACCAATTCTCATCCGTCATGACTTTGTAGTCTACCAATCTTCAGAAGCGCTTTATCCCGCGATACAATCCTGATATTCCTTCAAACACCTCATCAATTCGACTCAAGATGCCGATCAAATGGACCTCCGAAAATGATCAAATTGTAAGTTGACTAGTGATAATATCTGCTACTACAAATCCAGTTTCTCTTTTCTAACATATCTTCTCACAGCTCCTGTTGAAAATTTTGGAGACTCATGAGATGACAGTTGATACTAGGAAAGTCGCGGAAGCCTGGCGTACGTTGTTTGCAAAAATAAATCTTTATCCAGTTAAAACGCCGCTAATAACACATTTATAGCCCAGGGGGATCCTAACGCTATCCCAACCCCTCGCGCGATTACAGAAAGATTACACAAGATCAAAAAGACAGCAAAGGAGAGCATCAAGGGAATCGCTGGGGGCACCCCGAAAAAGGCGACCTTAGTCAAGAACAAAACACCAAACAGCGCCGGACCACGTAAACGCAGCGCAAACGCCTCCGGTACCCCGGTTAAAAGGATTAAAAAAGAACCTGATTTGGATATTCAAAGTTCCCCACTTGCTGGCCATGGACATGCTGGAAACGGTGAGGGAAACGAACTCGTGAAAATGGAGGACTCCGATGCTACCGTTGGTACTTCTCTGGGGGGCATCGATTATGCCTGTCCTTCAAAACGCGTGAGAATCGCCCCCCGCATGCGTGTGGGTTTTGTGGCCTATGATGATGATGAGGATACTGACCGTGATGCAAAGTACGAGACTGAAGGCAGCGAGTACCTTGACTGTGTGAAGCCGGACGAGTACGCGTGAATCTCGTACAGCTTTTAGTTTTACTTGGGGTCGACGTAAACGGTTTCATCCTTTTTACAGATTGTCGAGATTGGTTTAGAGGAGAATTTATCTCGCTTTGATACTGGGGGATTGGGCGGTTGGTAGTTAGTTTATATGCAAAAGAGGCTTTGAATACAGTGACCTTTTTGAATCTGTCTCTGTGCTAGTATAACATGACCAGTATCTGGGTGTATGAAGTTATTCCAAGTCCAATGCGTCCATTTGATAGACGATCATGAGGGTGGCTAGAGGTCAATTGAGGTAAACAGGAACTGTAAACGACCTTGAAATTCAGATATCCTAGCAATCAGTTGCCCAAAGTACTCGTTCTAGCCCATGCTACCTGGGAAGCAACACGAACAAGATCTCCGAAATTCCAACAAGCCTCGCAGGGGAGACACACCAACAGCCCGCTCAACGAAGTTCAAAAATAATAGACGGGGTTTACAAGCAAAGCCTCGCAATATTCAAATAAACGCCGCATCATCGTCAGCGTTTTCCGCTTTAATCTTCTTGTTTGCAGGTTCCTCCTTGACAACCGATTCATCTTCGTCCATGTCTGGCTTAACCACAGCCTTGCGCTTCCTTGCTGAAGTACTCGGAGTGCTCTTCGAGACCGCACTGCGACTCTTCACAGGGGTCTTGGGGGATTTCGAAGGCGTTGTGGGCGCCGAGCCAGCTTCACCTCCATCTCCATCAGCCAGTTTCTTGAGCTTTCTGAAACGATGCTGCAATGCATATTCGGTGACGTCTTTTTTTTTTTATATTCGGGCTTGTTAGCGGAATTGCATTGAAAAAGAGCAGAGATGGTGAAAAACTCACCGTCGCCCATGTACTCTGCCACTGCCTTGAGGTCGATTTTCGGTGCAGTTCTCATAATGGCAACCAAGAGCTTTGGATAGTCAGTTTCTTAAGAGTGCGCATACTATAATCGGGAGGCTTGTTTCGAAAAGGCGTAGGGTTCAGGCTTCTCTATGTATAAAAACAAAGCGAACTTACCCGGGCATCGGCTTGAGCATTCCATGTGATAGGCATTCTCTTGAGAAGAGTGAAAACACGTGGTTTTGTTCTGGTAATTTTATCACTGATATCAAAGCCTGTCTCTTTAAATGAAAATGTGTTCGTAACGCGAGTGCGTGGTTGCTTGCTCTTGGAGAGTTGGAACTGTTATGAAAAAAGTGTCAACAAATATAACAACACTGAGAGGAGCTTAATCAAGAGGGGTAGTTAGGGGTCGACGTGTTTTTTTATGCCACTGGCAGTAGGAAGAAAAAGGATCTATCAACAAACACAACTGTTGTGTTGTCATGTCAACCTCGCTCGGTGCGATCAATCCCATGTCCCTAGATTGGATCTCTACTCTATATTCATCGAGGATGGGGGTATTATGAACTTGCGAGCTTCAACGATGGCGTGTATAAATTAGATCCATGTGGTTCCTACTATTAGATACCCTTTTACCAACGCAGCTTTGGAGGCAGTTGGGCTACTGTGGATTAGTTGATTAGTCGGCAAGGCTCTATTGAAGTCAAAGGAATTTCAAGAAAGGGATTCGGTATAAAACATCAATTCTGTCATTATGCGGCTATCGTGGGTCGAGGCATCAAGTTTGACATAAATATCGCTCGACGTGAGAATGTACTTTATCGGCAAGCCAGCAAGAGCAGAAACAATAAAAGCATGGTAACAGAATGCCCCGAATGTCATGAAACTAGCCTAGAAGTCCTCCAAATTGGGTATGCCAGAAAATTACCAATATGGAAACGCTAGAAAAGGCGAGTCAGCATATAATGGTTCCCGAAATAGGACAAAACGAGCGAACAGATTATACGCACCTTAGCGACATGTCGGGAAGAAATGATTCAAGCAGTTCCCTCGGCGTCTTTGGCAGCATCAACGGAAGCATCATCGGCCGCGGCCTTTTTAGCATTTTTACGAGGACGTTTGGTAGGAGTTTCACCGGCAGCTTTGGGCTCTCTGGGTTTGCGCTTGCGCGGAGACGGAGTGACGGCCGCACCGTTTTCGGTAGCACCGTTGGTATTTGGAGAGCTGTCAAGGGTGCTTTTCTTAAGTTTAGCAAAGTGCTGCCTGGATAAGTATTAGTATCGATGCTCGAGTTTCATTTTGTTGTGATATGGCGATGAAGGAAGGGTAGTATTGCAAGCAGTATGCTGCTATGAAATTTCGAGATTTCTGGCTTTGTTCAATCACAAAAGCTAGATGGAGTAGAAAAGGCCTCGACTTGAAAGCAAAACGAAAGGCAAGAATGTAATCGAGCACATACCGGCACGCTTCAGCAGTGAACCCGCCACCCATAGCGGCAGCGACGTTGTCCCAATTAGCTTTGGCACCAGCCTGGTCAATAACGTTCATAAGCAATCTTAGATCAGTCGTAGCGTCCCATGGTCCAGGCATTTTCGCGATAGGTAGCGAAGATGAGGAAAAGGATATTGCGAAGAGACGAGTGCTATAGAGCCGATCTGAAGTGCTGAGATAATGTTGATAGAAATTGGGGACTTCTATGATGAAGAAATAAATGCGAAGAGTGTGAAGGAACAGAAGAAAGATCGAGAAGAGAAAGTCTCAGATTGAAATTTATAGGCGTGAAAAAGCGGGTTTACGACAGTAACAGGCAATACCCCTTTCCGTCTTATAACCAGAACAAGTGAAAACAGATACGGCATGTGACTCTGCGTTCTTAGCAGTAAATAGTCTGTATCATCTGTCTGGAAGTGTGTTTGTAGCGATACAGTTCTCTGAAGCACACATTCTATCTCGGAAGGAATGGTAACAACTGTCGCCCAGTAGAGGGAAAATTCTCTGTGTGGCTTGCTCCCAAGCCAAGCATTCGTTCAATCCATGAGGAAGATGAAGCTCGTCCTGGCTACAGGAGATACTTTGTCCACTTGCAATACCGGCAAGGGGAAAACATCTGTGCTAAGAATACCGAAGTCGATGCCTATAATACTGATCGCACCAGTATTTTCTGCATCTCAAACCAGAAAAAGAGTGTTTTCCACTGATTAGCTGCATGGATTCTGAGAGAACAGAACATGCATGCCTGTAGCGGCTCCGGGCAATGGATTAACCTTGAAGGAAAAGGTGTACTTTCATATCTTGCCGGTCGAGGGTTCATGGCTGTCCTTTAGGAATGACCAGCAATGAGCCCCTACCGCTATGGTAGGCTCACAAGGCAAGGCCGCCCCAGCGGCGCTGACTCGATGGATATAGAGAGCGCTACCTACCCTTTTGGAGTCTCGGCGTCACGACAATCTCTCGCCATTGGTCGGTACCCTGAAGCCAGATACATACTCGCTCTGTTCGTCGGCTCGGGGTATAGTTTGCATCTTCTGGTGAGCGGGTTGATAGCGGCAGAACTGGTTTGTGTTATACCGGCCTCATCCAAAGCATGGCCAGGATCGTGGACGTGGGGTTAAGTTGATGCCCATACAAGTATCCATCACGGGGGTAAAGAAAGCCTCCGGTTTCAATATCTGTTTTCGAGTCTCCGGCCAGGGTAGTATGGCCAGGTCAGCCAAGATGGGTACACGGGCTCAGCGGAATCTTGCAACGGTGGCCAAGGAATATGCTCTGGGAAAAAAGAGGGTAAGCCTAGTTTTCTCTCTGAATTCATGGATTCACCTGCTTGCAAGCAAGAGTTGTCACCATTGAAGATGATGATTGTGAGGTGAAGTTGGAATATCACAAACTCGCTAACTAGTTGCGCCTTTCCAAGACAGGTTTAGCGTCTCATCCAGCACTCTTCTACGACATTGCATGTTCTCCTGTCTTGACCAACTCACTCCATAGACAGACATCTTCTTTCTGCAGTCTGCCTTTATTGTCAAGCTAAATGAAACAAAGGAGAGCTATCTGTCCAGTGTTTAGGAACATAATGTTAGCAACAATACTAAGAGCACACTGCCAATCTTGCTGGAACACAGCATTACCCAAACCAGCCTTCAACTGGAGGTTGGGCTAAACACAATCTACAAGAAACATGCGATCAAATGTGCCATGCCAAAATTAATGTGGCAGTGGCAGCTTCAGCTTGGATCTTTGTCGCGGTTAATGACATTTTCTGATTGACATCCCTGGCTTTCACTAACAAAGCACGGGAAATTATCCACATTCCGACAATGCCTTCAGTCTTGCAAACTCACACAGATCCATATGACCAGAAGCTGCTAGTATGTTACCTGAAGATGGACATATACTGGATGCTGGGATGATTAGGACTGCATGAAACACACGACCATAATCCCATTTATAAGCCCCATTCCTCCCTGCACAAACCTTCATCACATTGAATTTTTGCCTGTTTTGGAGACAAGAACCGGTGATATTGGATGTTGACGTCTTGAGACAAGTCATTTGATTGACAATTCTTAATATTCATTCTACTTGGGTCAATCGAAACTACTTGTTCTTGATACCCCGTGTCTCCATACGACCCCGACATGGCAACTCTTAAAAGGAGCAAAACTCTACCGGCCGATGGGCAGACCACCAAATTCCTGTATACAATTTTGAAGCAATTGGACCTGAAATCGGTATGCGGCGCCTCTGAGTGTATCTTGCCCATCCCTCAGCTGACATAGTTTGTCCCTGGAGATTGATTGGAACCTGGTCGCCTCACAACTGGACATCACGAATGGCCATGCTGCAAGAATGAGATTCTCCCGCTTTAGGCAACACATGGAAGGAATATCTACCACTCCTAGAACTCCTCGCCCCAAGAAGCCGAAAGCCACCAAAGCGAAGCCGAAGAAACAGAGCTTCAGCGACTTAAAAGCACAGCCCGAGCCACCCAAAATCAAACCAGAGCCAGCTATCAAGGTGGAACCGAGCCTCATGAGCCAAATAGATCCCTCTTTGCTTGCTTTTCCACGAGTTCCGGGACCAATGCAATTTCATCCGTTTTCAACAGTTGCGCCCGCAGACCTAACCAGGCCCTATCCGCCATCGGAAATACCAATCGGGTATCCGCGACCGCCCATTGGGCAAAACTGGCCTCATATTAAAACTGAGCCCTGCGATCAAGAAGTTGTCATGACGGATGCATTTGTGAAGACCGAACCCGATAACTGAGCATCGGGTAATGATTTTGACGGAAAGACGGCGGTGCCTGGGCTTCCAACAGTTTTCCTTTGTTATATGATATCCTACAGCACCTCTTTCTCACTGTCGGCTCAACTTTTTGCTGCATGATTTGGAAAATGGTTATCACCAAATTACTGTCTTCCAATTCTATCCATATGCAGTTATATTACTGGTTTCCAGATCTACTCTCTGTTACAGCTCTATCTCAACATCACAGAATACCATAGCTTTCACACCTTTCATCCAGCGCCACTGATATTATAATTTGTTCACCTAAAATTGGGCACCGGGTTTCCAATATCTTCTCACTTGTGGCCCTGCAGGTAAGAAACTTCCCCTGAATCAGGTGAGCTATCCCGCAAGCTAACTCAACAGTTCGGTGAATTTCCAATTCAGGCACCGTATCTTTCGTCTCAGATACAAGCCCATCCGGGCAAGCCATTCCTCTTTTGAACATCTCCCGTATTGGTCTTGTTTATAAAATCCTTTCACATCACACGCTCTTCATCACTTTCTTTTTCCCTAGCAACTCCATTCTTCACATTTTGTTATTTCTTCTCTCCCACAGATCACAATCAATTCGCCTGATATCTACTACATCTTTCACTTCTAAAAATGGCTGAAACCACTCCCGAGGTCTCAAGCAGCAGAGTTACCGACGAGACATTTATGATGGAGTGTTTCAGACACATCCAAAACCCCGTTGTTGTAAGTGGCCTCCAATATCCTTCCACGACTCGAAACTTCTAGAGCAAGCATAGGTATCTCTGCCTCCCTTGATTAACGCGAAGCGTTCTCAGGTCGATGTCAGTGGGGTCGCAAAGGCCTTGAACTACACCAACCCGGTGTCTGTTTCCAACCGTCTTTCTCGGTTGAAGAAAAAGTTCAACCTTCGCGTCAGCTCCACCACCGGTCCCGTTCCGGTCGGCGACGAAGCCGACATCTCCGCCGCAGTTGCGGGCGCGACCCCAAAGAGCACTCCCCGTAAAGGCGCCCGCGTTGCTAAGGGTCCGATAAAGGCCAAAGCTCCAACCGATGGTGAGGAACCCAACGACGGCAGTCCCGTAAAGCCAGCCAGAAAGGCGGGTGGCGGCCGTAAACGCAAGACCGCTGCGACTCCAGCTCCTGTCGAAGAGCAAACTGAGAATGGTGAAGCCACCGAGAATGGCGCGTCCCACATCAAAGACGAAGGTGCTATCGTTAAACCAGAGGCCAGCGATGCCTAGGAGCAGATCGGCCTGGTGGTAAGCGGACACGTCCTGAGTTCTTGGTTGTTAATCACTCCCTTTAACCACTTCTATAGATACCTTTGAGGTCGCCACAAGTTCGACCATCCGCTCTTACGGAAACCGGTCAATAGTCCGTATCTTAAACACGCTTTCTCGGGATTCTACTACGACTCAAAAATGTTCTAATCGTTCATGTTGAATGCGCTTTGTCTACCCCAAACTGTATCTTGATCTTGGTTTCCCCCTGCCTGTATTCTCTCATTTGCTTTGGAGGATTGATAACTAGCTTTGATCAACTGGATAATCAGCTTGGGATGATATCTTGCTTAATAGTAGACAGCTCAAAGGCAAATACGATTTTTCCCGACTTAGTGATGTTACTGCTCCTTCTTCTTGATATTTGTTGATGAGAGCCTAAGCATGCCATCCTCGCAAACACACATGTAGAATGAAGGTTAGCCCTTCCTAGGTGATCGACCCTAGTTATGGGAATTCCGCAGAGCCCGGCAAATCTAGATGAATAAATTGTCCAAGGGCTAGACTATCTGAGCTATCGCCGTGGCTCAAGACACCTCCAGTAGAGTCCTGTAAATGATAAGCGCCCCTTGCATCGTCGTAAAACAACTCTCGTAGTTCTTACTGGGCGTTGAAGAGTCGTTCCATATATCAAAGTGGTTTTAAAGACTGGCATCCGTATCCTGGGGTCACCTTCGGCAAAGAGCCTCCCATTCCATCTGGTTGAAGAATATCAAGCTGACCAACTCATATAACTCCTCCATCAACTGTGTGCTGAGAGGCTCCCCTGAATCCCTTTTAAGGTTCAATTTCTTCTTGTCTGCTTTTCCTTCTCTTCCATCAACTTGCAATCCTCCACCCTGCTACTGTGTCTTATCAACTATCTTTCAGGAAGCACTCTGCTCTGCCATTATACAGTGCACTTCTTCTACCGTTGTGCTCCGCCAAACTATTTCCCCTTTTTGACAACAGGGTATGCACCGCACGCTCCATATTCATTTGCAGGAGACGAGAACAATATTGACGCGCTCGACTTGGACAACGCATAACAAGGGAGCTAGACACGAGTTGTTTTGAGGACACCAAGGTGAGAGGCCTCTCCAGTTGACTAAAATCAGATCCGTTCACCTGGGTAGTTGATATACCGCCATCAAGTGAGAGCATAAAAGTCCCACACACTCCCGAAAGTCCTCACATTTCTGTCTATTTCCCTGATCAGGGTCAGCAATGCACACACATCCTTTCAAGAAGTGAAAACTGTTTACTCACTTTCTCTCCTCTGTCCTTTTGACATATTTCACTGCACCTCCTCCTACCCTCAACATTCCACTTTCTGCCATACAATCCCACAGCCTTCTTGCAATATTTCATTTCAAATCACAAGAAGAAGCACACGGAAAGGTGCACTGTGTGCGAGATCCAGTCTGATATCAATTTATCAACAGGCAAACATGTCGCGTATTAGTGCAGACGACCAACTCAACTTTTTGTTGAGTTGTGTAAAGAACTCCAACAATGGAAAGGTACGTGAAATCAGCCTCCAATAACAAATGATAATCGCCATGGCGACAGATGCGTGCGTTCCATTGCAGCTAACAATAGTGCCTTGTAGGTCAACTTTGCAGCCGTCGCAGAGGAATGTGAAATTGTCACCAAGGGCGCCGCGTAAGTCCACCCGCATTGGAAACCCCCCATTCCAAAAAAAATCCGCCTGTTGTGGGTATATGATACATCTGGAAGTGCAAGCCATTTCTTCAAATATCAAGAACCTATGGGCTTTCACGACTTCTCATGTTTCAATTTTTAAGAATCCAAGATTCTAACCCCAATCTGCCACAGCGCAAAACGATACGAGCGGCTCATGAAAGCCAACGGAATCAACCCCAACGGCGGTGGTCCCGCTACTCCAGCCGATGGCGAACCAAGTCCTCCTGAGACACCCAAAAAGCCTCGCAAAGCCCCTGCCAGCAAAGCAGGAACCCCCAAGGAGCCCAAATCTGCCGCTAGCACTCCACGTAAGCGCAAGGGAGGGAAAGCAGCAGGCGCAGCGGCCGATAACTCCCCGACAAAGAAGTACAAGTCTGCCGGAAAAATCAAAGCGGAAGATAGCGACGATGGTGCTGCCGCCAACAATGATGCAGCCTCTGGTGAAACTCAAACTGGCAACGCGGGCCCAGAAAATGATCCTTTCTTGGTAACTGCTGTTGGCAGCGACAAGAACGTCGATATCAAAGCTGAGAACGTTGAGGAGGACATTGAACTTGAGGTTTAGATGGCAATTCTTTTCCTCGAACAGTTCCCGATTTCAATGTCTGCAAAATACCTTGCTGCTTAACATAGTGATTGCTTTGGTACTTGCATAGAGGAAATTTTCAATATCGTACTTAAGGCTTGATTTTGGGGAACGCCAGGAAGAAATGAGTGGCATATGGATAGTGACTTGAAGAATTTCGTGTTCAATATCGCTGAACAGCAATCAAGCAATCGCAGAAAAAGGTATTGATATATTAAATGGACGTTTGGTGAAATAACAATCCAATGTAATCAAATGGAATTATAAACACCAGCAATACCATCTCCCTGAATATTTGGGTTCTCACTGAAGAATAAAGGGCAAAAAATCAATTGTTCATGGCAATACTACCTTTCAGGCATCATCCATCACAACTTCAAGTATCTTCTTCTTGTACTGCCTTAGTGCTGCATCTCGCTTCCGCATTTGCCTCTTCAAGCTCAAATATCGCTGTTTCCAATCCGGCTCCGTGAGGAGCAAATCACTGCCGGAGTCATCTGCTTGTGTTTGTGAAATATCCCCCGGCAATCTGTCCGCTGTCTGCGACCAAAAGTCGACGGGGTTTCCACTAGCGTCTACCGATGAAATGGAAATTTGAATTTTCGTTGTGGTCGTGATGCCGGCTGACAGCATCAAGTCATAGTGAAGAGTGCATTGGATTCGAGGTGGCCCTTGAGGCATATCGTCAAATGTTGTATGAGCGATAGGCATGGAATCCGTTTCTCTGGGCCTGGAGGTAACAGTCGGTTCACGCACGATGTTAATCCTCAAAGGCCCAAGTCTTTTTCCACCCAGGCCCAGCCGAGGACCCAGACCTAGGTAAATTGCGCAATATACTGCGAAGTTATTGGGAGGTTGGTTGGTAGCACACTGAGAATCGATCTGCTTGAGTATAGCATCGGTGATGATGCTGGAGCCCTTCTCACTCAGAATACCAAAGCCTCCAGAGTTTTGCGCACGTTGAACTTCAAGTGAGAACATAGCTGCTACTCTGTCGAGAGAGAGGGTATCTAAGTCTTGAGGTGAGATGAAATGTTCGGGATGCCCAGGGTAAGAATCTTGTTGGTCATGGTCGTATGGGTGCGTTGGCTCTCTGATGACCTGGTTTTCAACAGATGGCCGACGATACTCTCCATTCACGAGAAGCTGAGGCGTCGCCAGCCTAACTGGGGGCTTGGGCGAACCCTGCGGGACTTGAAGCTGGAGTTTTACTGGCCGTAGAGTGCCCGTATTCGGAGTAGGGATAGAACTTGCTGGATCCTGCGCCGCATTGCTAGCTACATCCCCGCCAACCCTGTCTAGGCTTGGAAGGTTGGAATCCACAGGCTGAGAAGACTCGTATTCTGCAGGCATCGGGGCATTGAAGGTGCCCCCAATGTCGGTAGCTTTGGCACTTTGGAACGCTTGATGATTTCTTTCTTGATCCAACGGAGCTCCACGGGGCGGGGCCCATGGCGGGAAATCCGGCTGATCCCTCCGCCGCTTATAATGCAACTTATTTGCGACATCGGGAGTTATAGCGGAGCGTGGCTCTCTGTCAAAAAAGGCATCCTGAGGCGCAGAACGAGGGGTCACAGCTGACTGAGGATATCTGAATGGAGAAGTTCGTTGTGCACCAGGGAAATCCCATCGTGAGCTGGCACCTGGTGGTACAGCATGCCGTTGATGCTCAGTCTGACTATTGGTGCTGAATACAGAGTTTGTCGCCCAATTATCGTGTTGCTCGAAATCATCTGGAACCGCGCTCCATGGAGTGTAGGATACATCGCCGTTCCCACCAACGATGTTTTGTGTGTCTAAGCGTGGTCTTTTGGGGGTCTTTTGTTCAAGTAACGCTCGTTTGCGGCCCTTTCTGGGCTTCCACTCGGGGAACAGGGCTCGCAGAACAAGATCGTCCTCCCTTGGCACACCGTCCCGGGCATCCCCATCTTGCTCCTGCATAGCACCGATATTGCTATAATAAGGGTGTTTATTCCCAAGACAGTAATCGAAAAAGGCATCCACGTGCATGGCACGCATCCACCGCTAATGGGAAATTAGAATCAAGACAAAAATTTCATATGGACCGAATAGAATGAGATGGATCGGACCTTAAGGCGTACAGCATACTGCTGCACTTTCTGTGTGCTTTGTTTCTTCTCCAGAGATGGAGGCTCGACTCCAAGCTCCATGGCCAATTGGATCCAGGTCTTCAGCTCCTTGCGGTCGAATTTCTGTATCAATTGCCAGAGAATATATATGCTGAAACATTTCCCATCGCTTCGGGGCGGTGATCGGAACATTCTCCGCAGCTCGGACGTATTTGTAGTGGTTGGCACTCCCGGGTTGCAGTAGAAAATGAAATCTATATAAGCATCGTCTATCGTTGAGTCTGTGATGTCGCGCGATGGCGGCGTGCGAGATTCGATAGACGGCAAAAGCTCTCCGTTCCGCACCGCTGCGGAGACAGGTGGCGACATGGACGCTGCTGACTGACTCCTCCGGAGGAGCTCTGAGCGAGGTAATCGAGGAGAAGCCTGGAGACTTCCGGGAGTGCTTCTGCGGTACAGCGGAGGTGACATTGCATTGCGGAAGGACCCTTGGCTCTGCGGTGCAGAAGGAGTGGTGTTACGGATCAGATCCGAAGGGTTTTCGGGGTGCTGTTGGTCCATGATGGACGAATCTGTCTGCATTGGGACGTTTCAAAGCGGAGATGGAAAGATATACAGAGCGCAGTGGCCGTTTAGCACACCATTCCAGCCGCAAAAGATGTAAAAGGACCAGTAAAGGAGCTTCCTTGCCGCATTCACTACAAGGGGAAGCACGGAACGATCGACCGGAGTACGGGTCCCTGGTTCTTTGACAGCTGTTTCAGCGCATGAACTCTCAAAATGAACTGGAATTGCAGGTGTGAGACACTCATAAAAGGGAAATGGCCTCACAGGCCGTGTTGCGGGAGCTGGAGGGGGAGCTTGAGGAGTGCTTCAGGGATAAAAATAGCAACACGAAGACTTTTCCCCTTGGCCGCCAAAGATCGCCCCCTCCTGACAGCTGGAAATAGAACGGCTTGCATTAGCGGCCCAGCTCAGTTGAAGGGAAATTTGCGAGGTTCGCGCCGGGCAGAGATGAAGCTGGGGTGAAACCAAGATGAGAATACTGTACTACAATAATCAGTTGATCTTCTCTCTTTCTCTCTGTCTCTCCGTCAAAGTGAAGTCTGGATATTATGTAAGCAACATAGATCACGTGATATACTACTGTCATGTGACTTAAACCTTATTACAAAGCGATCAACCTCAACTTCACTCGACCTCCAACTCAACTCCATCGCAAGACGCGATCCTGTTCTATGGGCAACAAGGCGCTTCCTGACAGCCGCAATTCCATCGCTCTTCCAAGGAGCCTTGGACTGCTCGCCCATTCTGATATCCTTCCACTTTTTCACATCATCTAGTAGAATTGGTTTCTACTCGATTTCTTTCATTTCCAGATGGCTCCAGGCACTCGATCAATGTCCGTAGCCCGTCAGCGGCCGGCACAGCGCCCTGTTCGTTCCACACGCAGCGCAGCCACTTCTTATAAGGAGTGGTCGGACTCGGACTCGGATTTCGAGAAGGCCAACCGGGCGATGACACATGTTGAGTACGTGTCGGAAAGGAAGTGGGAGGCTTGCCGCTCTGCCCGTTCACCACCAACTGACAATCCTTTACATGCCCCGGAACACAGCCCTGGGCCGGCGAAGAAGCCAAAACTGGACGTGGATGAGGCCAGTCTACCTTTGGACTCGGGCGAGGCTAAACCGCCATGGGCCACCCTCCCGTACCACATCCTTTTCAAGATATTTCTCTATTTATCGCCTTTTATGAATGGACAACCTGTGGTCGATACGTCTCGGTCTGTCAAATGCCTGCTAGGACTCTCTCGCCTCTCTCGGGCTTTCTTTGACCCAGCCGTCTCGGCACTCTATTTCTCACCGCCCGTCCTTCCGGCTTGTAAACTGAAAGGCTTGCTGGAATTGTTAAAACAAGATCAGGACTCCCTATGTATCAATTATCGGACGAAAATTAGACACCTTGTGATGGACACTTCCGCGAAGCCTCAAATGGTCCATGCACTTCTTCAACTCACCCCGCAGCTCAAATACTTGCGGTTCTTTCACGCCGGGGGATACAGGCAAAATTCCAGTCGCACAATCCATTCTCCCCATTGGCTATTTTGCGACATGCCTCAACCGGAAGCCTTACTTAATTTACGCCTTCATAGCTGGGAGTGGAATGGAGGTATCTGTCTCCCATCCATCAAGTCTGTGCATAGCCATCCGGCATTTTCTTCACTTCAGAGCGTGCGCTTTTACCACCTCTATCACTGCGATGGTAAACGATCTGGGCCTCCTGGGGACTTGAACTATCAGGACCCCGCTACTCAGGCTCATGAGCTAGCCTCCGCCCTTGCTCTCTTGCCCAACCTAAAGCGGTTAGACTTTACCCAATGTTATTTCACTTGTGACCTTCTACCTCTGCTCCCCATGGATCTGAATTCACTATCAATTGTTGGTTGTTATGACATGAATTCCTCGGTTATTAGGAAATATTTATCAAGCCATGGGCGGCACTTGCATGAACTGGTCCTGGCTCAGAACAGCAGGCTCGATATGTCCTTTGCCCCTCATTTAGGCGAATTTTGCCCGCGGCTCAAGGTTTTTATTATGGATTTTAACACCGCCACGAGAAGGCATTCGCGGCAGGAATCTGAGACGAGCTCTGAAAATTTGCTCTCGGATTCCGGATTGCCTACTTGGCCGTCAACTTTGCAATGGCTGGAACTGCAACGCTTAGGTAAATGGCAAATTCCGGCCGCGGAACGACTGTTTAACTCCATCATCGACTCTGCTCCCCATCTTCGGGACCTGAGGACACTTATCATCACTGCAATAATTGATGTTGACTGGCGTGACCGGGCAAGGTTTCGCAAGCATTGGATGAAAAAACTAGAACGGACTTTTCTCCGAAACGCACCACCGCCCAGCAGGCAATCGGCGAGGGACAAAAGGTCGGCATTCGCTCGTGCCGCTCCGCCTCTTAGCGAGAGCGATACCTCGGCCACGGGGGCGTCGTCAAACCAGAAACAGACACCGCAGCAGGGTCCAAAGCGGCGAAGTAATCGCATTGCAGCGGCTGAAGCCGTGCATATCAAGCCAGTCGTAAACAGAACCTCGAACGGTTCCCCTGCAAGCGTGACGTCTGATAGTTCCCCTGGTGAAACATCAGAAAACCACCTGCATGGAATGTGTGATGTGGTGAAAATTCGCATTGACAATTTGCGACCCGCCACCGTTCTTCTAGACGCTGAAAACATCAGCGACGATGAAAGCGGAGATTCGGATTGGAATGGTGTCGACTTGGACTTTGACAACGGTTATGCATGGTAGGATCCCTGGGCCGCCTTGGCGCTCTACAGACTCGAGATTTGATTTTAGTTGGAATTTCTTCCGATTCGCATTGTCGTAAATTTAATTTACTTTTTTCGTCTTGTTCTCGAACATTTCTTCGAGCCCTTTCATATCGGACTTTTGTTTGCCGGGGCCCTGGGGTCTAGACGCCGGGCGGGCGGCGAGGCGTTTTATGATAGGCAATCCAAAAAAGGGTGAAGGGGGCAGGCATACTTGTAATTAATAGGCATGGATGGTGTTGTCCTTGGGCTTACGGCCTCTATTATAGCAATGCCATATTAACTTGCGTTGCGTTGCCTTCGGGGGTGAAATTAAAGAGTTACTGGGGTTATGGACGATGATCATGGCTGATGAGCCGAGGATTTCATCCCCTGAAACAGTTCAATTCATTAGTTAACTAGGAAATGCTGATCTACTCTATATAATGTTTCCGGCAAGGCTCATGTCGAGAGAATCAGCATTGGAATGGTCGAAATGGCGTATTCGGCCTATTTTCGAATATCCCATCCAGAGCACCCGGGAATCCTCCTACTTTTTGTCCCAACTCATGCTGCCTTGATCTTGTCTTTTCTGACGAATTTGAAGCTTCCAACATGCAATCGAGTTCCAAGACATTTCCGCCATCATTCAGAGGTAGGGCAAAGGCAGACTCAATCGAATTTTCGCCAAAGAACAAACTCGGGCTACTAGAGCCATCCCACGAGCAAAAGTCCCCATTCAAGATGCTAAACGCAGGGCCGGCCGACGTATGCGCTGCTTGGTCCATGGCTAGGGGGTTCGAGTCGGCGGTGCCTATTGGCAATAGCTGCATGTCCTGCTCCTCAATGGCCGGGTCATAGCTATGCGATAGCCCCCAGAACCCATCAATGGTCAAGTCCTGGAAACTATAGGAGCTTCCCGGCTCTGAGCTGCTTGACTCCAAGGTTTGGCTGATTCGTCCAGACTGTCTACATGATGCTGCCTGGGGCCTTCGACCGCTATGGCAAGAGGATCGTGGTTGTCTGTAGACACACTGCCGTCCCAGTCTCTATTAGAAAAAGTCAAGTTAGGGTCATGTCTAAAATCTTTCAGAGCAGACACCACGCATACATGACACTGATCGCATGGCCTGGCCCCATTGCCTTCAGGGCGCTCAAAATCATTAGCATTGTGTGCTTCTCCTCCCTGGCAATTTCAACTCACATCTGACTTTTCTTGACTTGCAGGATTCACAAGCTCCACGACGCCGAGTCAGTGCTCGTTTAGTATCGCAGGGACGAGCTGCAGCGGCCGTCATCAGCCGCTGTCTTGGGCAGTCAAGCGAAATAATTTTTGATGGAGACTTTCAAAGTTGCCAGGATATAGACTGTCGCTTGAGCACATAATTGAGATCACTCGGCTACGACTCTCGTCTCTGACCTGATATTTAAGGTCAGAGCAAAAAAAATACTCGACCCTCTATTGCCCTTGACACACTGGAAGGAGCCATTGCTACGCTGATCAGGGAAGTTAAAGAGGCAAGCCACAGGTCGTGCATCACAGCAATGCTTAGTTGTCGGTCCAAAAGTGGGAAATTTGTCAAGGGCTGGCAGATACGAAATCGTATCTACGATCTTGTTGGCCGTCTATCCTTCAGCCCTGGAAAGCCCAGCTGTTGGGAGATCTCAGTTGCGGACATGATCGCCGTTAGACAACATTTGGAAGCCTCGAAGACGTCCGCAGATCACTGACTTTAAGCTGAGCTGACTCCACGGAATCATAAACAATGCTCATCTGTGTTCCGAATAAGGCCACGCATCTACTTTTTGTAACAAATGTCCGACTTGTTTAAGCCCTTGTTCAACCGTCAAGCAACGCTGTTCAGCGTCTAGTTCAGTCCCCGCGGACAGGATCTCGCGGGAACTGAAGGCTGCGAGTGAGTTATACAAGGGTACTTAGAACTTGGACCTATTGCTGTTAGTGTTTTACCCAAATCATTGACAAGTTCAATCAAGCAATTGATCATCGGTAACCATCAAAAGCTTGGATTATCCCCTGATGCTGTCAACGTAACCCAACAGATAAAGAAGACACTGATTGGTGCTATGCCTGGACATATCTATGCTGGAATCTCTCAGCCCTTGACCTGAAGGATTTGTGTGACACAGCCAGCATCGTGGTTCTCGCATGCAAAATTGACTCACAAAGCAATCAACTTGCCCGGATATTCGGGATATCACGGCGGAAGGAGTCTAATCCCTGTGATCCTGCTAGATATATTTCGAGGGGTTGGATTACAAAATAGACGAAGCCTTCTCGTTTTCCTCTGGCTATATTGTTTTTCGATTTCAGGAGTCGGATGGGCTGTGGGCCTAGACACACTGCTCATCGGCATTACTTTCTGGGTTATGCTTGTCTCTGAATATCATAGTTCTCGTTGTTGGCCAAGCGGCGGGAATATGCTTAGACCAAGGGCGGTAGCCTGCGCGCACAGATTTGATTTTACTCCTCTTTTGAGAAGGCCATAGTTGTGGTTTCTCCAATTCAGCTCTCTGCTTTTGCTTCTTTTACCCTAAACGTGAAACAGTTTCAAACTAGATATCTTTTTTTCACGTAGTTAACAGTTATACCCTTTAAAATCTTCTTTATATGACCAACTCCTCACTTCATGGCCAGATATTGTAAGAATCTATATCTGCAAGAAATTGTCGCAGGATGCCACCCAAGTTGCCCTTCTTAATCAAGTGCCTCCCAGTTGAAAGACTCATATTTCACCTGTGCCACATCATTCTGTGGCACCAGCCAGCATGTATTCAAAAAGCCTTCAGCCTCCCAGCTCATACGAGCGCTAGGAATTGGGAAAACGTCGGAACCACTTCAATGAACATAGGTGCCCTTGCGCTGTAAACAAGGTTTTAGAAATATCTTGCCATGAAAAGGCTGGGCCCGGGAAGGATAAACTGGAATTGCAGCTCCTTCGTCTCTTCCATTCATCTCTTTCTCCGCTTCTTCATCAGTATTGTCAAGTAATATTTTGTGTTTGGGGGGAGATTCTGGTTCTGATCACTTGCCTGAACCTTTGTTAGTGACAATAAGTAAGCTGTGATATTTCGAGACACAAAACAAGTTTCGTTTTGAAGTCCTCCACGCGCTTAGTTTCCATCTCAAGCCAGCCGTACTCTTTATCTCCAATGTAGGTGCTGTCAGGGTATGTGGTTGCAACATCAAAATCTATCCACACAACTCGTTCTGGGTCGCTAGGTACAAGCAGGATGTTCTTGGGATAAGGATTGTGTTCAACTAGAGCGAAATGGACCTGTTGAATGCCATTGATACTCTTGGCCATTCGCTCTCTGCTGTAGGTAACGCAGTTCATTAGGAAGGCATTTGGAAAGATACTCTATCAGGATTGAGCTGGGGGGATGGCAGTCACGCAAGAAAGTATTCAGATGAGGAGCAAAGCCCTCTGTGTCCAAGGACAAGGTGTATCCGTAAAAGTATGAGCTGACGTTCGAATCCCTTTCTGATAACAAAACCAGAGCCAAAGGCGTTAAAAGGTTCTTATTAATAGGCAAGTGAGATGACTCAGAACCGTGGAGGAACCTTGGGACGAGCGACGGGAAGTCTACCGTGAAACTCTGTTGATGTTGGGCAAGTCCTTCCACGTATTGTTCAATATTCATCGGATATCAAGTTATCGGGCGGCGCTAGAAGCAAGCTGTGCAAATGCTCAGAATGTCAGTCGTCAGCTGGGAAATCAAAACGTCTGAAATCTGGAGAATCAACCTGCGCCCTGAAATGCCCGTCTGTGGCTCGATGTCAGTGGCGGTTCTCCCAGCTCGACACATAGCTGTACGCTTCGATTGGTATCAAAGATGCATTTCACTGAATCGTTCAAATTGATCAAGAAGCTAAGGGACAATATGTTGATCTCCACCTGATCAGTGTGTATTCTTCTCTTTGGTGCTGCCGCTTGCATTAATTAACTGGGCCCTGCAGTTGGAGCGGCAAGTTGACTAGCCCTTACATGCATCTGTTGAGCTTTTTGGTCACGCAGCACCACACATTTGCCATCCTGGACGACGGGAGACCACTTCAACTCCCTTCCATCCACTCAAGCCGTCCACGAGAAACACCAACAGCGGCTATTCGAATCCAGACTCGAATAACTCGTGGACTAATCACATCTCCCACGATTCACACCATGTTGCTGATGTAGCGTCGGTTCTGGCTTCATCATTGGCGACAGTCTGGTCGATCTGGGTGGCCACATTCTTGTCTCTTCGACCTATCTCCCTGGTTTTCAACTCTTTCTTTCGTTTAGCCGCTTCCAACTACCTATTTATTCTCGTTTGGAGCCAAATCCTCTTTACGACGTGCTATTCTTCGAGCGACTTTTATTTTCCTTGCGTTCTCGTCCAGCGGTATCGTTTGCGGGCTGTACGACTATCATCCAGACTATCTCTCTCTCCGTCTTTTCCATTCAGGCTTGAAGCATGAGTACACAATCATCGAGGGTACGAAGCCCAGCAGATGTTGGTGGGCCATCTGCCCCCCCACCACCGCTGCCCGAAGGATGGTATGTTCCGGTCGCTCTGTCAACACCTAGAAGAAGCTGATGGCTAATGGTATTTGGATTCTAGGCTTGCACAGTGGGAAGGGACACTACAAAGGTGGTATTTTGTCCAACCCGCCACAGGCAAATCGCAATGGGAAGTGCCCACTGAGCCTTTTATCCCTACTCCGTCTTCAACGCCTCACTCTGTTGCAAGTCCGGGTCCGTACCATGCTCCGCGAGCAGCAAGCCTGGCGCCGTCCGAGACCGAAGCCGCTTCAAGAGAATTTCAAGAGTTAAGGAGTGGGAAATTCTCCGGCACCAGCGGTTTCTCTGTATGTGAACGCGCCGTCAACGATATTTTCACCCTCTCTGACTACTTCAAACTAGAACCCTTCATTCGGAAATATGCAGCCTTCACCATATCAGCAGGTCTCGACTCCTGGATCCCAACGCACTCCTACTCTCAGTGGCACGCCAACTCAGAGCGATCAAATGCACTCATCCAGGCCGCCTAGCCAAGGCATTCTTGGGCAGGTTGCATCCGATCTAGCGAGCCGAGCCAACTCTGATGACATGGTCGATGTCCAAAAATCCGTATGTATACCTTACAGCTCCTTAGTCATTGTTAAGGGTGGACTGAACGATTAATCTAACTGTTCAATTGCTCTCCTCTTCTTACAGAACACCCCCAACCAATACACATATCCTCAAACGTATAGTCAAGTCCAGGGCACAACAAACCAAGTTCAAGATGTTACTATGGGACAAGAAACATCGTACCTACCAAACGAAAGCGCGGGTACAAGTGCCCCCTTTACTGCCCAGCAGACTCAAATGTATGCCACAACGGATTCTGGCCAGATTCCTAAAGGAGTTTCCCCAATGAATATGCCAGGTGCACCCCAGATGTCCCAGCCCATTGGAGAAGACCAGCCTGCGATGGCCCAACCAAAAGGTAATATCCCATTGGATCCTGGACCCCAATATCAATATTTCCAGGGACAAACACCCCCAGCCCAGCCAGGAATGATGCATTACCCTAACCAGCCCCATCAGCCGCCGGATGGATATTACCAAAAAGGACCCATTCCAGTTCCACCAGGCCAGTTTCCACCCCGGATTTCGCCAGCTTCTCAACCAATGGGAAATGGTATTACTGTAATCCATCAGGACCCTAATGCCACACCCCTTTTCCCAACTCGGCATTCTGAAGCAGAGCGTCGACGCCAACAGGCCGGATTTAATAGCCGGACGCCCCCGGGTCAGGCTTATCAGATACCGCCAAGCGGCGGTTATACCCAGAATGTAAACCCCAATCAAGTAGCGCCAGGATACCCCCAATATGACCAGTATGCCCCAAGGAGTGGCCAGAGACAATCAAGCCAAGGAAGTGGCCCGCCATGGGATTATGATAGAAGCCACATGGATCCCCAAGGATACCCCGCGCAAGCTCGTTATACACCGCCGCAACGGCAACAACCCCCTCAACATTACAGAGCAGACAGTGGAGGTTATTCCGGAGGTTGGGGACGATGAATCTTTTTAATGACCACTCCATATAGTTTGTTTACGCAATGATGACGGGGCCGGTGGAGGATGTTTGTTTTCGCATTTTTCTTTTCTTCATTTGGCCTTTAAGAGCAATTCATCCCGTGGTTCGGTTTACTGAGTTTTCGAAGATGGTGTGTAGCGATACATCCGAAGCAGCGCTGTACTAACTAATATTGATGATTTCCAAAGTTGATGGGCGCCCTTGATTGGATAGCGAGTGGATTGTCTAGTTTTTTGTAATAATTGACTAAGCGCCCTAAGGCGGTGGGATCGCAATGCTCAAAAAATAATTCTGCCAAATTGTATTTTCACCTGTGAGCGAGCTGCGAGATTCTTCGATTGTGGACTTGACTGTCAAAAACGCAAAATACAGTGGTCGGATATACTCCGTAATGGCGTCCGTATATAAATCCATCGCGAAAAGACGGAAGGTCAATTCTGAAGAGAATGAGCTCGACGGGGATGTGCATATGGAAGACAGACTCAGTGACGAAAGCAGCGACAGCGACCTGGAAGAGTCAGACGAGGAGCACAGCATAAATGGCGAAACGATGACAAAACCTAATGATAGTTTATCGAATTCTTCTGGGTTTATGCCGAAAACCAGGATCTTAATGCTCACCTCAAGAGGCGTATCACATAGGTGAGTGTCGTGTACAAAAGCTAGCCCAATTGATCTTGATTCAGGTCCTAATATACCCTTCTGAAATCTAGACATCGTCATCTCCTTGCTGATCTCAGCGCCCTCCTTCCACATACCCACAAAGAAAGCAAACTCGATACCAAGAAGAAAACAGCGGGCTACAATTTCCTCCTCAACTCACTCGCCGACCTCCACTCCTGCAATGTCATTTTTTTCCTAGAAGCAAAGAAGCACGGTCAAGATCTTTACCTGTGGCTTTCGCGACCGCCTAATGGCCCTACGATTAAATTCTCCGTTACCAATCTACATACGATGGGCGAATTGGGCACAGGATTTGCTGGGAATTGTCTAAAGGGTGGACGTGGGATAGTAGTGTTTGATCCATCCTTTGACGATAAAGAGATCATGAAAACCGGAAACGAGTGGAGGGGATTGGTCAAAGAGATGCTCAGGGGAGTATTTTCTGTGCCAAAACGTGGCGTTCGGGGAATGAAGCCGTTTATTGACCGTGTGATTGGCATATATTGGGTGGATGGGAAGATATGGATTCGGGTTTTCGAGATACGAGAGACTGATGGTAAAGTGGGAAAGGATGGCGAAGAGGAAGAGGTTGCAGATAAAAAGAAGTCGAAGCGAGGGAAGGATGGGCTGCCGCATCTCTCCCTTGTCGAAATCGGTCCGCGATTTGTTCTTACGCCCATCGTGATTTTGGAAGGGAGCTTTGGCGGCCCTGTTATCTATGAAAATCGGGAATATGTGAGCCCGAATCAAGTACGACGGGAGATCAGGCTGAAGAAAGCTGCCCGATATGTTTCCAGACGGGCTGGGCAGATGGATAGGACGGTCAAGAATGCGGCATTGGGCTTAGGCACCGAGGGTGAGCCGAATAGGAAAAAGGATGAGCTTGATTCGCATGTGTTGTTTGCTTAGGCGCGTTCTTGGGTTCTTGTCTCATGGGTTCCATTAACGGAATGTAACTACAATATTTTCCTTTATTTTGTAATACCCAATGGGTGTATTATTCCTTTCCAACCGACCTCCCATCATTGAATGGTTGTACGACGCCAAGTCCAATACCAGATATTCCGCTTATCTAATCTTCCTCTTGAGCCCCTTTGCCTTTCAATTGAACCTCTTCCCATCGCTCTCTTGCCTTCTCACCAGCAACCATGGAAGCAAGGGAGGATCATCCAGGCGCTTTGCGGCTGCCCTTTACTTGCGATTTTATTCTGGCTTCTGTCAGAAACTTACAGAAAGATGTAATCACTTCCTCTGAACCCCCCAGCAGTGGGGCCGCCAGCAGCTAAATCCTCTCACGCCTCTCGTCAACAGCGGAGTTGTGCTCGCGATTGCTTCGCAACGTCTCTGTTTTCCATATCAAGGACGGTCTGATATATTGAGACTTGGTTTAAGCCAATATTTGAATCGACAAGTCATAGATAAGCTATTTATTCAAGCGGGTATACGATCAAAAAGACTGTTTTTTTTATAGATATTAAAGGTATGGAAAGGCTACTGTTATTCATTGCTAAAGCAATCATGCCCTAGAACTGAAACTAATCATAAACATAGATTTCTCAAAATGCTTTTCGAATTCATGGCCACGGAGCTTGTGCTCCACGTATTTTACTCTTGCGACTCCATTGCCGACGTGCTAAATCTTTCTCAAACTTGCCGCCGATTCCATGGAATATTTAGTGCTTCGCAGAAAATACCCCTTTTAGCTAATGCTGCCGAAGCAGAGTATGGACCCTTGCACGAGGCAATTCAACTCGTTACCCAAAATGCCAGCCAACCCGCGCAATCCATTCGCCAGGCTCCCATGTCAGTCAACCTACTAGAGCAAATTGTTCAGGTTGGAAGGGTAGCAAAGCGGTGGGAGGAGATATATCCCATTAAGAAATGGAAATTTGATTACGAGAACCGGCGACTGTTGACCGATACAGAGCGTTTCTACCTAAGGCGTGCCATATATCGGCTGTGGTTGTACTCGCGAGCGTTTCATAATCCCTCTTTTCCGCGTACCTCGCGCAGTGTTCCGTTCATTGTACGAGAACGCTCTCAACTGCTGCATAATTGGTCAACGAGCGAACTAGCCGAGATCGAGGATGTTCGAGGGATCATTCGCGCTGTCGTGCAGAACCACATATGTCCCAGTAATGGGACTATACAGCGCAAATTCCACCAACGCTATCCGGATACCGCTCGCTCACTCCTGTTCAATATCCACCTCAGCTATCCTCCGCCAATATCGACTCAAGTTCTCGGCAATAACCATACTTTTGACACTCTCAGGCCCAACGGCAATGCGAACAATAGCAATGAAATGTTTCGCCATCACACCACCCCACCGAATAAATACGCCACAAAGTTTCGATCAGATCTATACCATGAACCTGGCCTTGAGGGCTGGGGCGACGAGATACCACACTATTACGTGGTTGAGGATATGTTAAAATTGGACCCCAGCCAAATTCTTTGGCTACGGGAGAATGCCTCGTCGAAGGAACAAGTGGAAAAATACATACGGTCTATGGGTGAGTGGTTCGAAAACAATGGAGAGACGTTTGCGCAGACTCTGGAGTGGGTAATCAATGAGCGTGGAGACGATATTGTTCTGTTTAAAGAGGCAATCGGGGGTGGGAAGTTTGGGATTGCACGGTCTTGATATAGATCTATATATCGGTTGGAATCTCTTGGTTGTCTGGCTCTCTGGTGAAATTCAAAGGATGTTAATTTCTTTGATATTAATTATTACTAAATTTATTTTAGTACTAGCACCTTGCCCTCGCATTGTAGGTATGTACAATTATTAACCATGCTGCAATACTCCGTACGTTGAGGTTTTCGGTTTTTAAATATGATTTTAAGCTGCTAATCGCCTTCACCGCTCCCTTGTAAGTGCACACAAATGGCGACGGGCGTCTCACGAAAACCTTTATCCACCACTGAAAAGTCTACTCGAGACCACATGTACTGGGTATGATGGATTCGACGGCGGAAAACAAATGGGACCCTCTTCCGATAAGAAAACAGAGAGAAGAGAAAAAAAAAAAGAAGAATTCGACAGAGTGAATTTATATTATTGGTTTAAAAAGTATTTCGAAACGTAATTCCATACTCGATCGAATCGCAGGAAGAAACCAGCAAAAGAAAAGAGGGAAAAGGGAAGAGACAGGGACGATAATAAACAAGCAGTCTGGGGACAAAAGGGCAACATAGAGAAAAAAAAATAAATAACCCAAAACCACTCCCTAGCCATGAAAATAAGTTTCCTTGTCCGCCATCCTCGTGTGTCATATCAACATCAATCTTGCTTTCGTGGGACTACCGCCTACCGTACCTAATCACCGTGAAACATTCGGTGGGAAATGGGACTGCATAAAGTATCACATGAGAGAGGCCTGATGTGATTCACTTGCTCATCGAAGCCAATAAAAAGAAATGCAGGAGAAAAGCAACCAGGATTCATTAATTTGCCTGTCATCAGAGGAGGTTGGAACAACTGGAATGGCCTTGGGAAAAACAGCAGAATGGAAATTCTATGACCGTTTAAAAATTGTCCGGCAATAAGCCATCCTATTTATACCTAACAACACCCTTGCTTGGACTCAGGATCTTGTGTCTTGGTGATTTCGACGACTTTTCGGTCGGAGAGAGGGTTCTGAGCAGAGTCACCACTATCGAGGGCCTTACTAGAAACGATGCGGAAAATTTCTGCGTGAGTGTTAGCTCGGTTCAATATTGTGAGCAAGAAATATATGTGTACCAGTGAGAATGTTTTGGAAAGCAAGTTCCACGTTGCTCGCATCGAGCGCAGATGTCTCAATGAAGGAAAGGTTGTTATCACCTAGATATATATGGTAAGCGCGGAACTTTTGCCAAATGGAAACAGGTCAAGTGTCATACTTGCAAACTGCTTGGCTTCCTCTGTGGGGACTGCACGCAAATGCCTCAAATCACTCTTATTTCCAACGAGCATAATCACAATGTTTGAATCTGCATGGTCTCGAAGCTCTTTCAGCCACCGCGTCACATTCTCGTAAGTCTGGTGTTTGCTGATATCGTAAACGAGAAGTGCACCGACAGCACCTCGATAATAGGCAGAGGTGATAGCTCTATATCTCTCCTGGCCAGCGGTATCCCAGATCTGGGATTTAATAGTCTTGGAGTCAACTTGGATGGATCGGGTTGCGAATTCGACACCGATGGTTGACTTGGAATCAAGATTGAACTCGTTACGTGTGAAACGGCTGAGTAGGTTGGACTTTCCGACACCAGAGTCACCAATCAACACGACTATTCGAAGCGATGATACGTGTTAGCCATTGACTTTCCGTCGAGTTTGCAGGGAGAGAACGGGTTGGGATTCGTTCGACTGAGCGGGGAGAGAGGTCTACCCTTAAATAGAAACTATTTCGAAGCAGTGTTAGTATCAGCAAGGCTGCAATTTTCACCGGGAGAAGTGGTTTAGACCTACATCATACTCGTCGTTGGCCATGATGGCGGATCAAGTCTCAAGGCTGCAACGAAAGAGGACGTTGAAAGCCAGCAATGGGTTGCAGTCAAGAACGACCAAGGGATCCGAGAGGCTCAAGAAGTGAAGATGCAGTTGCGATAAGCTATAACTAGAGGACCCTTCGCCCTGGTTAAGCAACGAGAAGAATGTAATCGTGAAGGCAGCGAACAAACCAACCAAGCTGGAACCGAGTTGTTTGACTGGAGAAAGGGAGTCGGAGCGAGAAGGCCTGGCTTGGAAGGGTCAAAAGTACTGGTACTTAATTTTTGGCTTGCACTAGCAGAACATTGAGGTACTGGTACCTAGCTAGTTATCAAAGGCCGGAGAATTGTTTATACGCCCCGATATCACACAGGTTACCTACACGTTCAGAGCAACAGTGAAGGGCTCGACAGGCCAATTGACAGGATACAAGGATCGTCTATACGAGTACATCAGAACCGGTTGACTTCGTCTCAACTGCATGCTGTTTTCGCTGTCCGTCTGTTTGCTGCCTTCAGCCCTCAATGAAGCCTAGTTAACCTTAGATTCCTCGAGTGGGAGAGCATGTGACCTCCAAGTCCAAAGCTTGGCATGGAATTTGCGTTCAACCTCAGGCTCCAACAGTCGAGGCAAGCTTGCCGGCTAACAACCTCGCCGCCGGACACTCTGATAGCTGAAAGCGCGGTAGCGAAAAGGAGTCTCGAGAGCCACATAACCATGTGGGCAATTACCTGACCTGCTGCAGAAGTACAGGGGCCATGGTCATCTACCGCAAAACATATCATTTCTTAAACCTGTAAGAACGTCCCCAACAGCCCTGCAAAATAGGTTCATCCAAAGCAGCCAAAAGTGATATTCGATAAGATGCCACATTTCAATTTGGCATTTTTCTCACTTACCACCTGTTCATGAGATTTCAACCATGAACTAATTTCTTTCCTTTTCTTTTTTCCGTTACATCTACCATTTCTGTGTCCTGCCTTTCCTCCAATCGAATAATTCAAGCTAACCCCTGTTCTAGAACACAATTATATCCCAAAAAGACGATCCCGCTCTTTGGGTTTTCTTCACTCTATCTCCTCCCCAATAATGGAGCATGATAAGAATCTTAGCGATGATGACAATATCTCGCTTACTTCCACTGTGCCAAGTGAACCTCAGGAGGAATATGAAGTGGAATGTATTCTAGCCCAAAGAAATTTCCACGGAGAGGAGAAGTATCTTGTGAAGTGGACAGGATATCCCATAGAGAGATGTACGTGGGAGTCAGAGGAGATGTTTCTCAACCCCCAGACGCTTGAGGACTGGGCTCGAAAGCAGGAAGCTATCATTCGTGGCGAGCAACCATCTTTTGATATTGAAGCACTAGAGCAAAGATGTTTCTCCTCGAAGGCTGCTGCGGAGCGAAGAAGGGAGAAACGGAGGGAAAAGCGGAAGCGACTTGGGCATCCCAGTTAGACCTGATGCTGCCCGCTCAAAGTTGGGCCAGATTGTACTTTCTTCTGATGATGAATCTGAAGAAGATAGTTCCTCTGAAGAAGAACCACTCATGACGAAACGCAAGCTAAGTCCAAGATCGAAAAATGCCCCTACCATCTCTGCTTCCACGCCTCCTTCGCGACCAACGTCAACTATGGCCACGACCGCAAGGAAAATTGTGCCCAAATTGAAATTAAAGACTACTACATCCTCGCCTCCATTGCTTTTTGGAAGCCAGAAAGGAAGCAAAACTATACTTCAGGGGATTTCATCGAAGCGAAATGGCGAGTTGTTCAAGAAACTTTCAACCCAGAGGCGATGGGAGAAAGCACTTTGTCGTGACAGGATTCCGGATGCATCACAGCTAGATCTTCGAAGGCCCCAAGATTGGTTACACCCACCCAAAAATTCAAGCCCTCAACCACCTCCAACCACAGCCCGCCAAAGTTCTTATAGCCTATTTGTCGAGCAAGATGACGATCATCACACAGAACAACCAGTTCAAGAACATTCCCTGTTGGAAAATGAACCAACACCGTCGTTTCCCGCATTATGTCCTTCAAATAAAGGTGCCCCAACAGCGCCACGTTCGTCACTGTCGAGTCGTCACACAGCTTCACGTCGGTTTTGGAATCCGGGGGAGGTACTTTTGACGTTGACTTTTGGAGCTGTTAATAAGGCCATTGGTGATGTCAGACTGTGTGGATTGAATCCGGCTACGCGTTTTCAACTTCTAAGGCTTAAATCAGGCGGTACCATTGACTTAAATTTTATGGACTTGTGTACTTTCCGGGAATATAGCAGGCTATGCTTTCGCGTGAGTGGGAATTCTTCTTTTTTTCTATTAGATATTAACGGGTTTCCTTCCAGAGAACAAATAACAAATACGCAACTGGGTGGGCGGTCGGCTTCGAAGATACTGCTGAAGAGTTAAAAGAAATGGCCGATTATTTACGCAAAAATGATTTAGCAGCCCTGTGGTACCACCCTTCTGATGAGGTTTCAACGGTTCTTCTCGCATATGGATCTAGCTCAACCAGCTGGGGTTTCTTTGACCAGGGCGTGGATTTTCCATCCAGTTCGGGTCTCCGAATTGTTTCACGAAGCTATCTTGCGCCCATCAGTACCGTCCGCCAGCCCTTATCTATACCAGAACCTCTTCAAACCGTTGACGACCCTATCATCATCGATGAGCTTGTGCCTTCGATTCCAGATGAGCCGCCAAGCTCACTTCCCAAAGATCTATCCAATTTGGATATTGTAACCTTATTCCGCGAGCGGTGGCGAATAACATTCAAGGAACTAAGCATTGTTAATGGACCAAAAAAGGATAGTTTTGCTCGTGCATTCTACCTTTACTTTCCATCTGAAGCAGAAGACGAATTTCAACTTGTACTGATGTTTCTGAGGAAATATACCAATGCCATCTTTTCCAATCGACTCAAAGGTGATTGGGAACGCTTTGCGGAAACAGTCGATTCAGGAACTGTCTTGGTGAGCTATATTGCCCTGCATTATAAATGCTTACTTATGTTTTGGCAGTTCCATCAGTCCTACGCCTTCTATGAGTTTATGCCTGGCCTGCATAAACTTCTGCGTAAACACATTAACATCTTCAACATTAGTCTTGACAGACCAGTGAAACATGTTGACTATGAAATTCATCTGCAACGGCTTTTTCCACATGGCGCTGTTATTCTCATAACAGAAGACTATATAATTCATGAGACTGAATCTGCTTTGAATGTCATAAAATGGTTCCGCGCATATTCTGAGAAACGATTTCCGGGTACTTGGAAATTATTTCTCAGGCCAAATGTATTGGGTTGGCTTTCTGAGATATTTGATAAATGGGTTGATGATAAGTCTGTTCTTTACATTCTGCTTAAAGCCAAATACATAAGCACTAATTATTTAAACAGAATGTATCAGATATACTGCATTCTGGAACATATGATCCTGAACTATGCAGGAGATGACTCCACTCCCATCTCATTTGATGGAGAATCTGATGATGAAGGCCAACCTCAGCCCCTGGTCTCACCAAGCTTCATCCCAGACTATGGCTCCCGCCAGGAAGACGAACACGAAGACATCCCCAAAGGCTTATTGCAAGAAGAACGGAATACAGATCACCTAGTAGAGTACTTTGCTGGTTGGGCCATTTGCAATTGTGATAGATACAGAAGATTTGTTACCTTGTCTCATTATAAGCCACAGCCAAGATGGAAGAAATGGCAACATGTAAGTGTCACGCTACGAGATCTTTATAAATACAGGGCTGTTGACATTCGAAATAGATTGAGAACATGAACACCCAGGAATTTCTCCGCATATTTGTCAATAATGACCTGACTAGACGTTCGTCGAAACATCACCCTTCACCCTCCAGCGCGCATCGAAAGCTACAGCCAACTCCACCTCGGCCACCACCTGCTTAAAACGAGTGCATTGTGATTTTCCATGCTGCGAGACCATACATGTCTAAGCATTTTAGAGGACTTTTGGTAGGATCTAGACTTTAGGTATAATTACAATTTTATTTATTTCTTGGAAACAATACGGAGTGAATCAGGTTGTCACCTAATTCGCCTCGTTAGCGCGTGGCCTCTTTGCACATTATTGGCCTCTTCATGGATTTTCGTGGCCCTTTTTGTTGATGTCGTGCCGCTTTTACAACCACGACAACTCATTTTCAAGGTCTGTGTGGGCAGTTAGTCACAACAGCCGCCCTGCTCAGGGATGATAAATACCCATGGATGCATATATATATGTGCTGCTCAACGCAGCCATTCTCTCATTTTATTTCTCAATAAATATGTCTTTTTCTCCCTTGCTTCTCATACAATACTACATTTTTCGTCCATCAGCATCTCATTCTCAATGGGCATAGTCTGCCGCAAGGCTCCTCAGAGCCACCGAGCTCCTCAAAGGAGTGCTCAATATTGGATGGACATGATTGCAAAACCATCACAGCCAGTTAAGCCAGCGTACGAGGAATCAACGGAACGTCCCCTGGCGGACTGATATTGGTTGTAGTAGAGCTTGGCATTTCAACAGACAGGGCGCCAATAGTTACTCCAACGAATGCACGTTTACAAGAAGCATGATTTCGATTGGATTGAGGTGTACTCCGTACTATCATCTAAAGATTGCCGCACGACAGCATCAAAGTAGTAATGACCATAATTAATCCAGATTCGACGAAGTTGGCGATAGCCAAGCTGGATATGTATCTCCACCTCACCCACAATATTGTCACAAAGACAGAGTAAATCTAAAACCCTATGATCCCATTGTGCCAGACTTAAAAAAAGAAGAATGCCTCCATTAAACCCATCCCAATGCGAATTTGCATTCTCCGTGATAAAGGAAAATTAGGAAAAAACAGAATGCAGTCACGCTTCAGTATCAGTGCTAGTCCAATTCCATGAGTTGCTTGACATACTCTGCATCGGCATCCTCTGGTAAAGAAGTCTCTGGGCTGAAATTAAGGAGGGTACAGAGAGTGTCTAGGACCGCCTCACTGTCCTTGGATGGCGTGCCGGGATTGGATGTAACGGAGGGATACAACTCCTTATCAAGCCCAACCGCCAGAAGGGTAATGTTCTTTCTGGATTTTGGCCAATTGTACTGCTGGGCAACCGAAGAGTTTTCGCGCGCCTGGCGTGTCTCACGGCGTGGAACCAGCTTCGGAACTAGTATCTTACACTTCGCCTCCTCCTGTTTAGCGTCTTTCTCCTCCCGGAGGCACATCACTAGGCCAAAGTGATTGTTCGTCATTCCCAGAGCTTTTATGGCTTTCTCGATAGAAAAAACGGCAGCGCATGAGGTCGTGTCGTTCATGCGATCGTGTTGACGATTCTTGACCTGAATGAGAACGAAGCTCATCTCACCGTCTGGCAGCATGATGGGTATAAGAATATCGGCTCCAGGGAATCTTTCAGGCAGAAAGAGAGCAGCCCCTCGCCGGTACGCGGCCTTGATTGTTCTCTGAGAGGGAATCTCCAACGACCTGAAAAAGTGGTTGAAAAATACATTACCCTTTTCCCAGACAACACGCATGGACTCAACATCTGCAGCCCGCTCACCAATCTGCTGCGAAATTTCCGAGCCAAGGAACGACCTAAAGAACTCCTGAGTTGTTACAGAGCAGGGAAACGACATCAGCTGTAGAGAATCCATTGAGAATAGCAGTACTAGCGAGGCGACCACTTCACCGATATCTCCCACGTGAATACTTCCTTGGAGGCATGCTTCTAAGAATGCGTTGACCACGGACAGTCGCGTGGCTGGGTCAGCCATCATCGTCGCCGCCGTATACGCTAAGATGGGCTCGCTCGGGTGCATTGTACGCATGAACTCTCGAAAGTCGGGAATGTAAAATATTGGCCGAAGTAAGTTGGCTGTCATATTTTCAGCGAGGTGCATGTCAAAGACATAAAAATCTATGCGGTATGAAAAGAGGGCTAATGAAACGGCCGTTGTAAGCTCCTGATTCCTTGTTGCGCTAATTTTCTCGGCTGCTAGGATCAACACTGTACTCAGGTCCGCTCCATTATCCAAAAACGCTGCCCAAGTCGGCCGCCCATATCTAACCAGCGTGCGCAAAGATTCCTCCGAGCCGTCTATCTTTGGTTGGCTAGTGACATCTGATGACAGAGAATCCCATGTGCGAATCGCGTAGATTGGTGGAAATAGGTCACCTACAAACTGAGTCTCTTTCTGGCTTGGGTCGTATCGAGCAGCCGGCGAAAGATTGTTGAGTTTGGAGGAGGTATCCAAGACCAGGGAAAAGAAGCTGCCAAGCACAGAATAAAGTTGTGGCTTCTCGCCTGGCCGATCTGTTGACTGGGGAAAGAGCCCTGATCGTGGCCTGCTAAAGAGGTTCGCGCACGCTCGCTCGAACGAACGAAAGCGGACCGACTGCGAATGATCGAGCAAAGCCCGAGCCTCGTCAATACAGAGAAGTGTCTGAGGTCCCGCCGCCGTGCTAGGCGAGGTTGGAGGATTGTTGTCACCCAATCTATTACGCCAACTCTTCAACTTGTCGATCCGAGCATCGAGATAACCTTTCAACGACGATCTCAAGAAAACGGACCAAACGAAAGGCCTTCCGGGATGTTTTGCTTTTTCTTTCCTGCACGTTTCCAGAAGAATGGACACCAGATTTGCGTACTCACGCCCATAGTCGGAGAAATCATCGAGGACCTGGAGGTTGTAGTATCCTGCAGACGTGATGCCAGCGTGTTTACACGCCTCGACCTCCCAAACAGATGTAGCGATCAAGCACTCCCAGAAGAGAATACATGGATCCATGTGTCCAGTTTCTAAACTCGCAATTTGTTCAGCGACGTTCGATCTTCTCGGATAGCCAAGAGTATCAGGCGGCGACAAGTTCAAGTAGACGACATACTGACCTCTCTTCATCGCCAGCTGCCGGATTGCAAAACTTTTGCCCATTCCCGACGGGCCAACAATGGAGGTGTAAGGCGAGTGGTACAGTGAGGGAGTGAACTGATGGTAAAACTTGAAGATTTGGCCAAGGACGACTTTGCTGGTGAATTTCCCATCACGCCCTGGTTTTTCATCTTGCAGAAAAGCCTTCTGAACATGGCTGTTTTCACTGGACTGCGAGTGGCTTGCAGGAACATCCGGCTTCTCTCCTGGCCAAGTTAAGAGATGAGACAAGACACGGTGATACTCAGGTTTCGAAGCCCGACCCAGTGAGAAATTGATCTCTTTCAGGCGTGCCCAAACGTATACGAGGTCATCTAGCTCCCTATCAGAGTGTCTCCCTGTGTCCTCAAGCGGCAGTCTGTTCCAGTATATTTGTTTTGCTGTTGCCTCGTCGAAGTGGCTTCGAAGGTGTTTGATCTCATAGCGAGCAATGGACACTATGCCCTGGGTGTAGGGCAGTCCCCAGCTCTCGAATTCAAACAAAAAATCCTTTAGATCCTTCTCATCAAAACCGGCCGTCTTGAAAAACTCTTCCGCATTGGTGCACTGGCGCCACTGCGACTTCTCATTGGATGCGATATCACTTAACGGCAGTGTAACTTGAGATGATGGGATGTTGCGCTCCTCGTGTGCCGCGGGAGGATCGGAGAACGGATCGGCTAAATGCAAGCCACTCATTAGCTTCAAGACCCACAGGGGCACGGGATGATCACTCAGCACGCGTTGTACATACTCGGCGGGTTGGGCAAGCTCTGGGAGCTTTGAGGCCGGTCAGCCATGTTATTAAACCCGACTAATGGATGCAGACAGGTTGTGAAAGATCAGATCAACTTCAGGCTGGGAATTGAATGTTGTTTGTGGGATGAAGCTGTGTTTTTAGAGAGGAATCTGGCTGTCAACACTAGTCCTTTTTGGGAGGAAAGGTAACTAGGGCTTTAACATCATGTGATCGTGGAATTTCCTCAACCTCCATCTTCAATCAATCAGTCTCCCTCTGACCAGTGACAGTGTCCTCTGTGTGAGCCATCTGCTGCTATTCTTCATAACATCTCAACCTCCTCTCATCTGTTCTTTTCTTCTTCAAGGATTAGTCTCATCCCAATATGAGTATCAACTATTTCTCTTCTTAGCCTAACAGTTAGTTACTCAACATCAACTTCATCGACTTCAAGCTCTACTTCCTCGCACACAAACTCTTCACGACCTTCTGCACCAAAGCATCCCTTTCCCTAAACCTCTTGGGGAACTTGGCCAAATCGCTGCTTTTCAACAAACTCCGCGCCTTGGAAGCCTCAACCATCGCCTCCGCCTTGGTCAGCTTGCTTGTCCCGCCGCCAACTCCCGCTATCAAACCCAGTATCGCAAACGGTGCAGACGCCGGAACTTGAATGATTTCCGCTACCGTTAGTGCCACGCTGCCCCCTTCGCCAATGAGAAGCGCAATGCGAGCGATCGCTGCTGTGCTGCCGATCAGGGGGCCGAGGGCCGAGCCGACAAACGGGATGACCATGAAGATGACAGTGAGGATCTTGAAGATCAGGTCTTTCTTTGCTTGTTCCTTGGCCTTTTCGCCGATTTCTTTAATGTCCTTCATGCTACTGATGGCTTCGGTAAGTTGCAGTATGGGCATGGAGTAGGCGACTACTGCATCGGTGGGTGAGGTATCGTTTGGTCCGTCGTCGTAGAACGATAGGGCCACGCTGAGGTACGATGCGAGGAGTGAGTCTCTCAGAATTGTGATATTTCCCATGGATGCTTCGATGAGCTTCTTAGGGTTGCCGACGTGGATATCGTCATCGGCGGCCTTTTGAGGGTAATTCAGCTTTGTATGGAAGAGCTTATGGCAGGGCAAATTACCACCGCCTGGTCGGGTAGGTATGCCGCCAGGATTCTGAGGCTCACACGTGTATGTGCTAGATTGATCGCCGAACCTCACCCACGACTCGTCGATGCCCACCTCGGCCGCGAGCGCGTCAAAGAAGCCCTTCTTGTCGACAAGATCGTAGCGGATGCTCCATCCCCTATCCGCCTCCCAGATGCGCGGCATGTCGACGCAGGAATCTTTCGTTTCATCGTCACCGGGATATGCCCAGTAGCAGTCAAAGTACTTGAGGCCTTTACCATCGCCGAGCTCCATGAAACCGTCAATGCGCGGTTGGATCTGCTCCTTGGTCCACTTCGCATACCAGCCGAACTTGTCGTCATATCCTTCCGAGTTGCTTTGGAACAGAGACAAATTGTCGACGAGCTGCGAGTATAGAATGTCCATCGCAAAGAGGTTAACACAACCTGAGTACAGAGAGCCGGCTTTATCGGCGAGACGCTCCAGGGTCCCCGGGTTCTTGTCGGGGGGGCATGTGAGATCGTCGTCCCCGGCTTGATCATCAGAACCATCGCCATCGTCGCTGTCATCGCCGTCCTCATTGTTGGAGTAATTTTCGAGGTCAATGGCCCAGTCGGTAGAACCGCCAAAGTTGAGACCCTTGATCCACTTGATTCTGTTGGCTTTGGTATCGCCGTCCATGTAGGCCACCCAATCCACCTCACCGGGTCTACCGTATACGAGAATATTTGAGTCGGAATCCTTGTCAATGTACGACTTGACGATGGAATAGCTGCCGTGGACCCTGATTATGTCATTGAGCTCGGCGTTGGCGATGTAGCCACGAGTTTCCGTACAGGGTCCGAAATAGGCCATGGAATGATTTTTATCTCCTGCAAAGGTGCAAAAGGGACCCGAGCAAGACGGGTCATTCATGCGGAAACTTCTTCCGTAACTAGTGACGCCAATGACTAGCTGCCGGGCTTCCACTCCAGCTTTAGTGACCATGGCCATCGCATCATGCGTCTCAGTCTTGTTGATGTGTGATCGAAGACAGTTTCCGGTTTCGCAGCCGGGAATGGCCCATTTGTTGTCGACATCTGCATCCAGATCCATGATTAGCGTGTCGTCCCAAGCAGTTGCTTGGGCTACTTACCCCATTGGCCGTGCAAGTCATACGTCATGTAAATGAAGTAATCCACATATTTTGCAATACTCTTGACTGGATACTGCTTCAAGTACCAGTAAGAAGCCGGCAGCGCAATGGAAATGGATTTCCCGCTAGGCAACTTGCTTCGGAGCAGCTGCAAGAAAGCAAGATAATTATTTCCCTCTTCAGGACTTCCAGGTGTGATGTCCGGAATATCAGGTGCACCAGGGTACTCCCAGTCAAAGTCCAGACCATCCAGGTTTTGGCCACTCATGAAGTTCACCAGGTTATTGACAAATGTAGCGCGATGCTCCTGCTTGGTGGCATCTCTGAAGCGCTGGAACGTGCCCGGCTCTGTGGAAAACGTCCATCCACCAAAGGAGAGAATCTTTTTAAAGCCGCTCATCTTCACGAATTTGCGGAATTGGTCTTGGACGTCTGAGATATCCACGTCAAAGCTGGACGTGATTGTGGCAAATGCAAAATGGATGTGCGAGTATTTGTTGGCTGGGATCTCAGTGACGCTCATTCGCAGGCACACCCTTTTCCGGCCAAACGCCTCGAAATAGCCAATGGTCTTTAACTGGTCAGGTGCTTTGTCATTATTAACGATATCTATGCCACAGTTGGAGATACAACCGTTGGTTCCCGGCTTTGCGGTACCGGGAGCGCCAGTATCCGCTGGTGACTCGGTACAGAACTCAGGTGTTGTTCCGCAAAATCCCCAGACGTCACAGCATGCATTAAGAGGGCATGGATTAAGATCAGCTAGCGCAGTTCCATCTGAGGGCTTCTTGGTACCCGGTACCTGTGGACCGCAGGTAACTCCTTGGATCGGGGCGGGCATAGGAGGCATACCCTTGCTCAGGCATATCAATTGGCCACTCTGCAGATGCGCACAGCCGGCCCAGCCCCAGGTCTTTTTGTTGAAGTTCTCAATGTCTTGCACTTGCAGGTAGTGCGCTTCTGCCACGTCGAAGCATCCATCGCCGCTGTTGACTTTATATGTGTTGCAGGTGCCGTCGGGTTGCGGCTGAGGGCGAAAGTCTGGCAAAGTACCTGCATTGCAACAAACGTGCTGTTTGGGCTTCAGGGTTGAGCACAAGTTCTTTTGCGGGTTGTACTTAGCCAGATCATTTCCAGGGATGCCGCAGCGGCTGGCCAGCGACGCGCAACTGTCCCCCCCATGGACCTCCACTGTTCTGCACTCTCCTCTTGGCGAAAGGGCTCGTGGTTCTTCCCTGGTGGTTATGTTGCCATGGGAGATGGTACTAACATTGGCGATAGTGTTGAAACTCTTATCCACTGTAGACACAAGCACATCCATGCTGAGGGTGGCGGTGGGAATGGTTCCATCAAGACAAAGACCATTGTTCCAGCTTTTGACGGCATCTTGAACCTCTGGGAGATCAACAAAACCAGCAGAAACCACTCCAACAGTCAGGGCCGCACCAGCAGGTTGGCAAATCTGCAGGCTAGAAGCTTGCTTCTCCGCAAAAGCATCGAGAAAGCATCGTGCAGCATGCTTGGTGACTTGTGCACCAGAATACAAGCCCACGACGGCAGACTTGTGTTTGGCAAACAAGATGGTGGCGCCGCACTCGGCGCTCCTGTCTACAAACAGGGCAAGTTGACGAGTAGCCTCAGCCACATGAGCAGGCTGCAGAGCAGCGCCGGGCTCCTTGCTAGACGTTGAAGAGCCAACTTGGGGAATGAAAGCCGTTTTCACTGCCTTGGCGCCGCAGCTTTTCGCAACAACGAGGTTTTGTTGGCTTTGTTGCTGACGCACATCGGGGGAGGCGGCAGCCTCATACGTCTGGCCTTGGCTGGTCACGCAGGCACCGATGGTGAGGATGGTGTTTGGATCGGCAACAGAGTTTTGGAGATTGAAATCACAAAGGACGGTATGATCGCTCCTCTTGAGATCGCGAAGGTGGTGGATGTTGGTCCAGTTGGCCGGATTGGGACCGGCATCAGCGCACAAACTTGGACAGTTGTCAGCATATTGGCCGTTGTAGCTGTCTTTGACTGCCGAGGCGAGGCCCGGCAGAGAGGCAAGGAGGACAAAAGAGGGCCACATTCCTGCTCCAGGAGCCGGCGCGGGCAGGGAATGAGGGAATATGTGAGAAATCGACCGTGCTTTTGGAGCGAGCAGTGGTCCATATATTACACTGATGGTGCGCATCGTCTAAGCCGGCGATACCAGCTCAAAGCCATTCTTTTAACCCGGGCCCCTTTTCTTCCGGGTTATTAAAATCAGCCGGCCGCCCAGTCAAAGGCTCCCACCTTTCCCCGATAGTTGCATGATACTCAGGGTGAGAAAAGAAACGGCCTCAAACCTGGCTTGTCCAGAGTCGCAAGTCTAAATGAAGAGCTCCATATCAACAGCAATCCTAGCAACCCTTCTCTGCGGGAGGCCCCGTAGACTACCCGGAACTTTTGCCCCCAAATGCAACCATCCCAGGGTGCCCCAGGGATTTACAGTGGTCTGCTGTGAGGTCCAAAATGTCCTGAATGTCGCCTGGTTAGCAACCAGAAGGTTACAGCATCTGGCAGCATTGGCCAGCTCACAAATTTGTACCCGGTGTGGTTAGTTTCCGTGGGCTACATTGTCTGGATTGCCACCTTCTGGACGGCTAGTTGCTGAAACTAGCCATCCCTACTATATCAACATGGATGATCTCCTTTACTTCCCATGATTGATTCAATGTTATTATTTACCCCCCCTTTTTTGAGAGGAAATGGGGCCTTAGGTTGCAAGTTGTCACGCTTTCTGACTTGAACGATTTTCCCGTACAGTATGGAGTAAGCATTGTGGAAAGCCTATACTGACGGCACATCCCATTTACTCTTCTGTGATTTCTTTGATGTATTCATTTCCTCGTCCTTCCCGGTCACTTGAATTCCAAAGTGTTTGTTACAATGGGTGCCGCCCTCACGTCCCCCGTCTTTAAAGACTATGGTGAATTCTTCATGAATAGCAGCAACATCCTCACTGTCCCCTATCAAAATGTCACAGCCGCTTTCAGGGTGCCCGTTGCCATCAACTCTACAGCCATAAATGGCTTCGACTGGACGCAGCCGTACCCGGGCTCCCGCATAGACGGCCACACGGCAAACCTCCAGGTCGCCCAGGAAATGGCCTTGTCTGCGTCTCTCGTGGAGAATGCAACCACTGTCCTGTCGTCGCTGACATTTGGTATTCCGGACAGCATGACCTCTCGCGGCCACCCACTGGCCATGGACCCTTCGTGGTACATCTGTCGCCACGTTTTCATCTCTACCAAACCCGATGCAAAGCAGGCTGTCGATGGTGGCAGCAAGTGCGGTTTCCTATCCCAGTCATGCCGGGCTGATCTCAAGACGAGCCTTACTCAAGATTGGGGACAAGCAGCCGACGGCACTATGTGCTCAGCGCTTGGCTTTGACGCCATACCACGGAGCTGTCAGGCCTCGTTTGGTTTAGCCCGCCAGGACGTCATGGCTTTTGACGCTGCCTTTGTCGCAAATACCACCCTTGGCCCGGCGCAAACGAGCAAAGAGCAGCAACTATACAGCTGGCGCATCGGCACTGGATATCACGATCCTGGCGATGCTCGCGCCTACGCCTTGGCCGCAAACCGGACGTACCTCGTTGCTACCGTCTGGGGCTACAGCCAGAGTGCAAAGTCTATTAAAGTCCCTGAGGTGTCGTTTGGTTGTCTCTCGTCTGGCGCAAGTTATGTTCCGCCACCTCCTGCCCCTTCATCATCCTCCCCAACTTCAACTGCAGTATCGACTGCGGCATCCACTACAGCGTCAACGTTCACCTCAGTCCCATCTCCGACAGCCATCCGCAATAAGGCCGCCTTTGGCGATGACATGAGCAAGGCTAAAGTTAACATCCGGGATGGAATATATACCAGCGGCATGACGGTTATGCGAGCTTTTAACAAGGGTGCCATCTTTGGCAACATTCAAATCTCGACACTGGCCTTTAGGGATGACTTCTCGAGCGACACCATGGGCAAGTGGACAATCATCGATGGCAAGTACCAAGTCTCGTCCAATGCCGTTGTATTGTCGGCCTCGCCCATCGCCAAGGCCCTCACCACCGGCCTCATCTCCAAAGACTTGGTCTACGAGGCCGACATCTTCATCGACTCCGCTTCCGGCAACGGCGACGGCGGCTTCATCTTCCGTGTGTCCAACGCAAAGGCAGGTCCGGATAGCTACAACGGGTACTATGCTGGTATCGGCAACGGACTCGTCGTGCTTGGCCGCGCAGACAGCAATTGGAATAGGCTTAAGACGGTACAGGCTGCGGATATCAAAGCGGGACAGAAGCATCACTTGATGATTCGAGCGAGAGGAGATTCTATTTCTGTCTACGTGGATGACTTGAATACGCCGAGGATGGTGGTCAAGGATGGAAAGTATGCTACTGGGCTGAGTGGCATTAGGGCATACATGACAACCCTGTCTGTGAGTAATGTGAGGATTTACACGGCTTGAGTTAGGTGTATGTACTGTGCAGCGAATATTGATACAGTATTTTTGTTTGAATTATCACGGTGTTTTTCAGTCAGGTTCACACTCTTCAGCTTTACCAACATCCCAACTTGCGCGGGATTCATGGGAGCACCACTGGGCCTATGTTATGCTAGACTAACCGGGTATCCGGCTTATCAATGCCCCCAATGTCGGAAACAGCAAAGAACACAAACGAGTATGTTAACATCCTAGCCATCCCGGAGGTCTGGAGTTTGGGGGCGCTCAGAGCAAGGAGGCAAGTAGTAGTAACTAGGAGAGTGACAAGGGTTTGTTTGTGAAGGAGAATTAGAAATATCACCCTACACAGCGCCTACTTCTTACCCCGGCCTGTAGAGAGGCAGGTTAGGTACGGGATGGCGACCCCTATATCTAATCCATGCATGTTGACTGAGGGCTGCATTTGGTAGTGACGGTAGTAGCCGAGCTATGGAGATAATTAAGACTTAGCACTACGGGAATTATGATGCTTGTTACAATTAACCTTGCTCGAAGCAACAACACCCCCATAGATGCAACGCGTTCAAGATGAGGACAAACAACTCGATCCTAGTTTTATTTGGATATTGCAACTCTTGTATACTAGTCAGGTGAGTCTCGAAGGTTACAAGACCAGGTTGCTTCGGGCTATTTTTCTAAGTCGCGAAGTTTCCGCTGCGCGGGATCCTTGCTCAGTAGACATTGGAGATAGTTAGGAGCGTAGTATAGAAGACCATCAGAACACGGAAAATTCCCGTCTTCTCCTTTGCGCTTCCTTCTCTCCTCCTGTCGGCCCATGCCTTGCAGCTAGTAAAAAAGCCTTGCTGCACTTATAATTGAAGAGTACTGTCTTGGCTGGCCGCCTTTTAACTCACTCTGGGCCATCTTCCTTTCTTTGGTTGATATCAAACATCATGCTGCCACTCCTGTTCATGACGGTCTTCCTCGCCGCCGGCGTCACGGCCAACAAAGCCGCTGCAAAATACCAAGCCCTGTTCTTCTACCAACTTTACAGACTCGAAGTCGACGCTCACGGCCTCGCCAACTCACGCATGGCGCCTGGCTGCGTCAAAGCCGGCGGCGTCTGCGACTTGGAGGCCTTCATAAAGGAAGTCTGCACTGTCAAAAAGAAACCGAAGAGAGACGCCAGCGGCAACATTATCAGGCTTCCGAATGGCAAACCGGAACTACTCATGGAGCCCGATTTGGCCAAGATCGTCTGGGCGCACGTCGGCGAGGGTGCGGACCTCGACGTCTTCAGCACTGAGTTTGACAAGTCTGGCTTCAGCGGCAATTTTGACAACACGAAGATCTTCAAGGGTTGGAATCAGAAGGACACGTTTGAGACCGTCATGACCGAGGCGGCGGATATTGGCACAAAGGCCATTGCGAAGTTGAAGGCCGAAGGGAGGGAGCCTGCCGATGACCGTGTCAACAAGATGATAGCTGCGCTCAAGACCCATGGCGACGCCCGGCGCTACGATCAGGCACGGATGATCACCACGGCGTTTCAAAATGAGATGAACAAAAGGAGGTTCACTGCTGCCTTAACTGCTCCCATAGAGAGGCCGCCAGTGCCGGGTTACCGCAAGATTGACGCGGTCCAGACCATCAGTGATAACGCTGGTAGAGCGGGTTTTCAGAAGATAGAGTCGGACGTGCGCGACTATGTCACCAACTTTAACAGCGCTGGACTATCAAAGAGCCATGTCGACGCTATTGTCAAGACGCAAGATGTACACAACCATTTTGCTCAGGTTTGTCAAACATGATGGACTGGACTGTCGGGGTTATGGAAGAAACATCTCTATTAGTATATACTTACTATTTTAAAAAGTCCCAAAGTTGCTGGGAAGTCGCTCCTTGATATAACATTCATTCGTACAATAGCGCACCATGATCCGCGGTCGCAGTTTGGGTGCGCTCTCCCTAGCTTGCTTGACCCACGGATGTCTCTCATCAGGCGAATACTCTGCGTCCGGCAAATACTCAGGCATGCCGAGGAACGCTTGCTCTGGCAACTGAGGTAGCCAAGCGGAACCAGGGTTCGTCCCAAGAATGTCAAGGTTGTCTCTTCGAGCCAGCCGCCACATGTACGCGAGGATGAGCAATTCAGCTTGGCTTTTCCATGCTTGCACAGCTGCTTGGAACCGAGGACTCGTAAACGTTTCGAAAAGCGTTTGTACAGCCGGTTCCTTTTCCAATGCGTATTCCCTGTATAATGCTTGAAATTCCTTCAGCCGGGCTTCGTCGCCAACATCAACCATCTGAACAGGCGCATCGCCCAACAGCCCAAACAAGCCAGATCTCAGAGCTGTTTTTCTCGTGATATGCAGAGAAACCGCGGACATGGTTACGTCTAGCCTGCTAAAGGAGGGACTTTCCGCACAATATGCGATGTCGCTCACTTCTTGATTTCTTGAACGGTGATAAAGGAACCACGGGTTGTCACACGCATCAGCGCCATCAGGGTGATCAAACAGCGCCTTCAAGCTAAAGGGGCGAATAATCTCCGCCACGACAGATGGCTGCATCCCAAGGTCCTCCGCCCGCCACAGGTACATGGCGATTGGGCTCGCAGGGTCATCAGCATTTCCCCAGACAATGTAGCGCAGTCGCGTCCAGTTGAGATGCAACACATCCCGACGCGGCTGCACCCATATCGCTGCCAGGCTAGTTGTGTCGTCCAGTTCCAACCTATGTCCATTTTCCAGCGCAACCTCCCGGGACTCGCGGTTGACGAATGCGATGGTCGGTGGCTGGGCGTTCTGGTGCGTTATGCGGTCGCCATAACAAGCCTGACGGGATTCATTTCCATCGAGCAGGAAGTCAGGGGTGTCTTCTTCTGCGATACGATGTGGTAGGCAAAGCTTCCAGATAAGACGGCGTAATTCTAGAGGCAGCCGCGGGAAGTAGTGGAATGAATTGTTGTTCATCCTGTATGTCAGTTTATTAGCTGCTCTCATATGAGGTCAAAAGCGAATGAGGTTGCAAAAACGAGCCTGGGATTTTATCAGAAATTATCTATTTCCGACATGCTTGACCCCGCGATTCGTAGTTACCACCCAACAGTGTAACGGGATCATCAAGTCAGCTGTTGTCTTTGACAGCCTTCATGGCCTCTGTCTATCCTTCAGTAACAATACCAAGCGATGGAATGCTCAACTAACGAGCAACTTGGGGTAGACGAGCTGGAGGTCTCATCTGAAAGACTCAAGATCAGACAAGTATGGAGTAGATATCTTAATAAAGCGGCGCTGCCGAGCTATACCCGAATAGGACCACTAAACTGGAACGGGAGATTTGGCGACCAGGGCTGGGAATACGGAGTAGACTGTAGGGAGCCTCGCTGCCTCAGTATAAAGTCAGCCAGGACCCAACATACCATGTTGCCATATTTCGTGCTATTTACTCCGTACAGAATAAGATGAAGCCACCCTAGCTTATAATGCTTAGAGGAAGATATAGAACGACCATGCGTCAAAGCAATCCAAATGCCACAGCTCCGCGGCACCAATAACCAGCAGGAGGTAGGCGGCCAATCATCGTCGCATTATTTCCTTGTGCTTAGTCATCTCGGAAGCAAAGAAAGTGTGTATTGAACTCACCTCACACCACCAAACTTTCGGTTGACTTCCAATGCGGTTGACCACCTCTCAATTCCCGTGCCCACCACACCTGTAAATACCCTCATCTGCGCCAATTCTTCCTATTCCAGTTCCGTTTCTGGCATATCTCCCACGACATGCTTTTCAGAGCCGCCTTCAGGCCCATTGCGGCCTCTACTCGCGCCGCCGGCTCCATACGTGCCTCTCCTACCTGCGCCTATTCCCGCGTTTCCCAGACAGTCCAATCCGCCGCCGTAACGCAGCAACAGACCCGTGCGGCCTCTACTGCCGAGCATGCCATTGCTAATCCCACCCTTGCCGGAATCGAGAAGCGATGGGAGGCCATGCCCCCTCAGGAACAGGCCGAATTGTGGATGCAGTTGAGAGATCGGATGAAGGTGGATTGGCATGAGATGACGATGCAAGAGAAGAAAGCTGGTATGTGGCCTCTGTACAATGGCTTCTAAGTGGCGTGTTTCTCGCCAATTGTGATTGCAATCGATCCGGTTTCCATTGGTTGCAACCTGGCCGTCCATCTTTTCTTCTGAAGCCTTGAATTTTTGGCGTGGCTGACCTTTTTGAAATAGCGTATTGGATAGCTTTCGGTCCCCATGGGCCCCGCGCTGAAGCTCCCAAGGGCGAAGGAATGAAAGTCTTCATTCAAGTCACTAAATACTTGCTTATCTCCTTTGGTGTCTTCTACGCAATCCGCATGTTTGGCGGACCTGCTCCTAAGACCATGACCAAGGAGTGGCAGGAAGCAACTAATGAATATGCCCGGGTATGACATTTTGAGTTCCATTCCCCTCTTTCCCCCACATGATTGCTGACGGTTGATTACCCCCGACAGAAAGAGAAATTGGAACCTATCACCGGTATCGCCAGTGAAGGATACCAGGGTAAAGGGTTTATCCAAAGCCCATCGGCCTCTAAGCAATGAGAGACTCAGCCCGGTATATTGAAGACAAGGATTCACTGTCGCTCGGAGACGAGAACGCAAAGGGACGTGGAAACCATATGTCGAGATTCTACGTAAAGGGACGGGGAAATTACATACAGCGTTCCAGTGCGTTTATTTATGGCTACTCCGCAACCGGGACATTTTCTTCGTGCAATCCAGGAACCATGTATTAATTGAAAAATGGGAAACATTGTATACTTGAAGCAAAACTTGTGTTGCTGACATTTTTCAGGCTGGTTTTGCATCCCAACGCTCTCATCTCTTCCATTTTACGTTGTGTCCCCCATGTACCGTACAATCTCCAGGCTTTCACCTACTCCTTGCTGCTCCGTGTTTCCTTTGTCATGCCCTTTTGATTTTATTGTTTCGACTTTTGACTTGTACATCTAGATAAAATCGCAGTGGCTTTCGAAGATTGAGTTTGATGAAATTCTACAGCTCTTCGCGTTATGGAGGGATGTATAAGTCGAGTTACTGCTGCCCAGGCTTAGCGAGCATGGTTGGAAAGGAGTAATTCGAAAAATACCTGGATGTCCAGTAACGGGGAATAATGACCAAATTATCATCGAATTTGAAGAAAACGAACATGTCGAAAAGTGAACCACCTATGCTTGGTGTTGTTGATAGGACCAATATATCCCGGCAGGTATCCATACGCAGCGATGACGTCCATCTGATGACACACACCAGAACCTGTTCCATATGGTGTAACAACAATGCTATCGGGAATCGAACGCCAACATTCTTTTCAATTGAGATTTTTCAGCATCTTCTCTCCAAATTAGAGGCCTTCTCCATTGTGCGAAAGATTGTTGCTATTTCCATCGACGTCGTCTGCCCACCGTAACTAGTGGTTCAACTCTGTATTTGCGGACTCGATCCATTGGACCAACTTCCCATGGCGAACCAAACCAGTCAGGCTCCGGACGGGACAGGTCAGCCATTCCACCCGAGCGCTTCTACTTTCCATTTCGTGATGTTTTTTTTGTTTTGAAATATTTGCCTTTCAAACTCACATAGTGGGGTGTAGGCGTTGTTGAGCTAGACCCATATCTTGAACCATACAAAGACGCGTTGCGCAACAGATACAAGCACACAACCGAATGGATACAGAAAATCAATGATTTGGAGGGTGGGCTTGACAAATTTAGCAGAGTATGGAAAGGCCCTGACACTCAGTTGAACTACAATTTGACCCCATGGAGTGCTTACTCGCACACAGGGCTATGAGCGGTTAGGCCTAAATGTCCAGGACAACGGTGATATTGTTTACCGGGAATGGGCCGCGAATGCCGTTGATGCCCATCTTATTGGGGAATTCAGTGAGTGTCATTAATCTTAGGTTATAAATCTGGTTTTAATGATGGAGTTACTTAGACAACTGGGACCGTAAGGCGACACCTATGAAGAAAGATGCTTTTGGAGTATGGGAGGTTACCATACCAGCGCGAGATCGAGCACCAGCCATACCACATAACAGTAAGATTAAAGTGAGTAGACATTTTTCTGAGTATGAATTCCGAGTACGGAGTCCAATTTATATCGACTTGTCTATTAGATTACGATGACCACTCCTGAAGGCGAGCAGATTGATCGGATCCCAGCATGGATAAAGAGAGTTACTCAGGATCTCAAGGTCTCCCCTGTTTACGATGCGGTATTCTGGAATCCTCCCAAAAATGAGCAATACCATTTCAAACATTCGCGGCCTATCAAACCAGAAAGCCTTCGAATTTATGAGGCTCACGTTGGTATATCTTCACCAGAAACCACTGTTGCAAGTTACAAAAACTTCACGGAGAAGATGCTGCCGCGCATTAAATACCTTGGCTACAATGCTATCCAGCTGATGGCCATTATGGAACACGCTTATTATGCAAGTTTCGGGTATCAAGTCAACAACTTTTTTGCAGCGAGTAGTCGCTACGGCAGCCCTGAAGATCTGAAAGAACTCATAGATACGGCGCATAGTCTGGGCCTCGTCGTCCTCCTCGATGTGGTACATAGCCACGCGTCGAAAAATGTGCTAGATGGGTTGAACATGTTCGATGGGAGTGACCATCTTTATTTCCATTCTGGGCCGAAAGGCAACCATGAGCTTTGGGATAGCCGCCTGTTCAATTATGGAAACCATGAGGTTCTTCGCTTTCTTCTTAGCAACTTGCGTTTTTGGATGGAAGAGTATCAATTTGATGGCTTCCGCTTCGATGGTGTCACAAGCATGCTATATACCCATCATGGAATTGGAACGTAAGAGAAACCCTTGAACTGCTCTTTCTCGCACTCGCACTGACACTATATTCAGTGGCTTCTCGGGCGGCTATCATGAATACTTCGGACCATTCGTCGATGACGGCGGTTTGACCTACCTCATGCTTGCAAATGAGATGCTTCACCAATTATACCCTAATTGCATCACTGTAGCAGAGGATGTATCAGGGATGCCGGCACTTTGCTTGCCGCTTGCGCTTGGGGGCGTGGGGTTTGATTACCGGTTGGCCATGGCTGTTCCCGACATGTACATCAAGCTCCTGAAGGAGAGATCAGATGAGGAGTGGAATATGGGCCACCTTGCTTTTACTCTAACAAACCGCCGTCATGGCGAGAAGACAATCGCATACGCTGAGAGTCATGATCAAGCGTAAGTTCCCAGCGTACCAACTTTAACGAGCGTCAGAACTAAAGACATATGCCAGGTTGGTGGGAGATAAATCGCTGATGATGTGGCTCTGCGACAAGGAAATGTATACGAACATGTCGATTCTTTCAGAATTCACGCCCATTATTGAGCGTGGTATGAGTCTCCACAAAATGATCCGCCTAATCACACATGGTTTAGGAGGCGAAGGCTACCTTAATTTTGAAGGAAACGAATTTGGTCATCCTGAATGGCTTGATTTTCCGCGCGCTGGTAACCAGAATAGCTTTTGGTATGCTCGGAGGCAATTGAACCTTACCGAGGATGGGCTGCTGCGCTACAAATTTCTCAACGAGTTCGATCGCAAGATGCAACTAACCGAAGAGAAGTACGGGTGGCTCCATTCACCGCAAGCTTATGTTAGCCTCAAACATGAGGAAGATAAAGTCATTGTATTCGAACGGGCAGGGCTGCTCTGGGTCTTCAACTTCAATCCCACCAAGAGTTTTGCGGATTATCGGGTCGGGATAGATAAGCCAGGTACCTATAGAATAGTACTCGACACGGACGATAGCGAATTCGGTGGGTTTAACCGCAACGCGAAGGAGACGAGATTCTTCACCGCCGGCGAAGAATGGAACGGCCGGAGCAATTACATCCAAGTGTATATCCCTTCTCGGACAGCATTGGTAAGCCTTCCTGTGACTTACTCCTTCTTAGGTTTGATCTGATTGGCAATTCAAGGTATTTGCGCTGGAAAGCACATTATAGAGCGATTTGCGCATCCTGGCGAAGATGCGTGTAGTCCGCATTAGGAGAATAGGGCCCACAAACTTCACATTCTATATGGAGGAACAGTACAAGTTGTCCAGACAAACACATGGGACAATGAATGATAAGAGATAGTCATATTCAATAGTGGGAGTAGAAGTCATAATGATGAAATATTGAAATAATTCCCAGGACGGGTTTTCGTGTGGAGGTGCTCGGATTTGATGTTGTTGTCGTCTATCATTTTCAGGCCACGGCTGACCCTTGAAATTTGAGTTGCGGTTCTTAGCGCGTTGTTTTGGTCGTTTCATCGTATTTGTATTTCCAGCAGGATGTGCCTTACCCTCGGCAAGACTCGGAACAACCGCTTGAAGATCACTGCAGGGCCGTAACGCAATACATGAAATTCCAAAACAGTACAGTTAGCTGTATTCAAACAGCGACCAACACCCAAATTGATCACAGCTTTCTCTCGCTTTCTCTCAACCTCACCTCTTCCCATTCTCTCAAGAATCCCCTCTCTCCCCCACAACCGCCATCATGTTTAAAAGGTGCGAAACGAAGTCCAATTAAGCAAGCAGATTTCAATAATACCATTGACCTTTTTTACTGACTTCAATTCCTCTTCTTAGCGGCGTTGCTCGGACCCTCGGAAGGGCTTCTTTCGCTCGACCGGCCTCCACCATCCTTTCATCCACAAGATATGCCGCTGGCAACAATGCTCTGAGAGCTCTCTCTGCCAGATGGGCCAGCACTGAAACCGGCAATGTTGGCAAAATTCATCAAGTCATTGGTGCCGTTGTCGACGGTACGTGAGCCTCAAAACTCGCCGGAAAAATCTTTTTAACTGTCATGATACCATTCGAGAGTGGAGCAATCATGGCATTTCTCATCGCAATGGTACAACGTATTTGAATAGCCAGATTGCTGATGAGAACTACAGTAAAATTCGATTCTGAAACACTTCCTCCAATTCTCAACGCCTTGGAGACCACCAATGGCGGACAAAAGCTTGTTTTGGAAGTCGCAGTATGTTCTCCGGTCAAAGCGATTCAGACCGCCTTACACTAGGGATCGCTGACGCAATTGCTTAGCAACATTTGGGTGAAAGTGTCGTGAGAACTATTGCTATGGACGGTAAGTTGGGCCCGGTAACAATGTTAGGCGTGCGGGATGGACTAATAAATTTCAGGTACCGAGGGTCTCGTTCGTGGTGCAAAAGCTATCGACACCGGTGCCCCAATCAAGATTCCTGTCGGCCCTGGCACACTCGGCCGTATCATGAACGTCACTGGTGACCCAATTGATGAGCGTGGTCCTATCAAGGGTGTCAAGATGGCCCCCATCCACGCCGAAGCCCCAGAGTTCGTCGAACAATCCACAACTGCTGAAGTCCTCGTCACTGGTATCAAGGTCGTCGACTTGCTTGCTCCGTATGCCCGTGGTGGAAAGATCGGTCTTTTCGGCGGTGCTGGTGTTGGCAAGACTGTGTTTATTCAGGAATTGATTGTAAGGCTTCTATCGATAACATAAGCCGCGAAGCATACTCACAAGACTTAGAACAACATTGCCAAGGCTCACGGTGGTTACTCTGTGTTCACTGGTGTCGGCGAGCGTACTCGTGAAGGAAACGATTTGTACCATGAAATGCAGGAGACCCGCGTCATTCAGCTTGACGGAGAGTCCAAGGTCGCGCTCGTCTTTGGTCAAATGAATGAGCCTCCTGGTGCCCGTGCCCGTGTTGCCCTTACTGGTTTGACTATCGCCGAATACTTCCGTGATGAGGAGGGCCAAGACGGTAGGTTGTTCCGTATTTAACAAGCAACAACGATACGAGAGGCTGATTATTTCACGCAGTGCTTCTCTTCATTGACAACATTTTCCGTTTCACTCAAGCTGGTTCCGAAGTGTCTGCCCTGCTCGGTCGTATTCCCTCTGCCGTCGGTTATCAACCTACCCTCGCCGTCGACATGGGTGCTATGCAGGAACGTATCACCACCACTACTAAGGGATCCATTACCTCCGTGCAGGCCGTCTACGTCCCTGCTGACGATTTGACCGATCCTGCCCCTGCCACAACTTTCGCCCATTTGGACGCCACCACCGTGTTGTCTCGTGGTATTTCTGAATTGGGTATTTACCCTGCTGTCGACCCTCTTGACTCCAAGTCCCGCATGCTTGACCCCCGTATTGTCGGTGATGACCACTACCAGACTGCCTCCCGTGTACAACAAATGCTTCAGGAATACAAATCCCTCCAGGATATCATTGCTATCTTGGGTATGGACGAATTGTCTGAAGCTGATAAACTCACTGTCGAGCGCGCCCGTAAACTCCAGCGTTTCCTTAGCCAACCTTTCACAGTTGCCCATGTTTTCACTGGTATCGAAGGTAAATTGGTTGACTTGAAGGACACCATCCGAAGCTTCAAGGCCATCATCAATGGCGAAGGTGATGATCTCCCAGAAGGTATGTCAATTCTTCCTCCCTCTTGATTTCTACGTTTGACTTCGTATTAACGTTTATTTAGCTGCTTTCTACATGGTTGGTGACTTTGAATCTGCTCGCGCGAAGGGAGAGAAGATTTTGGCTGAACTTGAGAAGTCTTCATAAGTGCTAACCATGTAGATATAAAATCATGTGCCATTGTCTCTTGGGGTTGTCCCATCGTGTTATTTTAATCTGAGCTTCATCGTTTCCTTTTTGTATATGTGTCATTACACTGGTTCTTCCACTGCCGTTTCATTTTCCGTTGTAAAAGAATCAAGAAAGCATGATTTTTCGTCCACGACATTCCAATTTTTCCTTCATACCCGATCAAAAGGTGGTATTGCCGTGTACTAGAGGATCTAGGAGCGAACGTGTGAGACTGTAGAGATGCATTTTTCTTACATTTCCGAAATTCCCTCCAGATGGACTGACTTGCATCATTGCTGACTTGAATTGAATGAAGGATGACTCTTAGTTGCGCACAGCCACAAGTCGAAACAACTTTCATTCAACAACATTGAACAAATTCTTGGACACATTTTTGAAGTCTAGGAAAGCAAAGATATCTTCAGGATGGCTGAGTAGGGGTTTTGATATCATTCGTGGTCGAAAGCCTTGTGCGGCGTGCCGCGTCTCCGATCAGCACTGCCCCTTTGAGAGAGTGAAAATACGAGCTCTCTAGCTAGCCGAATGATCCGAGTCGTGGAGCTTTGAGATGAATATCATCATAAGGTGGCTCGGGCTGACAGCCAGCATAAACTTTCGTCTCCATCGCTGGTGGACATGGCTTGAGATTGAATAATGAGCACTTGCAAGGCTTTCTTCAAGTACGAGATATTACCGTTTTGGGACAGCAGAGGATGACACGACGAGCATGGACGATGCTATTCGAAGAGTATATAATGAACCGTTTGTTCTTTGGCGTAGAGGTGATGCCGTTTGACTCTTCGTTGTCGAGACAGTGCTCTACGTGGATTCACATTTGATTGAATTTTTTTACTGCTATAATGAAAGCACTTCTACTTATCAGTACGCTATTCATTGGAATAGTGTGCGCGATACCAAATGGCCCGCGCTGTCGCTGCACGCCGCGGGAACCCTGCTGGCCGTCTACAGCTCGATGGAAAGCATTGAACGAATCCATCGACGGAAACCTCGTCGCCGTTAAGCCAGTGGGGTATGTATGCCATGACCCAAGTTTCGACCAAGATGCTTGTGCGAACATCACTGCAATGCAACGCGATTCCGTTTGGAGGTCCGGGGAACCAGGGGCACTTCAACATATAAACTGGGAGGCTTGGCCAGCGAAACAAGAGAGTTGCTATATTGCAGGTGATAGGAAGATTCCCTGTGGCCAGGGCCGAATCTCGAGATACTCGGCCGTGGTGCATACCCCGGAGCATATCCAACATGCTGTTCGATTCGCCGCGAGGCATAACCTTCGACTTGTGGTGAGGAATACGGGCCATGATTTCCTTGGGCGGTCGTCAGCACCTGAGTCACTGCAGATTTTTACCCATTTAATGAAAAATGTCGATTTTACGGACGAGTTTGTGCCCGAGGGTAAACGAGATCGGCGGGCAGTTGGTTCTGCGGTTACAATTGGCGCCGGTGTGCAACTTGCGGAATTGTATGAAGCAGTTGGGAAAGAAAACAAGGCTGTCGTTGCAGGCTTTTCCAACACGGTGGGCGCTGCTGGCGGGTATATTTTAGGTGGAGGGCATTCCGCCTTGGGTCCGTGGAAGGGTATGGCGGTGGATAATGTTCTTGAATTCAAAGTTGTTACCGCGAGGGTAAGTGGCTCAGTTACTTGAGAAAAAAGACGATTTTACTGACAGATCCGATCTAGGGAAACCATATTACCGCAAACGACTATCAAAATCAGGATCTATTCTGGGCTCTAAGGGGCGGCGGTGGTGGTACCTTTGGTGTGGTTACCCAGGTCACACTGCGGACATTTCCAGATGCTCCCCTTGTTACGGCATTCATGAACATAACCCAGTTGGGCAATGCGAACTCTTCATACTGGGATGGAATGGAAAAGTTTCATGCCTACCTCCCAACCCTGAGTGATGCAGGCGCATCCGGTTATTACTATATGCTTCCAAATGTACACCTACCTGACTTTGGGGAACTTGCTGTTACGTCTGTGATCTTTTTCTTTGCCAACAACAATATCGCCAGTGCTGACAAAGCGTTTGCGCCGTTATTGTCTTCGTTGAACGCGATACCGGGTCTGCAGGTCGACTATGCATCCGAGCAGCTTCCTAACTCAGCATCCCTCTACCAGTCTTCTCTCAAAGGATCTGACAATACAGGAACTGTAGCCGTCCTCGGATCACGACTGGTATCCCGACATTTCTTCGAAAGCAGACACGGGCCTTCCACGTTGACATCCGTTCTTCGGAAACTGAAGTATCCGCCTGGCGTTCCAGTTATCGGCCATCTGGTTGCTGGAGGCCAGGTTGCCAAGAATAAAGACATCCAGGTTTCCCTCAATCCAGCATGGCGCAAAACACTTGTTCATTTCGTGATTTCGCGGGGTTGGAAGGAAGATACCCCTCTTGCAGAGCAGCGTTCTATCCAGTCCAACTTGACAAACGTCGAGGTTCCAATGCTTAAGAGGTTGGAGCCGGACATGGGCGCTTACGTCAATGAAGCGGACCCAAATGAAAAGAATTTCCAAAAGAGCTTCTGGGGCTCCAACTATGGTCGTTTATATCGGCTCAAGAAGAAGTGGGATCCGAGGAGTCTTTTCATCGTTCGTGCAGGGGTTGGTAGCGAGCATTGGGACAAGGAAGGGGTTTGCCGAGTACGAGGCCGTGACTGAACTTGCAATTTCTAGATAGCATTTCAATTTTTGCGCTCATCACTGTCAATAGTAATAGAGAGAATTTGATTGCTGGCCACAGCTTTCAGCGATATTCATCGATCGTTGGGTGGTCACTTACGTTATGATCACGTGCTTGGCGTGCGGGGAAAGTGTTACCCCAACTTCCAGCTCGCCTCCGATGTTAACTTACGTCGTCGCTTGAATGCAATTGTCTTCTCAATCAAACATCCGCATTGGCCTACTTGCTTTTTTTTCAACTTTGATGAAGCTCGTCTATCCGTTCAACGCTCTATTTGCGCCACCAGACATGAGTCTGACAGCTCTTACCGCAACTTCCCGCAAAGCCCGTTTGTCCTACTTGGCTCTCTACTCGGTTAAACGCAGGATATCAACGACCTCGTGTCGGTCCTCTCAATTTCACCGCTCTGACTTCGCAGGCCAACCTTTTACCAGCAGCTATGAGACAGGGCTTCCGACCTCGGGCCCTCTGGGCTCTGCACCATCATTTGGTGCCCCGCGATTGACCCCAAAGATGTTGAAGCAACACCTGGACCAATTTGTTGTCGGGCAAGATAGATCCAAGAAAGTCTTAAGCGTAGCCGTTTATAATCACTACCAGAGAGTCCAGGAGTTGCAGAGAAGAGCTGAAGAAGAGGAAGCATATCTAGCACGGCAAGCACGGAGGGAAGCTGTTGAAGGACATCCTCTGGAAGGTATGTTATCATGCAGCCTTCCCTCCCAACCTAATTGATTATTGCTCTAATATACTGATGCTTTCTTCTGGTGTAGCGGAATTCCCAGGTCAGCAACGGACTGTATCTTCTCGATCACATGAAGAATTCAATGATGACTTTACGCGATCAGGGCCTGATCATCTCGTTGATATGTCACCTCTGACGCTAGAAAAGTCCAATGTTCTATTGTTAGGACCGTCAGGGGTTGGCAAAACGCTTATGGCGAAGACTCTTGCGCGCGTACTTTCCGTACCGTTTAGCATGTCCGACTGCACGCCGTTTACACAGGCTGGCTATATTGGAGAAGATGCCGACGTTTGCGTACAACGATTATTAGCAGCTGCAAACTACGATGTTGCGCAAGCAGAACGAGGCATTATCTGTCTAGATGAAGTAGACAAGATCGCTACCGCAAAAGTAAGTCATGGGAAAGATGTCAGTGGAGAGGGTGTACAACAAGCTCTTTTGAAGATAATCGAGGGAACTACGGTTCAGATTCAAGCAAAACCCGAGCGGAATGCACCTCGTCAAGGAGGGTCATCGAACAATTTTCCCGGCAGTGGTCTAGGAGGTTCATCGTTCTCCTCATCAAGCCCAGGGTCACCCGGCAAATCTGAGGTTTACAACGTTCGGACTGATAATATCCTCTTTATTTTCTCAGGAGCGTTTGTTGGGCTCCAAAAAGTCATCATGGACCGTATATCACGCGGGTCAATTGGTTTTGGCCAACCTGTTCGTGCTTCTGCGAATCCATTTAGTTCTCATGATTCCTCACATGCATCACAAAATGCACCCATTCCTATCCGCCCCGGCTCTGAAGAAGAAGCTTTATACAAAAAGCACCTACCTTTCTTCACACCGTCACCAACCCCCAATGTTTCTAGCCCTGATGAAGGACCACAATATTTCAACCCTCTCGACCTCTTAACCCCTCCTGATTTACAATCGTACGGTTTTATTCCCGAACTAGTTGGCCGTATTCCAATAACTACTGCTTTGTCTCCTCTTTCCAAGTCGCTTCTTCTGCGTATTCTCACTGAGCCACGAAACTCGTTGGTAAACCAGTATACTGCATTATTTGCCCTGTCTGGAATTGAACTATGTTTCACTACCTCCGCACTGCACAAAATAGCAGCTAACGCATTTGCGGTGTCCACTGGAGCCCGCGCCTTGCGAACTGAAATGGAGACAATTCTTGGTGATGCAATGTTTGAGGCACCAGGATCCAGTGTGAAGTTTGTCCTTGTCACAGAGGCTGTGGCAGACAGGAAGGAAAAGGCTGTGTACCTTGCTCGTGGTCAGGGCGGAAAGTTCCACGCAATGATTGCGGCAGAGGAAAGTGAATGGGAGGAGAAGATGAAGAAACAGAAAACAGAGAATGAAAAGAAAGATCAGGCAAACAGTTTTGAAGAATGGAGGAGAAACTCTGCTGTCGGAGGGTTCTCATGAGTAGTCTGTCGAGTGGTACGGTTAATGACTGCCTTTTGGTACTATATGATAACTCACGGGGAGCTTGTCATGGTCAATGGACTCCATTCCTAGGACTCTATGTGCTTATAGAACCGCTTCCTCGATAGCTAGGATCCTGCGTGCTCGTCAGATGGCTTCTGAGAACTCCTAAGGCCCTACACCCCTCCTCTGTAACACTCTCACTTCGTTACCATTTTCTGTACGCTGCAATCTGGGGGATTGATGCAAGCATCTGCTACTCAAGTACTTCTAGCAGTGGGCGCGTACTTCTGAATGCTTACCAGTCAACCGCTCGAATCCGTTGTGCCACAATTCCGTGAATCATCGAATCTCTGAACGCACATTGCGCCCCTTGCCATTACGGCGGGCATGCCCGTCCGAGCGTCATTACGTACCCTTCAACTACGGCCCGTGTGTTGGACTGGCGTCTTCCTTGTACCGAACGGTTCCTTTGCATACAAATTTCCGTGAAAATTCGCTTGGTTCTGTTTGTTGGGCAAAGACCCGAATCGATTTGTCGATGTGGAGGTTGTTTATGAGACTGGGTCGAGTCTTTGGCTCCCTTTGAAACTGATATGAATGCTCTCGGTTTCAATCACATGGTGACATATAGTGGATGGACTGGATGCCAGCTTGTTTGGACTGCGGGCGACGTCGTACTTTGAAATTTTATCGGGGTCGACGTGCGGATGACGGGTGGACGCAACGGATAGGTATCTCCTTTGTATATGAAACTGCAGCGATCATACCACAAGCCGCGCATGCACTGTTACTCGGTTGTTATATTGGGTTGAAACCTGGCACCCCCTGGTGGCGCGATTGAGTCAATTAGACATGCGCATTTTACCCTACTTAACAATTAACATCTTTGCCAATGTTAGAATAATGAAACCTGAGCCGTTCGATCTTGAAATTCTTGAGTTGTCACTAGCTGTGATATGCTAGAAGCTTAGTTCAATGATGGACGCTGAAAAAGGGTAACGCCGCAGGAAAAGCTCCATCAGTCCCAGCACTGTTAATTAATCCACACAATGTATGAAGCTGCCCAGCTTTTCCTCAGAACGATTCTTTTTCTCAACCGCGGTATGTATCCACCGATCCCGACTTAATTATTTGGTAGCTTTGTGTCCGCTGGCTTCGGCGAGCACATACTTCCATTCAAGTTCGGCTTTGTCATCGGCGTGGATACTTGTATGTGGGTTGATGGCGTTCTTCAAAGTCTGTCGGCTGGTTGCGTATAGCATCGACCACTGGTTTGACGTCAGTAAGGCCTTCAACAAGACATCTGAAGGAACTCACGAAGGTAGGCGTTTCGTTAGGCACCCATGAAATGAAGACAATTTTGTTGCTGGCAGCCACGTCAGACGATTAGCAGGCAACAACATTAACCCCTCAAAGAGGCGTTAGGAACCACTGTGAACATACCGCTTGCCCTCTCCGCCTTCAAGTTCGAATTCAACATCGTAGACTGCGTATCTTGGAGCTGGAGCGCCCTTTGAATCTTTAGCATTCTCGAGTTTTTCGCGAAACACCTCATAATCAGGCTCGCCAGAGGCTTCGTCCACGACAATTTCTCGTCGATTGTCAGCGATCTTGAAGATGATGAACTTTGTCTTTCCGCGACCGAGTCGGAGTTCGTTGTAGGCAGTTATGCAATCCGGGTGTATGGAGACTCTAGGGGATTGATAATTAGCACGAAAGAGCAAGTTATGCCCATACGCCTCTTTTCAGCGGAGAGAGTAGGGCGAAAGTGTTGGATATGGCGGCCACGTACCCCGAATCAACCTATGGCAGGGGGGGATTAGAGCTCCATACTTCGTAGATAAAGAGGATAATGCACGTACCGACATGTTGTGTAAGGCTTCCGAAACAGATTTCTATTATGACAATGGTTGTAGAAACTGCGAGGTCGATGAATCCAGGTCAGTACACTGAAGGACGAGTTGTTGGATGCCGTCGAAAACAGGGTAGAAGTCCCGGCCAAACCCTGCTCTAGACTTGCTCGAGATTGTGAAGATAGGACGATGAGATGACGGCGATGGGGAGATTGATTTATTTACCTGGTCAAGAGTGGGAGAAGGTCAAGGAATGCTTGATGTGCGGTGAGGTGGGTTGTGTTGATGGGAAGGGAGGATGGTTGAAGCAATGAGGCAACGGGACCATAATAGCGGGGCTGAGTCGTAAGGTTGGTGGGGGGCAACCAAATGCACTTGGGATTTTGAACCCCTTTTCGAATGCCACCAGCAAAAACTAAACCTCGAAGAAGAACAGAGTACATTAATGTCATGACTGCTGATAACCCGCTAGGATATGGAATCGCAAAAACCACCACTCTCGCCGACCCAGCCCCCATTCGACGAACCCAAACCCTGCCAGTCGAAGCCAGGCTCTGCGAAACGGTCCTCTCCTACCTTCCAACCCATTCGCCGGCCTCTACCGTCAGTTATTCTGCTCGTCTTCGAAGACAGAGATACCGATCGTCGGAGCAACGCGTGTTGTGTAGATATCCTGGGATAAGGGAACCAATGTGTAGTACAGCGTTTAGAGACAAAAATAGGGAATTAGAAATGTATTTCATAACTCAGACAGTCAATAATGTACAGTGCATTGCGCTCTTTTAACGCATAACGCCATTTCCAGGCTTCTTTCTCTCTTTCTTCCCCTCTGCGCCGTACAAAAGGTATAAAACGACACCCAAACTCAACTCCGACGAGATTGGATACAAGCGGCATACACCGACCTTGCTCGCTTTGCTTGCCAATCTGTTTGTCCATGCCAAAGTCGAGAAAGGAGCATCTGCGGATAGGATAAAGATTTGCGTATAGAGTGGGGTGGGGCTTTCCAACACAATCGTAGAAGCATGCCAGATTGAGGGAGAGATGGAAACAAAGCCAGAAATATATGAAAACACACAAAACGTGAGAAGGAAATCGGATAAATTAGTATTTTAAAACATCCAAGGTGAAAAAGACATAATTACCGTAAAGTCCAACAGGCTTTTAGTACATACCGCCCATGCCGCCCATGCCACCCATGCCACCCATACCTCCCATGCCACCAGGAGCAGGGCCCTTCTCCTCTGGAGCCTCGACAATTGCGACCTCGGTAGTGCCAAGGAGGGATGCAACACCGCTAGCGTCAACGAGAGCAGTGCGGACGACCTTCAATGGGTCAACAATTCCAGAGCCAATCATGTCAACATATTCGCCCTTGGAGCTATCAAAACCTCTGTTGAAATCTCCGGCAAATTCATCGGTGAGTTTTCCCACAATAACACTGCCTTCCAGGCCAGCGTTCTCAACGATGGTACGTGCAGGCCTTTGAATAGCGCTCTTGACGATGCTGACACCAAGTTGCTGGTCAAAATTGGCCGGCTTGACATCTTTCAAACCGTTGGCGGAAGCCTTGAGCAAAGCAGTACCACCACCAGGGAGGATGCCCTCTTCAACAGCAGCACGGGTGGCGTTCAATGCATCCACAACGCGATCCTTCTTTTCGCCAACCTCGACTTCGGAGGCACCGCCAACCTTAATGACGGCAACACCACCAGAAAGTTTGGCCAACCGCTCCTGGAGCTTCTCCTTTTCGTAGTCGGACGTAGCAGGATCGGCAACGATGCTTCTGATTTGCTCACACCTCTGAGCAATGGCGTCCTTGCTGCCTTCACCGTTCAAAATAATAGTGTCTTCCTTCGTGATAGTAATAGAGCCAGTGGAGCCAAGCATATCTGGAGTGGCTTTGTCGAGCTTCATATCCAACTCGTCAGTGAATACAGTGGCATTGGTCAAAATACCAATGTCACCAAGGATGCTCTTGCGGTTGTCGCCAAAACCTGGAGCCTTGACAGCAGCAACCTGTAGCTGACCACGGAGCTTGTTGAGAATACAAACAGCGAGAGCTTCGCCCTCAATATCCTCGGCAATGATGACTAGCGGACGACGGAGGCTAGTAGAGGCCTCGAGGGCGGGGATGATGTCTTGAACGGCAGAGATCTTCTTCTCAGAAAGGAGGATAAGAGGTTTTTCGAATTCAACCTTTTGGGTTTTGGTGTCGGTGATAAAGTAAGGTGAGACGTAGCCCCGGTCAAACCGCATACCCTCGGTAACCTCGAGTTCATCTTCAATGGTTTTTCCATCCTTGACGGTTATAACGCCTTCCTTTCCGACTCGTTCCATGGCGTTGGAGATTAGCTTTCCAATGTGTGTGTCGCCGTTTGCAGAAATAGTAGCCACTTGCGCAATTTCTTCACTGGTGGTGATTTCCCTCTTGTTCGCTTGGAGATACTCAACCACAGAGTCAACGGCAGCCTGGATACCCCTCCTCAAGTCCATTGGGTTGCAGCCAGCAGCAACGTTTTTCACGGTCTCGGAGAAGATCGCACGAGCAAGGACAGTTGCTGTTGTAGTACCATCACCAGCAACTTCATTTGTCTTAGAAGCAACATCCTGGAGCAGACGGGCACCGAGGTTCTCGAACTTGTCCTGCAAAGAGATCGCCTTGGCGACAGTGACGCCATCTAGAGTTGCGAGGTTAGCTCTCTGTCATATATCAATGTTCCTCGTTTGGGATTTGGTGGTATACCTTTGGTGATCTTGGGAGAACCATATGAAGACTCAATTAAAACATTTCTACCCTTGGGGCCCAACGTGGTGGTAACAGCTCTTGCGAGCGTATCAACTCCCTTGAGGAGCGATGCACGTCCTTCAACGCCGAACTTCAGCTCCTATAGCACGGAGCAGTTAGGGCGCATCTTTCAGACGAATTGCGACGAAACACAGATACGGAACTAACCTTGTGGGCATATCTTTGTTGCTGGAAGTTCAATCCACAGGTTAATGAGGGCTTGAACTGAGTGAGCTGCCTACGGGCGGAGGCAGCTGAAGAAAGGACCGAAGCCCGTGAAGAAGCTGAAAGAGCTCTCTGCATTTCGAACAGGGACAGACAAAGGCACAGAAACGACGGAATCAGTCCCGAATACCCTGAACTCCAGTAAGGTGTACAGAAATATTAGGAGTTAATATGATACAATTGTTCGAATTGAGACGTCGAAAAGAAGAAAGATTTGAGGAATGCCGTGAACGAAAAAAAACTTTTGGGGAGCAAAGATTCGAGCAGCTTCTCCATATTCTTGGCATCTAGAAGCTGACTCAGCAAATTAGTCACATGACCTGTTTCCTATTTGGATCTAGCGTTTATCATGAACCAACTTCTGATCTCCAGGCACAAACCGCATCTGTCAAATGTCTTGCTGTGTGAATATTCAATTGAAAGGTCACAACAATCGTTACTATTTGGCTACTAACAAACGCAGCAAAAAGATCAAGGCAGGGAAAAGAAACTGGCGGCTGGGGATTCAGTTGGGTTTTGATGGTGGTTGTAGCCCTCCACAATAACCAATGTCTAGGTATGATTCTCCGTCGATCCAGCTAATCTGCAGCTCTATTCCTTGCAAGCATAAGGGATAGAGAACTAGCAGGCACTGTTGCAGATAAATCCATCCCATGAAGCAAACTATGGAAACAATCTGGAAAAAATCACATCACAGAAAAAACGCTAATTGGCGGGAAACAAATCGATTTTTTGCTTGTCAGGATCTGGCAAAGTCCATATCAAACTGACCATCGCAAGGCTTTTGAGTTTTTTTACTGATACGTGTCAGCTGCTGTTCCTGATATGAAGCTTCCATTGTTTTTGACTTACTACGAAAACGGAGAGTTCATTGATGCAAATATTCAGGACTGATATAGTCTCCCACCTCGAAGTTGTCATCCAAATATCCAAACGCGTTGTTGGTGAATGCTGTGTCGAACCAGTTCATTGTGCCGCCCTGCGGGGTCTCCAATTCTGTGCCTTGGGCTATTGGTAAAGCTCCACTGGCTGAAGTCGCAAGATACATATTTGCAGATGCTTGGTGAAGGTATTCCAAATTGTACAATGGGGGCATTTGATCGTTCATCTGGAGAGATTGACTGGATGCTCCACTCGAGATTTGGTTATAGCCTGATTCATTTGCGCTGAAGTGTTCCGAACTGCTATAGCCTCCGAGATCCTGACTCCTCTGCTGCGGAGTGTCCTGATAATGTTGTGCTCCAATGTGCAAGAGACTTTGTGGATCCGAATCTATTTCCATGGGGACAGCGTGGCCCTGGATGCTAGGAGAAGCGCTATCGGCTCCATGGCCATCACCTGCAGGGCTTTCATCCCCTGATGAACACTCTTCCTCCTTGACGTGAATGTGATCGTCATTCACTCTGTCGCGGCCCATAAGGGCCCGTTCCAAGCGCCATGGCGTAACCCGGAGCACAACCGTCCCGCTCGATGGGGCCTTCCTTTTATTCCCTGTTGTTGTCTTGTCGGCACTGTCGGAGCTTCCATTGCCACCCTTAGGTGTCGGGAGATGCTGGCCAGCGGCTATTTTATCCGCCGTATTACGCTTGATACCCCATTCATCGGAACCGGGATTGGTGATCAAACTGTTGCTGTTGGCAGAACTCTCGTTCCTTTCAGTTCGTCTATTCTTAGCTACGCCAACTCTTGTCTCGGCTCGTGGTTTGTTTGAATCATCATCTGGGCTCTCTTTCATCTCCATACTCTGCCTAGAAACGGTTCTCTTACCGGTTCCCGGCCCACCGCGACGAAGTGGAGGAGGGACAGGGATGCCATCGCCTTCCATCCGGGAGCGCAATTTCGCAAGATGCTGCACAATTGCACCTTCTGTGATCTTTTCACCCATTATCTCTGCAACCTGTGCCCAGGGGATTCGTATTCCTGCAGAGTTACAAGCGGATTGGATCGAGAGGAGTAGCTGCCTATCGAGCTCGTCTGAAAATCTGTTTAGCATTTTTCTACAGTCGACACAGCATTCAAGGGAGACAGGAGTAGGAGCGGAGCCATACCGTTCCATCGGACAATGGTTCTGGTTGCTGGTCGTGGCTTAGGGGTCTTTGCCGGCGCCCCGGATCTTGAAGCGGATGAGGACATGCTGTTCTCAGCCGATTTCTTCTTGGAGTTTTTTGGAGCCATAGTTGCTTGGTTAGGCGGAGCGCTGAGGTGAGAAGTGATGAAGGCTGTATGCAGAAAGCAAGTCCCAGGGTTGTTGCAACTGGAAGAATGTTAGTGATTTCTTTATGCTTGCACAGTGCAAGCATTCCAGGAGGTTTTCCAAAGGGAACGCGTTCGACGCGTCTCAATACTCCAGATTGACGAGAGCTTTAGGAGAGCTTTGCTCACCTATCAGATTTTGGCGCCAGTAGCGCTCTCTGCGAATTAATAGGAAGAGTTAGCTCCCGAGATGACAAGGCACCTATGCTTCATACCAAAGGGCTTCTGGCACACTTTGCACGAATGGTGTCAAATGATAGACAAGAGTGATCAAGGATACCTGGCTGTGCACAAAAAGCATCAGAGATGAATAAGAACCACTGAAACAATTTCCTATAAAAGAAGAATGCTACTTACTGTTGTAGTTGATGATTCTAAGAAGGGTTAAAAGAAAGAGAGAGTAGGTGAGGAGAAAGTGAATGATACAGAATGGCAGAGGAACACAATATAACCTGTGCCATATCTGCGCTAAGAACTGGTTGCTTGGAACTAGCTCTTCTTTCGCACCATGCATTATCAATATACTGGAAGCCGCCCAGTAAAGTCTCTATTTCTTTAATTTCTTTTCTTGAGCTGTCTTTCCTGAAGCTACTACTGCCTACGATTCACTTTCAACGGCATCCGCCGTCAATGATTGACCTTTGTGCCGTCCCAGGGCCCCGAACCTGGAAGTTCACAATAAGGCAGCTAAGGCAACCTTTCCCCGATCCTTGGTCTCCGATCTGATAAGCTGTATTTCACTTTCTCAACGCAGATATTCCTTCCCCCTTTCAATCACTTTCCTTTTCAGCCTCCTGTTTCGGTGGATATACCGAGCCTTGGGGATTCACAGCCTGTGGTTGCTTTCCCAACCGATTCCCAGCAACCTATTTCCATTCCCTCGGTTTCATCCCGCGGCGTCAGCAGGTTCCCGCAGGCTTGCAGATACCAAATAGAATACGACGATAAAGACGATCTACTCTCACCGCTCATCCCACCTTGGGTCCGAGTCACTTCAAGAGAAAGGCAAATGGAACCCGAGTCCATGGAATTGGGAACGGAGGCGCGGGAAGGTATCAGTACATTCCCAGCCATCCATGTCATCCACTGGTGGATGGGAATGAAATGAAATTTCCAAAAGCTTGGGAGACCGACGTTGAATCTAGGTTGTCCGATGGCTCGATGACTTTTTTGCCTCGCGCACCTGTCTGTCCACTCTCCTCAGATTTAGGTTTGGTCTAGAACGCAAGGCTAGGGAGCAGAGTGATTCCGGAACTGGGCCATAAATGCAAGGAAGGATGTATGAAGGGGCTTGGGCTTCAGCTTGACAGAACAAGACTACAATAAGAAGGTTGGCTGAATGGGAGTCATTCATGCACGCAACCCTGTGGTCAAATCACTTGCCATTTCTTCATGAACATGAAGATTCATGTTATTGCCTGAATAGAATGACTTTAACAGGATGCATTTGCAAATTTCTTGCTTTCAGAGCCAGGTAGTACCCAGATGGCCAGGGGCGTTAACCATTGATTTTTATCAAAATGAAATATTTGCAACAAAGTACCACCCCATTGCAGCCAACAGTAATCTACCACTAGAGACCTTGAAGGGGTTCTGGGCATATGAAGACTATCCCGCAGAGTTGTTGAAGGTGATTATTCTAAACACCACAGCCTTTGCTATAGGACTGAATGATGTGGGTATCATGGAATGCATTTAAGTGTATCTTCTTCTAGACATGCTCCTATAGGGATAGTAGAGCATCTTGTCCACCGGCTCTCAATAACGGATTATAACAATCAAAGGCTCTTCTCCTGTGCTGGGGTTACTATCTGGTGAGTTGGTGTAGTTCAAAAGGCTGTCACGTGATGAGATGCTTGGCAGCCACTGACTTGACGATTCGAACCCAAAAAGGAACGAAGAGAAGAGCGATTGCACACGATACGACGAGCCCCCTCTCTACCAAGAAACACTCGATACAAAGATGACTTTCGCGTGGAAGACCGCCGGCCTGACGTACGCTCAAAGTCCTTGCTGCCGTTGTTAGCTCCTTGCAATTGCTGACCTGTCTCCGTCAACGTAGCTACAACCGGTATCTGGCCATCGCTTCCAGAACCGTCCGTCGCTCGCTCACGCCCGAATTGAGACTCAAGGCGGAACGGGGAACAGCCGAGATGAAATTCGCCCAGTGGGAGGTCAGTAAACTGTTCTTTCAGTGCCTAATTGAGCGTTTCCTTCCGGGTTCTAAAACGGGGACATTCGGCTGACCGGCGTGCTTCCTGGTGGATAGAACGGCAAACAGGGCGATCTTCAGAATCTGTCTGCGAAGAGCGAACAAGCTACAGCGGAAGCTGCATCGGCGCAAAAATAAACCTGAGGATGGGCAATGACATGGGACCCTTTAGAGCAAGCGAGGAAGACTGGGGATGAGTGATGCGGAAGCCACTGGTTGTACTTTTACGCTTTGACGGGCTAGACATACGATATCAATTTGCTCTGGGCCATTTGGACCGTGAAATCAGCCCTCTATATAGACCAATTAAACCCGAGTACATATTCTCTAAATTAGAAGTGTTTTGTTCCTGTTGTAGATTTGCAGCGCTGTGAGCCTCCGCAGCCCATCTTTAGCCCGGCGGCTCACAAAAATCGGTTACCCACCCACCGCGGATTGCCTTTCACCGCTGGTAAATCACCTGCTTGACAACTTTGGCCTCTACGACTTTGCAGGGACATTTTCATCATTTGATTTCCTATTCCCTTTTTGATCTAATATGATCTAGCAATCAATTCCAAGTCTAGGGCCATGTATCGAACGAAAGGCCCTCCCCGCATCGCATCGGAGAAGATGGAGGCCCACGATATCACCGAGGAGTTCACCAAAGCTGCATCAGGTATGTCTCCATCATTACGTCAGAAACCAGCTATCAGGCGCTTGATGGCTAGGATACTAATGTATTCTTATAGCCTTGGAGACCGGTCAGCTCGTGAAAGATGAATTCTTTACCTTGTTTGAGGCCGTGGGGGCTTTGGAGGTGCGACACAGCTTTATATTCTCATTTCTTATCGAGTCCCCCTTGCTTTTACGACTCAATTACGTTACTTCGTGCTATAAGAACGATGATCGCTGACGAATGGAATGTGCAACCCAAGGGTTTATAGATTATGGACTCCAAAATGGACAGCGGCTACCTGGCACCAGGAGACACGTTGGACGACGAATACGATGTTATGAGGGAACTACTTCCGGAGGAGGTGATTGGCATCATGGACCAGCTTTTATGCCTCGAGGTGCGGTGAAGCGACTTCCACCCTGTCGTTCGAAGCGTTGCCGTTGGCTTTGCTGCAAATGCGATGCTAGTCCTTTTCCAATCGATACGGCCCGGAACTGATTTCGGAGGTTTAGGTAGCCTGGCATATGGGACATCCGTTATCTCAGACCCTTTTTACGTCGATATATTTGGATCGGTTACTCTGGCCTGTTCCAATGACGCTTGAAGACGCCCAATTCGATCAACAAGCTCGCAGCTGTGGTAGCCGGGAGAGTAAAGGAGAGCAAGACGGGGCATATTGTAGAGGCCCAGGGCTAGTCTCTATCGTTTTAAGAGCATATTGTTTGGCGTTGATCAAAGCCTGTGACCGTGTGATTGGGAGAGTCAGCTCCGAGTACTATTTTGAGGTTGGTAACGCCGTCAAAGTCGGACCCTGGGAATTGGAAAGCAGCTGATCTCCGAGGATAGGAGGAAGACTTCGTCACCCAATTGTATAACCGAAATCTCCTATCTGATGTCCTTTCCTCTGACGTCCGGACCCTTGTCGATGATGCTATATCGTGGCTCAAGAATTATGAATTGGATACACCCGTTAAGGAGGCGCTTCTAACTCGGCTGATATTTCGTCAAGAATTTCTTCTTACCTTGGACCTGGACACTTCTGTGATACAAACTAGGGCAACGGAAAATCCGTCCGCTTGCCTCGAACAAGTCGATAAAATTGAGAAATCGTTATCGATCGGGAAACCCGTTGAAGCGTCTTTCAGCCAAAAAATCCAAAGGAGGCTGGCTAGCTCGGTTCCTCCACGGCCTATGGTCAAAATTGATCCCGCAGATGCAATGAAGTTTTTAAAACGCTTTTGTCAGGATGCTATTGACGTACAGCAGATTCTTGATTCTCGAAACCCTTATGATTTGCAGGTGGGTAACATTGTCTCTTGTTGTTCGAAGCGTACCCTTATCTAACGAATAGTTTTCCTTGCAAGAAATCGGTTTGGGCAGTGCAATCTCGAAAACCTCAACCAGCTGTCTATATTCGTTCCCTTACACAATCCTTCCTTTTGAACGAGATGCGCGTTCTTGGTTCCAAATCTATTAAGCAATTCTGTTTTGACGACTTAGCCGACCTTGTTCTTCCCTGGAGCACGCTATTGGACAAACGAAACGAAGAAGTTGAAATGCCTTCGGACCCTCGGTTTCAAATTGCCAAATACATGGAAACTTTCGTTAAGCGGGTTGCTCAGGTAAAGCGCCTTGATACATATCGTCATGCCACGCTAACCGTTTAAAAGCCTTTCATCGATACATACCGCGCATCATGCCTCAATCGTTGCCGAATAAGACGAACATTGTGTCATTCCGTCATTGACTGGGACCATCTTCAGGCTGAGGTGAGTGAAAGAGTGGTATATTAAACCCCGTTACTGGGACTATTTTAACAAAATTCTCAAGGCTGAGGGAATCGATGGTCACCTTCGTCCCTTGATCTCAGAACCTGCCATCAACCTTCATGGAGAGGAAGCTATATACGCGTATCCCCTCGGCAGCTGGGTTTATCACCAAAAGTTACGACAGCTTCGGCTTCTTTTGCAACTTGGCTTCGAGCTTTCGATATATTCCCCTGAGGAGCTTCCTGGTTTATATTGGTATCTCTCGCACATATGCGCCACTCATCTTTCCCATCTAGACCGCATACGTTCCTGCGTCGAGGCAGAATACCAAAGAGGCACCGTTGATACCGCACAGGAGAACAAAATTGAGCGGAAGCGAGCGTTTGATAGGACATTTAAAATTCTTCAACGACATTCGACAGAGCTCGGCGCCATCGACGCGTTTGCCCTCGCATTGAACGCCCTTTTTATTTTAATCTTACGCTACGATTTATTGCCTTCAACGTATTTATCGTCGTCCAAACGTTACTCGTCAGAAAGTTTACGCTATGAATTACGGATGAAGCCATTCTTTTCTGTATCACTGCCAGAGCCTCTTCCTTTTGAATTCTTTGAGAAGGAAGCAACTTTATCTGAGAGTAGCGACGAACTGGTGCTTGATAGGGCTCTGGCAGCGGTGGCTGAAGCGAGAAAGGCTCTAGAGCAATGTCTAGCAGATGGGCCGTTCCTCGATTCTGGGATCTCTGGTACGAAGGGAGAACAAGATAAAGAAGGGACTGTACCCTTGGCTAGTCTCAAAGAGGACTGGATAAAAGACGTTAAAGATTCCCTACGAGCCTGTATCGCGACGAGTATCGCCATTGGGACATTTAAAAAGGCGTATACAGCTAAACCAGCGTCTTTATCGACGAGGCGAAAAGGCAAGAGCGATGATATTCAACCTGCGAGATCCCCATCACGGCGCTTAAATCTGTCGGTTGAAGTCCCTCAGATCGGCTCCAAGGATCGCTGGCACGATTGGTGGATCGTACCGAAAATCTCGGAGATACTTCCAATTCGTGGTAACTAGTCAAGTGTTGGGGTCAAGCCGTGCAAATGGCATAGAACATGATATATTCAAAGATGTTGCATTGGGTACGGGCAATGTGAAAGCAAAACAGCATCGGGCATTTTCAGAGGGGCGATCACATTCAACTTCTTCATTCCATGTGTAGAAGTAAAGGTCTTTATCTTGCAGGTTATCGGAAAGGCATAACTAATCCAAATAAGTTTAAGAAAGGCAATAAGAGAGGTCATATCATAAGCGTTGCTAAAATACCCGTATAACACCACAAGCCAAAAAGACGCATACAAAAAAGCAGGAAGAACAGGGAAGCCTTAATTGCTTGAATTCACACTCCCGCCGCAGCCAACATCCCCAGCGCACCCGCAAAGGCGACTGGATTCCCCTTATTAGCACCCGCAGAAGTTTGACCATTACCAGCCCCCTTACGCCCCATTAAACCGTCAATACGCTTGTCAAAATCATCCACATTAACGGGCACCGCAACTTCGCCCTCTGAGCATGGGCCTTGACCGTCTCTAGCCACAACACGGGACCTGGCATGGGGAGGAGGTATGGCGATTCTATTGTCAGGGCTTCCGTTGTCCCGCTTGGACCTCTGTACTGGAACGCAGCAGTAACCCGATAATACGCCGTTTGAGGATCGCATACTCATGTTTCCTGGACAGCAACGGGTGACGCCGTTGGTGGTGGAGCAGGATTTGCTAAAGGAGTATTGGCCTGGTAGTAAAAAGAGATTGCTTTTAACATTGCTTCTCAGAGAAAGGGAGAGAGGGGTATATCTTGAGCGAACCTGCAAGAGCGGAAGGCAGCATAGCGCTTAATATCATGGCATTGAGGACCTTCATTGTTGGATATCTTTATTGTATGTCGAACTGTCAAAGGGGCGGATGAGTGTGCCTTTTCAATTTAAGTCGGGCACGATAGCGCTGCGGATCCCCGAAATGGTAATTGGAAATTGCAAGTGTTGATAAATCAATGAAAATGCCTGGTGTCTAAAATGCACGGGGGTATTGGGAATGGAGGTTTATATCCTTCAAGTTCTTCAAGCATCACTATCATCACGCATGATACACAGCTTCATTAAGCGCTGTCATAAAGCAAAAGGCATGTTTCATATTCACAATATCCTGAATATGTATGGGTGAACGAGCAAAGAAGCCCCAAAGCCCCAGAATAACTGCATCACGTCCAGCCGCCGGGTGGTGGTCTCCAGGCGAAAAAAGAGGATGGCAAACAAATGGCCCCGGCAAACAAGCTTCCGAACCACTGCATGGAGAGGGCCAGATCTTCAAAGCGCAAGCCAAATCGTCTCTCCCTGGCATTGCTGCTGCTTTGATTTGTTTTGGCGTTCAAGCCCACAGGCCGAGACAATGCCCAAAACTCGTGGCGGGATGCGACTTGTGCTCTTCTCGGTTCAGCAAAGAGCCCAGGCAGCGAATGACAGCAGGCTCATGTCGCAAGGCTGCAGCCACAACTTCGAAAACTGTCAAATACGGGCGAATGACAAAAGGGAATTGGGGGATTGTGACAAGGCGACAACATTCATTGAAATGGTTGTGAAGTTTTGGAAGCTGATTAGTTAGTTATGCAGACCGTTGATAAAATGAAAGTCATTTGGCGGCCTTCCAGTGAAGCCACAAATACTCCGTACAACGTTTCAAGAATCGAATTTGAAGATATACATTGGCTCAGTAATATGACATAACATAGGAATCATAATTCATTGACTTGCTATTCGGGCTAATCGCGAGCTCGACAATCAATCAGTCGCCAAATACTCATCAATATCGACTCCGATACCCCGAGCCATGTCCACGATCCACTCTTCATTGACTGAAGCGCTAGAACTAACCGTGATATTCACGTTCAAACTCCATTTCTCCCCACCGTCAATCGCACCGCCAGAAGTAGCCGCTGCAGACGACGCAGGCACAAGCAATCTGAGTTGTTGCAGTGTAGCTATTTCCGGAGCAACAGCATCTGCTATAGGAAGTGCAGAAAATGACGGGTTTGGGTCGATTGCATGGTATATTGCAAAGAGGCGTTCCAGTGAAAATGGCCGTGGTGTCAGGAAATTTGTGACTCCTTTACGAGTGCCAAATAGCCTAGAAGAAGAGGAAGCTGGCGTAGATTTATTGACTCGTGACTGCGCACCTGCTTTCTTGCTGGTTTTGCTTGGTGTTTGCGTCGGATCGTCGGGGCCTTGATCATGATTTGCTATCTGGGAGGTGAGGTTGAGTCGGCCTCGACGTCGGATTCGTTTCTTCTTTGAAGTTGTAAATTTCGAGAAGAGCACAGTGTCGAGGCGCTGAGGTATATACGCTGCCAAAAAAGCCGCGGTCAGCACAAGAGTTGGTAGATAAGGCAACTCCGGGAGCTGGCTTGCGTTATTCTTTTTTGCAAGGAGCGAGAACCCATTTTTGCTCGATGATATGGGTTCCGATACAACGTGATGAAGAAGTAGATGCTCTCCTTGTTGCTGGAACAAAGTCCGGTTCTTAACAAGGAGTCGAGAAAAATCCCATTCGCGGCCCGGTGGAGACTCTCCATCTACAATCGGCGCAACAAACCGCGGCCATAATTTTTCGGAGGCAGACCGGAAAACTGGCACTGTTCCTGCCGCAGGGCCAATCAAGGAGTCATACAACGTGGATAGGAACGAAGGATATAGCTTTGCTGTAATGTCCTTAGGAAGACTAGTCGCTGGGGGCGACAACCTCGAAAGTATAGAAATCATTTCATTGCGAGAGTACGGCGGGAAGTAGATATGTGGTACACCAGCAACTTGCAAGAACAGCGGACGAGGTGTGAATCTCGACACAAATAACACACGTATCGAAGGGACCTGGGAATCAAACGGTTGCGCGTCAGCCTATGCAATGGGGGTGATAAACGAGGCCTCAGAAAGGGGAAAGAATACCAGCTCTCCAATCCTAGATAGGGCCGCCAGTAGCATCTGTCCGCCTTCTCGAAGGTCGTCAACTCCATCAAGAACAAGTATGAATTTCTGGCACTGGGTCCGCCCAAGAATCTCACTCAAAACACCTGGTAACGAGCTAACATGTTCACATCGCACCTTGTCGACAATCTTGAACCATTCTTCCTCAGCGCCGTCAATGATAAGCTGCGACCCAGCGTTTTGCACCGCCGAGATTACATTGGACACGATCTTGACCAACAGATGGCGTGCAGTAATACACTCTGCAACTTTGATAATCGAATAGAAGAGGCGTGGCTTGGTGGAATAGCCTTCCTGCTTGTCTTCTCTCAGTTCCCCGTTTCCTTTTTGCTTCCTTGCTCTTCGTCCCTGTTTCGAAGAAGTGTTCGCCTGAAAAACAGGCTCAACCGGCGCCCCATACTCCTTGAGAATTGCTCGAACTACAGTCGATTTGCCAGACGCTTGGGGGCCGTGTACAAATATTGTAGGCGGAGAAGGAATGGAGGGCTGTTAGCTGACAGCAGTATCCGTTAGCTGAACTGGTTCACAAAGGCTTCGGGTGCTTGTAAGGTTTGATTCACGAACACAGAGCAAAGGAGCCAGTTGCCTAATCTGCAAGTCTCTAGCCAGCAATTGCTGGCAGACTGCAATAGCAAGCTCTTCCGGTAGCATTGAGCCCATAGTTGGTCAACAACCTTGACTTTTCGGAGCCGAGTAGTTAGTAGATTTGAGAGGATGATCAAGTCGCGTCCAATAATTAATACGGGAGTGGTTGGCTACATCCTGGGATTTCTACTTATAATCCAGTACCTATATGCTTAATAACAATTCCTCGATGGTCTAACGGTTATGATTTCCGCTTGTCAAGTTAGTCAACTAACAAGCGCGGGAGACCAGGGTTCGACTCCCTGTCGGGGAGGAATTTCTTTTTTCTCACTCGCTTTTTTTCGATTCCAACCTGGACAAATGACGATAGTCGGAGTGTTTTTCTTGTGCTTGAAGGAACTCTTAACTAGTCTGAATAAGTGTTGATGTTAGTCCGTACAAAAGTAGTCAATGACTCTGATAAGAAACCTACTGTGGTTGAAGCGACTACAAAACCGTAGAGAAAATCTGATACAATTTTATTGATGAATTTACAAGGCAAGGTGATCTAGCAAAGTTGACCGTTAATGTTTGTGCTATGCTATGCTATTGCAACTGTTGTAACTGGGGGCTAATTTGGGCAGATATGGAAGCAGGGGAAATCAGGGAATATGGGTACATCTATTCTAGATGACAAGGTTATGATCATGATACACGGGCTGGGGGCTTCATGAAAAAGAAAATCAAGAAAAGGGAAGTCATAATTCGAGAAAAGCAATCGTGAATACAAATCCTCGAAAGTAAATCATAAAAGGAAAGAAAAGGTTGAGATCCGAAAGGCAGTTAGATGGCATGAGGTATCAAAGCCAAATCTGCGGCATCTGTCTTGGACCCTAGATGGCTCTAAGGAAAAGTTTGTTGTCGCAGATTTCGTTCCCGCTCAAGGACCAATAATAAAAATACAGCATAGCCAAAGCAAAAAAAAAGAGTATCAAATGAAGGATGGATCCCAAGCCACAGATATTTCGAGGATTTCCTGACACATAGTCTGGTCCGTGATGCGGGTGTCCGCTAAGTCGTATGTATGCAGGGTAATCCAAGAAAAAAATTGCCGACGAGGTAGTAAGGCTCATTCACATCCAAAGAGTGTGTTGATATCGGTATTCTGGAGAAAGAATGAAGCATTTGTCGTAGGCAAAAAGAAAATGCCAGGAATGTTTGTTCAAAAGAAGGGAACACGAAAGTTTGCAATCAGTACCGCAGAGTCATGAAGTCGGCACAGTTCAAAATCGTGATACGAAGAGGTAACGGTGGAAAGTGACCGTTAATCTCGAGTCATTGAGTACAAAAGGCCAAAAAAAAGCCGGGCTTGATGTATGTGGGCAGGTTGTACAACGAGGGAGGCGTGCCCTTTCGCTAGGAATGAATCAATGCATCATCAAGATCCAGAGAAGAAATCATCGGCGGAGATTTTCAAATCTGTTATATGCCGTGTCTTTTTGTCATTATCCATGTTTTAGCACAAAGGATTTATCGTTCTTCTCTTTCTTTTTTTTCTTTTCGCATCGCGGCCGTAATCATCGTCAGTCGTTTCGTCGTTTCATCTGGTGGTACAATCTGTTTAATGAGACAATAAAAGGACAGAGTCGACAACAAAGGGACGACTAGTAGAGGCTGAACCCCTGAGTGGCGCCATTAATTCCGTTGAGGACACTGGCACCTTGCTGCGGAACCGGGCAAAAGATGGTTGTGGTTGAATCAGTGGTCGGGACAGTGGACCCTGAAATTGAGGGATCACCTGTCATAACAGTCATAGAGGAATTACCGCCCAAGTTGTCAGAAATATTAGTGGTAAACTGTGGTCCGTATTGGGAAATTGTTGGGCTAGAAAAGGCATTGCCTTGATGATAAATTCCGTTCTCATCGCGGCCATTAGGAGTCAGTTGGCCATTAGTGGTACCATTAGTGCGATTTTGAGAATCGATGCTCATGATCTTTCCCGCAATGCGGCGTCCGTGGGGAGTTTGACGGATAGCGGGAAGAATGGGCCGGATTGCTTCAATAAGAGCGACACGAGTTTCGGGATCGGCATAATCCATTGCAGTTTGGACAACATAATTTGCAAAGGAATCTCGCAGCATCCTTTCGAGCTCTTGTGCAGGCAGCATCTCTTGGATAAGGAGGCGTCGGCTTTGAAATTCGGCGGTGCGAGGGCACTTTTCAATCACATTGGAACTGAATTTTTGTTTTGAAAGCATTGACACCTTTCCAACAAATGTTTGACAGAGAGGCTCTGTGAAATGAGGTTCGGCAAGATCCACTAAAAATATTAGAAATGTACCCAAACATTTTCTGGAGGGAGAACCTACAGATGTACTGAACAACATAGTTTCCAAAAGGATCCTGCACCAAGGTGTAGGGAATTAGCTGTAATCTGTGCAATCAATTGTGCTCGCTGGTCGGCTGATGCGTGATCAATGCAACGTTG